CTCCTGTGAGGAAAAGTACATCGGTCATAGCCAGAGATTACCGCCAAGAAGCATACGAGAACACATTCACTCTGTCTGTGTAAGTGTGGAAGGAAATGAATTAAAAGAACATTCAGTTGATTCCAACCATTCAACCGACTCGTACAGTGACCTGAAAGTTGTCTATTAAATTCATTGAAACATTTCACGTCCTCACCGTCTTCAACTTCTAACAACCACAGGTGCCTTGGTTATCCATGAACTGAATGAAGCCTGACCTTTGTGTGCAGAAAAATTACGTAGAGTCTTTGTCTCTACCTTTGTTTTGGTTTGTTTCGCTTTTGAAGTTTTCTCAACTTCTTCATTTGTTAGAATAATCGTTCTACTTTTATATTGTCATTATCTGTATTATTACTTTTACACTGAATAGTTTCCGGTGGTACTTCATTTAATCGTCCCAATAATTGCAACGTCAAACAGGGTATTTTCAATCTGTCTGAATTAACTTATTCAAAGTAACTAGTCGTTTGATTGCTTATTAACTTTATTATGGTTTTACCCCTTGGTAATCTATATGCACTTTACAAACAATTTATCTCTTGGGTTCGTAGTGGAACATAGGGCTTCAGTATCACGTCTCCATTTCACTCTATTCTCTGCAGTCCTTTGAATTTGGCGCCACAACTGCCCACAAGTCTCTTCCTCACATGATCTCCTCCATGTCACCCTCAAACGCCCAACTCATCCTTTCCCATTTGAGTTCCACTCGAGTGTCTGGCCTGGAGTGTGATGTCCCCAAATGGTCTTCTCAGTGTATGTCCAGCCCAATCCATTCCCACTTTCTTTTCATATTTGTTGAACGTCAGGTTGTTGGTTGGTTCGTTCCCAGAGTTTCTTGTTGCTTACTGTTTCTGGCCATCTGATCTTCAGCAACTAGCGTAGGCAGCTATTGATGAATGTCTGTAGTTTGTTGGAAGTGCTTTTCGTGACACTCCAAGTTTCTGAACCATATAGAAGCACTGACTTGATGTTGGTGTAAAAAGTAGTGCTAGAAGTTACATTTTTTTGCCGGCCACGGTAATAAGTGTGGTTGAACAGATTTCCTTTCAGTACGCGTGAGATTAAATCGAAATCGTTTCTGCTATGTGAAGTAGACGATTACTTAATCTATATCGTAAACTAACTGATAAACGATGAGCAATCCTAAATGATTTGCTAGTATCCACTTGATATCCAGTATCGACTAAGTGTGCAAGTATGGAACTCTTTATTGTTGCCATCTATCCCTTATTCAGCAGTGATGGATGGTGCTGAGAAATTCTACGATGGACTCATTTCATCATACACCCAATATAACTAGCTTGACAGGAGCAGCTGAAGTGATGAATTCAAATGGAAGTGACAGAATCAGGCAGTCTCTCCTTATTTTCTGCACCTAGAATCGAGTTTTGATGAAAGATGGGACATAATTTAGCGGCTGTAAATGCTGTGTGTAAGGCTCTTTTCATACATTGAGTGATGATTCCACTAACAGTTTCATCTTCGGATTCCACTTTCAAGAACATTCGAGTCTTAGGAACTGTTAGAAATTTTCGGATTAAAAGAATAAAAAGCGTGGAGTAAAAGAATTTAGGCGACGAGTGAACCAAACTGTCTGATAATAAGAGAAACTCCATAAAAATAATGGCTCCTTTAGAACTTCTTTTGGCTCACTAAAAAGCGTCAAAATTTAACCTTCAAAGTTACACTCTTCTTATCAGTCTTAATCTCTGAAAATCTTAGCTGACATATTTATCACAAGATTGCTTGTGGAATGGGTGAATAATGACGGACTAGAATGTAACCTGGATAAATGCTGAACTATTTTTCTCCAAACTCTTGGCTCTCACAAAGTATCCTACTCCGTACTCAGTACTATATTTTATGCGCAGACAGCTGCTGCCTTCTTCCCATAATCCTTTTCTGGAACCCTAAAATACCTGTATATGACCTCACTTAGAGATCTACAAGATCTTCTGTAAAAAGATGTGGACCTCCCGGAAGAAGTCTAGAGGTGAGCCACGAAGAGTATTGTAGGAGTGCGGCAATTACCCCTTCTTCTTTGCATGATTTCCTAACATATTCATTAAACACTATTTTCATTTTTGCCAGAAAATATCATAAAACTATCAAAGAAATTCAACATTCAACTTAAAGCACAATACCTTTATATGATGTAAAATCTTCTTTCTTTCAGACCGGGGATTTTCACCACCTGGGATGAAAAAGGATGGTAAACAACATTACCGAAGATTTTTCACCACCAAATGTTATAACCATGTCTGCAAATATGATATACTCCCGTAAACTCAGGAATAAAAATTACTATGATTATTATTATAGGCTAAAGGATCTAGGCTTTTACTCTCCTAGTTACCAGAGGTTGTTGAGACATTGAGTAAATCAGGTCAGCCGAACAGTGGAATTCTACCGAACGGTCTCGGTTTCAATTGTCGTGGGGATGTAAGGAGAATCTTCCATCCATGGGTGAAAACCTGTATGTGTGCACAATTTTCCTCCCTCCCAGTTACGTCAAATGGAACGAATTACCTGTCGAAATTGGCAATGCTCTACCTGTCGACAACTTCAAGAAAAGTTTGAACAGCTACGCAGTGACACATGGCTTGCTCTCACCCAGTTGGGATTTAGACTAGGCCAAAATAACCAAATGATTTCACATCATTACAGTACAGTCAGTCTCCATATTGACTCTTTTTTACTGTCACTATCAGCAAAAACTCTCCTCAACATCATTCTCCCTTGTTAGATGCCCTATCTCTCCAGTTACCATACCCCCATCCATATCGTTACTATTTTTGTGCTCATTATCCTTGCTATAATCTAATCTGCTTTGTTGCCTTCCTCTTAATCTCTATGATTTCCCTCTATTCACTAAATTTCCCCTGGTTCTTTTTCCCTCATCTCTTCTAAATCTACCTAGATTTCTTCACTCCTTTCGTTCTGCTTCTTTTCAACCTGGTAATTCTCAGTCCATTTTCATTTTCACTTAACAACTTCTCATTCTTCCTATCTTTTTTGGCAGTGAGTCCAAACAAATATCTAGCGATAAGAAGCCTAAAGAACCCATCTGCAGCACGACCTCAAGAAAATCATACGACCCCTCTACAAATTTAATCACTACCCGGTAACCTGTCAGTTATACCATAGCTAAGGCAGGTATCGGGATGCACTAAAAAACCTGGAACCGTTCCGCAGGATGTAGAAGCAAGAGCGAAGAAGCTAACTGGGTTATACAAGCTCGTAAAAAGATATTGCATGTTGGAAGTCTGTCACTATAATGTGTTTCCAGTTTCAAGTTTTCTGCGCCACATTTTATCTCCCTTTTCCCCCCTAACCACCTAAGAAATGAGTGACAACATCGTTCTAGCCAAATCTGGTCTAAGAACCACCTCAAGTAAAACCTCGCCTCAGCTATCAACCTCCCCTTCCTTGGTAGTAACCAGGGCTGGAGGCAAGAGGTTTAAAACCGCCTCAAATGGTCACGAGTAGACCTCAGGAGAACAAAAGCTGCCTTCAATTACCGAAAAAAGTCGAACTCCTGTCTTCTAGGACCCATCTGTTTTCGTTCTCCAAAGAGCGTGCCTTCTTGGCACAACTGGCTCGAAACCTAGCCTGCCTATGAAGACTACCACAGAGAAACGGCAGAGAAGCAAAAGAAAGTCTGACTAAACTTTCTGACCAGGCTGATGATTGTCACACGTGTGGTCCAGTCTTAAGCAAAATGGAGGTGGCTTTTGGACGTCATATTTGTAATGAGTGGGTACACTATCAATGTGATAAGGACGTACCGGACCGTTATTACACCTTTACAGCATGTCAACCATGCACGTGGATCCGGTATATCTGCTTACAGTGTCGTGTAAGGCCACTCCTTTCCTCAGGCTCGCCTAGGGAGATCTTAAAAGACCTAGAGTGGCTACTGGGATGCCGGAGTCCACACAGACCACTACTGGGAGTTAAAGTTCGAAAAATAAGCGTGTCAGCATCGTCCCTCGGACAATCATGCCTGTGAATAGCCCAGAAATGGCCAAACGACGACCAGCCATGCGGTCAACTGCATCAGCCCCAAACCCTGAAGTTGTTTTAACAGCTTCCCCTGCTTTACATCGAGAAAAGCGAGTTACAGTGGAAAAGAAGGCGCACTCTTCTCATTAAAACCCATCCAAAGTACAATAGGGATGTTGATGATGGGTCGAATTTCACTATCATATTTAACGTCCTTGTGTGTCATGACAGTCTTCTTGAGAATAAAGAGTCATTCGACAAACAGTAATAGTAATAAGTATGCTCAGTACTAGGACTGGGGAGCTTAGAAGTGAACCTGTGCCAGCCCTATAACGGCAACTATTCACCTCAAGGAAAGCTCCCAACGATGAGTGACCCCGAGATCAGCTAAGAAGGCTGAAAAACTCCTATCTCTGTCACAAAAATAGTAGTCATCCAGCATTAGAGCCAGACCAGCCATGGTCAGCAAGAAAAATATCTCAGGAAGAGCCCTACACGCTGAAACCAACAACTATGGTTTTCCATGGCATACCAGAACTAACAGATGGCATATTGGTACAGAAGTAAATTCATGATGTCCACCAGTGGCAGTGGTTTTTAGCAAGGATAGGATTAAATGGGGTAATGGCAGCAGAGGTCTGTAGACACCCACATCTGAAAACAGTGGTATCGCCCAGGTTGACGGCTATTAACTTCAAGTGTCAAGGACTTCCGACCGAAGTACTGAAAACTTGGTACGAAGTTAAAGACAACATCGGTGGATAACGAGTTTGGACCCTGCTCCACCTACCAAGGTCTAGGCAGCCAGGTAGTATTATGAGCCGTTACACAATACATCTAGCTCACTGTCTAATGCATAAATGTGTATGTAGTTGCTGAGTAAACTTCTTCTTTGCAGTAGTAGTATTATAAAGTAGTGGGGAAACTGATGTTTAAGACAGAAATACATCAATAGATATATCACCATAAAATTTATAATGCATACATTGAAAGGCTTACAAATTATATATATGGATGAAGTAGAGAGTACTATACATTCTAAATATTTGTTTAACATTCTAATGAAGTAGAATATTATTAAAATACAAATTATAATAAGTTAAACAAAGAATAAAATGTAGTCAAAACTTTCAGATCAAAATTCATTGATTTACAATAAGCTGGAATGTTATATGGAATGAAGAAGTTACTACTAAGGGAGTCCAGTGAAAGCAGAAAAATAATAATAATAATAATATATGCAAATACATAATTAAAAACAATATTATACAAAATATTGATAATAAGAGAATGATTATTATGCATACAGCTATTTTATAATAAAACACATTGAAACTTATAGGTAAACAGAAGAAATTGAATATATTTTTTTCTCATCAGTGATTATGATTATGCTAGTTAAATATGGGATGTTTATTTAGATCATAATTGAGCCTTGACGATTTCTTCTAGGTCTAGAATAATCTGATTCCGAAAGAAAACGCTTTAAAAGAAAGGTAAATAGATACAGATTACATTTTGAAGGTCGACTAGAATTGAAGTAGTTAGAACATAATATAGCTTAGTTTTATGAAAGGAAATACATAGGAAGTTCTATGGAATTTCCTGAAATATTTCACATCTTCAACTACTGAAAGTGGCATAAGCCATGGTTATCCATGAACTGAATGAAGCCTGACCTTTGTGTGCAAAAAATTACGTAGAGTCTTTGTCTCTACCTTTGTTTTGGTTTGTTTCGCTTTTAAGTTTTCTCAACTTCTTCATTTGTTAGAATAATCGTTCTACTTTTATATTGTCATTATCTGTATTATTACTTTTACACTGAATAGTTTCCGGTGGTACTTCATTTAATCGTCCCAATAATTGCAACGTCAAACAGGTATTTTCAATCTGTCTGAATTAACTTATTCAAAGTAACTAGTCGTTTGATTGCTTATTAACTTTATTATGGTTTTACCCCTTTGTAATCTATATGCACTTTACAAACAATTTATCCCTTGGGTTCCTAGTGGAACATAGGGCTTCAGTATCACGTCTCCATTTCACTCTATTCTCTGCAGTCCTTTGAATTTGGCGCCACAACTGCCCACAAGTCTCTTCTTGTTACTTCATTTGATCTTCCCAGTAATTGTAATGTTCAACAAAACATTTTCAATTTATCCCAATTAACTTGTCTCATTCATATTATCTAATCTTTTGACTATTTTTAAACTGGACTACATTTTCATCTCTTTGTAATCTATATACATCTTATAAACAATTTAAAGAATCTTATGTAACCCTTGTTTTGCTATCAGTCAAGCTTTACATCATCAATTAAAAACATTATTATAACTATAACCAATTATTATTATTGTTATTTCAATCTCTCATTCTTTACGGTTGGAATTTATCATGAACTGACATCAGTTGGAGGAATACTGGAAACCTGAGAGCACTGGAGAGCTCTTTCGTCCTGGTATGGGACTACTAAGAAGTACGCACCCGTAACCCCATCCCACCAGGGATCGAACCAAGGACCTCGGGTTCCATTGAACCACTGGGTCGGATAGAATCCAATGGTCCACATTTCCTACTTCTGTCAGTTCAAGATATAGCGCGACCCACACCCAATGTCGTCGCTGAGTAATTGTTCTCATGTTCGGCTTGGTTACTTCAATAGTTACGACTTCACATTGAACTTCAGGAATCATCTCTTACCAATGAGCGCTAGATTGATTCTATCCGGAGGTTTGTGGAGGTTAATTAATCGATTTAGGTTGGAATTCATCATGGATTGTGGTCTTATTACTAAGTCCTGGCTTTACTTCCCTTAGATTCTATCAAATCTAATCTTAATTCAGTAAACAGAGAGCACAATGATAAACTTTGTTTAACCACATGTAATACATACAACCTAGTTAACTCAGTACATGAGGATTTACTACATCACCAACTGAATTACCTCTTTACCTATGACTTAGTATTTAACCTTTTCATTAATCAAACAACACTGATTCTATTGGGATTACTTTCATTTTCGAAAATTATCAGTCTTATGTAAAGTTTCGCTTTAATCTGTTTGGCTATCTGTTACGAAAAAGAGCTGAATATTTCGAAGGCGCAGAATCATGCTGCCGTCCACCCCAAGAAAAATATTAAGCCACATCATCTTGGAGAGACGAAAGGATGCACGTGATCCAAAATTATAACCGGAACAGGCTGGTTGGATTAAGAAAGTACAAATCATGTGGCGACCAAATTGCAACGCTACACTATGCATCATCATAGAACAGAGTATAGAATGGCAGTCGACTCTCTACCTCAACTTCGTCGACTTTGAAAAGGCCTTCGACAGCGTCGACCGAGAAGTAATGTGCCAGGCAGTTGCTTCAACACTACGGAATACCACAAACCTTCATCAGCCTCATTCAGCAACTATATGAAGACTCCACATATCGTGTGATTCACAGTGGGAAGCTCAGTGATGCTTTTGAAGTGAAGACAGGAGTGAAACAAGGCTGTCTACTATCACCCATGATATCCTGAATGTGGTGGACTGGACTGGATCATGCAACAAACCGTGAGGAGCGAGAAGAGGGGGATACAATGGCTGGACCGCCGCAAAGAACCTAGAAGATTTGGATTTCGCCGATGATTTATGTCTGATGTCACACAAACTCGAAGATCTACAGGAGAAAACTAACAAGTTGACAGAAGAGGCAAGGCAGGGCAGCGAAGACGGGACTTCAAGTGAACGTAGAGAAGACCGAGGTGATGAAGACACCCACCCAACAACAACAACAAAAAGCACCAATCACCGTCAACGAGAGAAACTTAAAGGAAGTAGCCTCTTTCGCCTATCTAGGCAGCATCTTTTCAACTATAGGTGGCACAGACGAGAACGTCAAAGCCAGGATCGGAAAAGCAAGACACACGCTCATTAACCTGAAAGCAGTATGGAGATCTTCTGCACTCAGCATGTCGAACAAGATCCGGATGGTGACATGGAGGAGATCGTATGAGGAAGAAATGAGAGCTTCTGGGCTGTCGTGGAACCAGGTTCAAACGTTTGAAGAGAACAGAGTGCACTGGAGATGTGCTACTGAAGCTGTATGTTCCATTGGGAACCTAAGGGACAAATAATAATAATAAATTCGAAGGTGACACTGAATAACAACAAATGATAACAGGTAAAGAGACCTCATGTGATTAACACAACTTGATAGTTATTTCTTCATAATTTTGGACTGCTGGACAAAATATGACTGAACGCATATGTTTAAGTCTTACAAATAAGTATAATACCACTGGAACACTTAGTTAGGATCTAGTGGTGCGGCGTATTATTGGGACACAATTTTCAGTGAAGAAAATCATCTGATACAACTGGTGAAGATTATCATTATTCGTTCCAATCAAGTCTACATTAGTAATTTATTGAACTTAGGAAATCTATGACTAGGAGAGCGTTCCCAGTTCAGCTTCATAATGAGAATGCTAAGGCTGCTTTCAAAAAATGCTAAAACAAAACAGCTTCACTTATATAAGACAATCCTAGTGACATTTCTAATGAACGAATGCAGAGTAAAAGTAAATCAACTTTAGACTGACATAGGGTCTACACAAGGAATGTAAATAATGATAGACAGGAAAGGCTGAAAGTTGAAAATGGAAGCAGTGATAATTAACAGTAAATAGCTATTTAAAAAAAATAGTTGGTGTTAATTGAGACATTAGTGGAGAACGGTGGATGTACTACTGAGAAGACAATTGAATGATGGGTGAAGCACTTTGAGGAAGAGTTCAACTGATCTCCAACTACTTTTCGGTTGCCCACTGTTCAATCACCTAAGTGGAACATTAAGATAGGGTGACTAGCTCTTGCAATAGTTGTGTGTGTGTGAGAGAGAGAGAGTACCAAACCTGAGACGACGAAGGATAGAAGGCTATGATTAGTTAACCTTGATATAAGAATTAGATATGGTATCCTGTAACAATCCTTGATTACTATTCATATCACTCTTCAGGAAAAGATAAATATCCTCTTGTGAGAATAACGAGGAAATCAGACTAACAAATAATGTTTCTAAGATTTTAGGTCGTATAATATTTAGACATCTAAATGAAGCTAGAAAACAGCAAATATAAAAAAAACCCAAGCAGGTTTCAGTTCTGATCGTTGGTATGTCGACCGAACATTCATCCCTCCTTAGACCTTGAAATAACGAGTACTCATGGCCATCCGACACCAGTCATACTAAACGACCTAAAGGTTGCATTTAATCCCATCAACTGAGAGTTCTCATGGAATTTTATGTCACTGAAAGCTATGTCACGTAAGTAAATCACTTTTTTGAAGGTTCTGTATTCAAAAATGCATGGGCAATAGGTAAGTTGTTAACATCGAGGATTTCAACTCTCTCCATCTTCATTTCATTCTGTCACGGAAATTCAAATGAATATTTTCTTCTACTCATCGCCATTATCAGAAGAGACTTCTTAGTAGATAGTATATTCCTGTTGGATGAAGGCGCTTATCAAATGCAGAGTTTTCTAGACCCGTTGAGTTAAAATTTGAGGAAGTTTGAGGTGAATTTCTTACTATCAAAAGGCAAGTTGTTATTTGAAGACTGCGCTACAATAACACCTTCCCCGGGAGAATATCTAAACTGTCTCGATCAAGGGACATTTTTGCTTATTCCATTCAGTATGTACATACAAATGGTTTAGATATAGGTCAGTCACTTCAAGAACTGATATGGCATTCCGTTTTAGATATCCTTAATTTATTCATTTTCAGCAACATATTAACCGGGTTGAATACTAGTGAGAAAATCTTAAGGTCACTGAACAATCAAAAACATAGTATCGATCAAATGATAAACATGGAAACAAGAGAAAAAATGGTGCATACAATTAAAATCGATACTAATGTACTCACATCATGCTCCATTGGTGAGTCCATCTCCTCAACATTATAACGTGGATGATTATATCTGTTACTTGGTGTGACTGGCATGTGATTTTTTCGACCATGTTCTGGTACATAACTACTATCCTGTCGTAAAACCTTTTATCATTGTAAAACATTCATAAGAAATGAGAAAATTATAAAACGGTAAGTTATTTACATAAAATACAAAAGAATAAACAGAGAGTGTCGAGTATTTTTATCTGAAGACAATAGTAAATTAAGTGATAGAATTATACTTTAGAGACGATCCATCACGTTCATGACAGCACTGACCAATCAGAATCAAGAACATGAAGGACAATTTAATCAATAAGGTAAATGGTACTTAAAGATAACTAGATTTTCAATAGGTTCGGGATTCTTGAGACCATATAGTTGTCTATTTTGCCATTAATCTATAAGCGAATACATCATTTCCCCCCGTGGTTCCATGAAAGATTTCAAGAACTTTCTAAGACGTCTTAAAGTTGTTTGTGGGCATTCAAGGTGTCCTATCAACGAGGTGCTTCTTGTGAACAATAGCTTGATAAGGTAACCCATTCTGATGTACTCATATATGACTTTCAAGCTTATGTCCATACCCCGACCGACGTAGTGGTTGGGCTTGGATATCAGGATGACCCAACGAGCTATGCTAGTGGATCACCTGTTCCTTCGAGGTTCTACCATGCCACAAAGGCTAGACAAGAAGCAGTTACTATTATAGTGCAAGTCGCTACGCTATGATGGGGGAAGGGGTCTGTGGTCGAAACCATACTGTTGCTAGTTGGATGGGGTGTGACAGCAGTAAGGTGTTTCCCTTAGATGGTCAGCAGTACCAAGCTGATACTGCCTTCCCGACGGGAAGGCGAGTTAGGATAGGCCGGCCCTAAAATTAGCACATTCCCATCCCTTAGAGCATGCGGATACTTGTAATAGCAATTCATAGTCAGATTCAAATGCAAAAACCAAAATCTAAAAACTGCCAAAAGGCCGTATGTGACCGGCCTCAGACAGACGCCTCTTGGGCTCTATGGTCATACATTAATCCTTCTTTTCCATGTACCTCAAGAAGAACTAGCCTTCCACGGTGTGGGCAGCCGGGAAGTGTCAACCACCTACACCCTTCCAACAGTACACAAAACCCAATAAAACATAACCTATCCTCTTCAACTCTGCCTCCTCCATTGTCTTCACTTCCTGATACTGATATTAAGCCTCTTATACCTTACCCAACTTCTCATTCTGTGACCACTGCCAACGATCAAAGCCATCGAAACCTGATTCCTAGTCTCCTAAGACTCTGCCATCGATTTTGTGCAGAACATTTCAGCGTCCGAACCCTACGCCTAACCGGACACCAGGCATCGCTCGCCAGAATTCTGAGATGTTGAGCCATGGATATATGCTGCGTTTAAGGAGACACGTATACAAGACCCCAGCGTAGCAATTAATTTAACCTCACCTGATCATAGTAGTGAATTTTCAAAGTTCACCTTAAGAGTATCCAGAGACCCAATGGCTAGCTCTTGTGGACCCCGTAGTGTAAGTATAGCGTTGAGCTGTACAGCAGAAAGTGCCTCTCGACTGAGTGAATATTTTAGCACTAGGAAGGATCTTGAGATTAGCCGATGCCTCTTCGTAACCTCTACCTACGCACCCACCGAATGCAGTTCGGTGTGAAGAATGAATTCAATGAAAAATTCAGTTTCGCTGCCGGTAGCAAAATGTTCAATCACAGTCATAAATGCAGGTGACTTCAATGCTCAAGTAGGCAAGCCGAGCCAATCACAAAGGCATCTTGTGGGTATTTTTTTCGAAATGCAATCCCAGCGAACTAACAACGGCAATTTCGCTTCGACAATCACTTGTTTCTGACCATCACTAACTTTGGGCATAAGGAGAGACAATATCTCACACGGCTTCCGCCAACTTGTAACCAGCGATGAACACAGATAGATCACATTGCTATAAGCCATCGTTGGAGAGGATTAGTGGAGGACTACCGCTCTATCTGAAGTACCAGTTTGGACCTCAATCATGCTTTGATACGGGCACGTGTATGTCTGCGCTTTAACTGGTCGCAGAAAAGAGATAAGATGAAAGTATGTCTGTGGTCGATTAGAAGATGAGAACGTGAAGTAGGTATTTGGGGGAGTTAGCTGGGCATCTATCTGAACATGACAGCAATGCTGACCCTGAGGAAATCTGGTGTGATGTTGTGCTTGCTGCAGAAACAGTGGTAAAGATAGTTGGTAACCCATACCTAAAATTTAGCGAACATCACTGGATTTCCACGACGTCATCCGAATCGATGATGCGAGAAGACTGATTCTAGCAGGCTCTGACCACGATGAAGAATGAAAGCAACTTAAACATAAATTAGCCAAGAGTCTCCACAATGGTCTCGAGCAGTGGAGGGTGGTGACAAAGACAGAGATGGAGAAGGCATCAGCGTTTGGTAACACCCGACAACCATTTGGGCTTATTAAAGACACGGATGAAAAGAAAAGGATGGTTGGTGAGACAGTCACTAAAAGGATAATACTTAGATTAACCACTCGGGGCAGACGTCTAGACCGTTTGGCAGAACACTTTAAAGTAAAGTTCAACTGGCCTTCACCAACGCATCAGTTGCCCAACATCCAGCTTGAAACTAAATGGGATGTAGATTTCGGTCCTCTAACTCACCTTGAAGTTGAGAAGGCTGCATCAAACCCGAAACGATCCAAAGCAGCAGGACCTGACAGATTGTCTTCTAGAGCTTTCAAGGATGGAGGTGGGAAATTGCTGAGTAGGGTGACGGAGGTATTAGGAAGTGTATGGAAATCAGAGGTAGTGGGGTTAGACTAGTCTACTTCTCTGATCATCCCAGTCTATACGAATAAAGTACTACAGTAACAACCACAGGAGAATTAGTTTGCCTGAGATTGTGTCCAAGCTCCTAGGGTCCATAGTTATCCGATGCCTAAAGAAGCTTGAGAACAGAAAACTCGAGAAAACAAGGCAGGTATCATACCTGGCGTGGAAGCATTAATCATATTTTCACCCTACTTAAACACAAGCATACCTACCGATCAGCGGTCGACATTTGCCAAATTTCCCGACCTGAAGATGAAATTCGACTCTGTTTAGCATCAGGTGTTGTTAAAGTGTTTGACAGTGAAGGGAGTACGGAGCAAGTATATAAATTTAATCAAAGCTCTTTACTTGAACTCATGAAGCCATGTACGAGTTCATGGAGAGTTGTCATCAAAATTGACGACATATAGTAGTCCCCATCAGGGATGTTCACTGTCGCCGTTCCTATTTAACTTCATTATACACATACAAATGGACATAACCTTAGGGACATGTGACTTCCCAGAAATTGGTCGACTTCATGGAGGCCATCTGGTTGATTTACAGTATTCAGACGATATTGTCCTGCCACCTGAAGATGCTGACAAAGTGCAAGGTCTTCTGGATGCTTTGATAAGAAATATGAGTATGTTTGGCATGCGTTTCGCACTTGTCAAACGTAAGCCCAAATGGGCTGGTTGTTGACTAAATCTCAGTTCGGATACAGAAGTCCCGTTTAGTATTTGCCATCCTGCGTCATTTGTGCCACTGATTGTTAAGACATCCAATTATTTAGCAAAGGAAGAATATGCTGCACTGAAGTTCGTTCTGTCCTGTTTTACGACTGTGGAGATTAAAACTAGGAGAAATGAAGTGGTTAAGGGGTTTTGATCATTGATGTCTTCGTTGCATTGTTCGCGTTCGGCGGAATCACCGTGTGAGCACTGTTGAGGTCAGGCGAAGAGTACTAGGCAAGATAAGCAATTCGATTGATGAAGCTGTGAACCTTCATCATCTGAGGTGGCTTGGACATGTGTTGCGCACGCCCAGAGACCGTCAGACAAAGACGTGACACCAGCACATGAAGTCTCTGACTGTTGGTCTCAGTCGTGCTGGGAGATGCAGACCACATGCCTGGGGTCCTCGAAACGAAAGGAATCAGTGGTTGAGGACTCTTGGTGACGGCTGAAAATTAATCACAATGATGAAGATGTATTCACTCTTTGAAGTCTTCCAAAGCATTAATAATTACACAAGCCTTTGTCTTCAAACTGCTTTTGTTCTCTCACACAATTTTGTCTACTTTGACATCAATCTTTTTCTATCTGTTCTTTGTATACTACCGTGAAGTGTGACAACTTGAAGGTATGCACTTATGTGGGAGGTTTAACGTTGATTCTATTTCTCTCCATTTCTCTGTCCATATTATGGTACCCAATGCCATGCATTTTTTAAAAATTGATGTATGCTTTATGTACTGAAGATGTCTTTTCTTCGTATTTCGGCTGTATATATACTAAAAATCCGTGATTCGCCAAGAAATATGTATGTAAGTAACTGCGTACTGTTTAAGTCGTCTTCCTGGGTTCTATTCACATCTCTGAAAGAGATATTCATCTATTTCAATCACATTACCTACTCCAGTAAAGTTCACATGTAACCTGTAAAGTATTCTTCGTCATAATTTATCAAACTTCTATGTGCAGTGTAAACAACACGATGAATGGACGTAACAAATGACCTTGAACAGGGCTCCTACATCACTGATCATTCTCAAGGTTTCCCGTTACATTTACTTCACTCTCCTAATCCCTTTTATTATAGATTTCTATTAAAGGGATAAATTTCTAAAAATATTTTATAAGTTTATCAGTTTTTTTTTTATTCTTTACATTTTTTTTACGTTATTTCATACATGAGCTTTCAATAGAAGCACACATCAACAGGCAGGGATGTATGGTCTTTGACTGTATACCAGCTGATAAGCGATCTTTAAATCTTGCATTGAAGAGCCCGGTCAACACTTTACAAAGTTACGACAAGCATTAATGTTTACCTGTTATCTCTATTTCATTTATTCATTGAGTGAAGATTAAATCATATAGAGAAAAAACAAGTTCTACTCATAAATCTGGTGTAAAAGTGAAAATTTCATTCATAAAACCATTGAGGTCAATGTTTTCGTTCAGCATTTGTTTCCTAAGATAAAGCTTGAATAACTGATTACATTTCAGTAGATTTGTATCCTGATAAATTTTCAATGTATGATATCATAATGAAGGGTGTTGTGACCATGTGGGGTTGCTTGCGTGGGTATAATGATACTGAAACTCAATAGACACCTCAACTGAATACTTTTACGACTGACCTCCCTCAGTACCTTCTGTTTCACTGAGTTGCGAAGAAGTCAAAAAACAAAGACGGCCTGTGACTGTAAGTACAACAACAACTTTTATTAGGCAAATGCATGACTCCCAGAAAGTGGAGCCATAAATGAAGCAATCCGATTCGTCGTATGAGGTCGAAATTCTCCAATCAGGTTCTCATGTCTGCGCATGCATAAATCATGACCTGAAAACAACTCCCCTATCGGCTGCCTTTTTGTCGCCACGTATCAAAGGGTATACATTCCATAGAGTAATAATGCTTTAAAAATATTTACCTGATTTGAAGGTATATGAGATTTATGACCTGGAGAATAATTATCCATACGAGAAGAATTCCAATTTCTTCGTGAATCACTGTATTGTCCATGATGATAATCTATACACAAAGCAAAGAAAAAGAATAATTTGAAAAAATGTAGGACTTTAGAATATTTATTGTGTGAATAAAATTTTCACTTGTGTGGTTTAAACTTGACAGGTTTCTAATAGTGACTGAATATTATTAATTCAGACTGTAGAGGAAATACATAGTGAAAGCCTTTTTAAGAAGGTTAACTATTATATATAGCTCCAGTCGACCCTTTTGTATCATTGGTATAGCCTGAGTTACATATATATGCAGACGCTTGTACAATAACTTTAGAATTCCACCCTTTACTGGTCACTTAGTTTCTCCATAAACAGAAAAGAAGGCGATCATAGAATAGAAGGTATATTTACAAAGGCAACGGCAGCAATATATACAACTTACAAGGTTTATATATATAACAGTGGCTTTGATTATTTTCTGTTGATTTTTAATCTTTTCAACTAACCTAATACTTACAGGTTGATTTACGTGTTTTTTTTTCACGAAACTTCCAAGCAAAGCAATTGGTTGAAAAAGGCTTTAGGCTTCTTACGAAGATTTTGTCAATCTTTCTGCACACAGACTAGAGTAGGTAAAAGGCAGGACAGTTACATACCAGCCAATTTAGAACATATGATTTGTTAAGTGAAGTTGCTTAATATTCTGTAAGTAATATGCAGAGTGCTACATTTTGATGCAAAAGACTTCATCAGCTGATGAAGTCGCCCATCCTGGTGCTCAAACATCCAAGAACAAACCTAAAAGCTCAGAGAACACAAAACAATTATCATTTTAATTTTGAGCTGCAAAACTTCTCTAATATTTTGAGTGTGTATTTCTCATATTCTTTATTTCACTGTACTTGTTGATTTTCTTACTTAATACTGCCGGGAGGTAAAACAATCTGGAGTAGTGGATGACTACAACAGGTTTTGTGCTATCTGTTCTGTACTCATCACAACTAAATTAATTTGACATTTCATAAGAAACAATACTTGTAAGGCTAACTAAAATAGAATAATTAAAAAGTTCATTTCATTCACTTTGTGATCTCAGCACTATCAATGAACATTATACAATAGTAACAATTCGACTCTATAGCTTGTAATTTCTCTTCCTTGATTCGACCAAAACAGATAGTCACTACTGTCATATGAGTTCCTGTATGGATGCCTTCATACTGTCATTACTCTCATTTTGGCATTATATGATAGATTGTGGCTAGCAGTAGAATCTAGGACGCTCATTTCGTCCCTTTCAGACTCATCAGCTGGATGTACCTGAATCTCAATGAGTGATGTTGTTCCCAGCAAGGCTAGAACCCAGAACTGTAACATTAAAACTATACCCACCGCACAAGCAGATTCTTTTATGACTCACTGACCTAGTGGATAACGTTCTCGTGCTTGAAGCGATTAGTTCTAAGTCCCAGTCCTAACTGGGATAAAACCACTCGTTTGAAGGCAGGTACATCCATCAGACGAGTCTTAAATAGGACAAAACGTGCATCTTGGATTCCACCCCAAGCCACTATTCATTAACGTTACCAAACAGCAAGAACCTATTTAACATAGAAGTATCTGGATTTGAGATATTAGAGGAGATTTGCTGCTTAAGATAGGGATGACGATGGTTTGTTTTCATCCGACGGTGAAGTTTCTTTTATTAGGATTGATGATTTTGCGATAAATAACTTCTTTAATGCTTTATAAAACGTCTACAATGTATGTGGAAAGTTTTTTTAACATAGAAATGTTATATTGACAAAACCTTTCTCTTTATGCTTACGGCATAAAATAGCTTATATTCAACTCTCCAGTTTCCTTACAACGGCATTATGTCTGGGTAATTTAGTCTCTACTATAAATTTGAATAGTGTAACTAGAAGACAAAATTTATATGAATAATTTGATTTATTTTTACAATACATAATTTACAATCTTTTATTACCAAGACTAGGATAAGAATACGCTATGCTTCCCTTATTATCCTTCTTAATTTAAACCCTTAATTATCTCAATTGTTTTATTTATCCCTTAATTTTTCGATTTTATGTAAATTGACTTGACAATTAAACATGTGGCCAGATTGTCTGAAATGTGTACTGAGTAAATACATCACATTATCCAAGTAAACTTCGTCTTTGGATAAAAATATCCTGATATTGTCTTTCTAATGAACTACCTTTCTTGGTCATTAAAAATGTAGGACAATTAACCGATTCAATAGAATATCATTTGACTATCTTAGATAGCCTTAGTTTACTTGACTAGTATTTATAATGGGTGTTGATTGAAGGCGAAATGAAAACTTGGACAGCGGTCAGATTCTAACCAGTGACTACTTGGTTTCCGGTCCGATGCTTTACCAACTGAGCTACGAAGTCCGAGTATAAATACTATTCTACCAAACTACAGCTATCTCAAATAGTCAAAAAGATAATCAACATGACGCTGCCTCTCTCTAATTCAGTCAAATTTAGATTGGGATGAGAAGTCCTGACCAGGCAGCCAGTATGAATACCATCAAGCAGTAGTAACGCGTCACGAATTCACATGGTAGCCGGCAAAACCCCGCTTTGTGATTCAAGTGAAATAAAAATCTGGCCAGCGGTCGGACCTCATAGCCCAGTTGGTAAACCCAGTATTCGGTGGTTCGAATCTGACCACGGTCCAAATTTTCATTTCGCCTACACCCTGTTTAAATAGAATATGCGACGAAATATAATGGAAAATACAGAGAGATGATGAACACCGACAGTAGAAACACAATCACTATTGTAGTGGTTCTCTCGTGTTCCTTTGTCTATATCAAACATCAATCTAGAGGGCTTGATACAGATGGAGAATATTTGTAGTTCATTTGGATGATTTTGGTTGGGCCGAGTTCACTGAACTGGACAGTTTAGTCGTGAACATTACATTGTCTCCATCTAGACAACATTACCAGAGATAACTTCAGCGCATTACTGAACGCTATAGCTTAGATTTAGTCGAATGCTTGGACTTATCTTGAACTCTCGTTGTTTCTAATTATCTGCTGTGTAATTTTTCAGTTTTCATTAATCGAAGATTTTTGTTTTACTACTGAAGACTTGTCATAAGTAGTATCAAATGGCCCACAGAAAATAGAATTCTAAGGATTCAGAATTCATTAGGAAAAGTGGAAAAATGGTTATAAGTAGGTTTTAATATGCATCCTTCGAAAACTTAGGCTTTTATACATTCAAAAAAGCATTTTTAGCTCATAAAGTCTAGTGAAAATACATCTTTATAGGAGGTTACTTTATATATCAATTTACCTTCTGATAATTCATGTTTATCCTCAAAACGCCTATCATTTTCAAATTGACGTCTTGGTGACAGATTCGAGTTTGGATAGGATTTAGATCCACTAGACTCTTGATCACTTTTACCCTTCTTTTTTTCATTTTTAAATGCATTACTTTGACGTCGTTGCATCACATGAGTTGCATCACTTTCAACCGATTGATTTCCACCAGTTCCAATGCCAAGAATACGTTCAGCTTTTGTAACTTTGCCTGTTGGATGACTGGCTCTCCAATAAGCTTCTAAATATTCTGCCAAATGTTCACAAGCATCTGGAAGTTGATTTTCTTCAAGAATCACATCAAACTGATCCTAAACGAAATATACAATTATATAATTTTATATAATTTTTCAAGCTGTTATGATATATATGATAAACCAATCAAAATAAAAACAGGATAATAACAGATTGAATCAAATACCAGTTTTATTTTTAAAAACATGAATGATTCATTTAATAGTGTACAATAACCATATCTGAGTATGATCGAGCGAGTAATGATAAAAGGAAATAACAAGCTAAGTGAATTATTCTCAGTCCTGCCTATTGAATGTAAAATATTTTGAACAAAAATCCTCAATATTTCTGGCAGTATAGACTGTAAAGTGTACTACTTGTAACTGCAGAAAGCCTATCACTGTCATTTGAAACAAATAGCTTGCCTGTAATTACCGCATATCTTCAGTATAATTCAGAAGATGGATAGTACACGGGTGTCAAAGACTGACTTAACCAATAATCAACTTATAATAGGATAAAGATATGCGTCAAATACTTTTTGTGCGGTTGAAATGAAAGCAGAGATATTCGGACGTAGTTGTAATCAGAGGAAGATACCAATCTACTTGGTGGATAACAATGGGAACCAAGATATGCGTTTCGTCCTATTTTGGGCTTGCCAATTGTATATACCTGCACCCCAGTGAGTGGTAGAATTTACATTGAATCTCGGGGCCAGTACCCATTGCTTCAAACGTCAAAGCGTTACATACTAGGCCACTGGGAAACGACAATGATCACCTGTGGAACGGGTAACAGTTTTTGTTGTTGAGACCAAGCAATTTGACACAGCATAGCAACGGGAAATTATAAGTATCAATAAACAGGAAGATACCAGTTTCGATTGATTAACACATACCTGAAGAGAAAATTTCATTCTTAGGAAAATCAAACAATGTTATCAGACATCTACAGAGTGTGAAATGTAAAAACCAACGTAGAATAGTCTTCATTTTGGATTCCGTAATTCCACCACATTCAAGTCAGTGTTTCAAAGACATATGACCAAAATCTACTACCTCTTTATCTCGTTGACCATCTTCATTCGCAATTTCATACAACGAAAAAGTATAACCATGGAGACAGTTAGATATCTCACGGAATGAACATATGCTGGTTACCTTCGTAATAGTGTTTAGTAACCGTTTTATTCTATTTAAATTTTTATCCAGTGATGGTTTTTTAGATAGCAAACCAACTGAGGAATATTTTCACTGTTTGTGAAAATTAGTTCAAAAAAGTATCATGTTAAATAAAACTTTTATCTGAATAACTGTTGAAAAATACACCAAGAAGGTATACAACGAAATGGATGAAATACTCAGATCAACTATTCAAGAAAGTATGGGAGTAAGAAATAAATATGTCCATATTCAATCTTGTTTTTCCATGAACCGTACATAAAAACAGTAAACAAGAAACAGATGAGAACATTTCTTGATCATTCTTAAACAAGAATAACTATTGGCTATCAGAAGAGAAGATAAAATAATATAGTAATCTGAAAAAGAGTTAATTGATTGAAGTTGTTGTACTTCTCAACTTCATACACAAAAAGTGAAGAAATCGACAAAAAAGGAAAGTATGGACAAAGAATAGGTGAGTATACAATAATAGTATGTTTACAGATGTTTAATTTTCAAGCTTGCAGTGAACAACAAGTTTGTTGACATTTAATTACATAATATCTATATTTAGACGTGGTTATTCTGGTCCTAATTGTAGGTGAAAAAAGTTTTTTAAATGATAAGAGATAGTTATGCAGATCTCCATCTTATTAAAGACTTCTCTTGTTTAAGGTCACTTGAACTTGAACTGCAGAATAGACTTTCAACTAATTGGCAATTAAGTGAAACTTCGAAAGAAAACATCCTAATCGATAGTTACCGCATTGACGTGGGCAGGCTTTCATATCACAAAAATCTAAAGAGCTACAAAATTCGCGTTGCATAATGGTAAGACGAGACGAAAATCAGTTACCCTTATAGTGTAAATTATTACACCATGATGGGAGTCTCAGGTCGAAATCTTAATGACGGCTGGATGGGGAAACGACGAGAGTAAGGTGCTTTCCCTTGGATTACCAGTAGTAACATACTAATGCTGCCTTCCTTATAGGAAAGGGAGTAGGGGAGATAGGCCATAAAATACCATACCCCTCCTTCACCTGAGACCCTGTGCTAAGGGTATGAGCTTTTCCTTTCCAGTGTTAGTACAAGCGAACCTCAAATCAAAACACTTCAAAAGGCTGTGTATGACAGGCCTCAAGCAGATGTCTCATTCGCTCTGCTGTCACACAAACCTTTTTCTATTTCACATGCCTTGCAGAAAGAAAACGTCGTCAAAAAACTATGATACTATGAGCACAGTAAACTCTACAAAGAATATCAAAAAGCAAAATTAGATAAGAAAAGATCAAGTCTTTTCTAATATAGTGTTGAATAGATTCTGGAGACTGAAAGAACTCTTACCCCCTAACAATAAGCAAAATGTGTATTAGACTGTTTTTCATGGCTATAAAAGACCCTATATATTTCAGGTTACAAATAGGCTTATAAACAGCAACAATTACCTACACATATTACTAAGTATTTCACCAAATTACAGAGGTTTACGGACATTTGAGGTGGTTTGCATTTCATTAATCCTATATTTTGCGTTACTCTTTGGTACTTTTTCTTATCTATATCATGAATAATTTGTTTGGTAGTGACTAGTAATGAAGTCTAGGATGCACGTTTCATCCCACTTGGGAGTCATCGGCTGGATGTACCTCCACTCTCCAGTGAGTAATATTGTTCCATTGAGTACCCATTGCTTCAAACCCCAAAACATCATCCACTGGAACATGAAAGCCACTTTTTGTACAACGGGAATTAACTATTGTTGTCTAATGATTCTTTTAATTTTCAGTCTGAAGTTAATGGTCCTGACTTCCAGTCCTAGTGGAAACAACATAACTCACTGAAGGTAGGTACATCCAGCCGATCAGAAAAGAACAAAATAATTTTTACACAACATACATTAGTGCATTGCAAAAGTTTTTCAGCTGCAACCATTTGTACATTCATATTACGCGCCTGTGATTTACCACGTGTTTTAATCAATCGTTGTAACACTTTTGTTGAACTAATTTTCAAATAAACAGTAATTGGAGCAAGTGAAGTTTTAGCCAGTTGACTTGGATGATTAATTGTATCACAGTCTAGTACAACAAGTTGTTGTGTACGCGCTAAATCAAAAATACGTTCTATTTCCTGTTGAACCTCTAGAATTTAAGAGAAAATAGATAAGAATAAATTGTGTAATATAAACAATTTATGAAAAGAGAAATAACAAAAAACGATTTCATCATTAATACGAATATTAACATAGAACAAAGCGTAAGACCACGCACTGATTCAAGTTGCCACACATCATATCACTACATCAAGGAACAAAGTAATAAAATCAAAGGTGAAGAAAGAGAGAAACACCGGTCAAAAGCAGTAAAAGAGAAGAAGATGGAAAGAGGAAGTGTTGAATTCAGTATAGCGGTTAAGATGAAGATAAAGTAAGGATACATTTGCGCCAGTGACGTCGTTTCTGAGTCATATGGTTTAGATTCTCCGACTGCTGGTTTCTGTTGTCACGTGAACCCCGACTGGCTAGTCTAGATCTCTCTACGTGGCTTAGGTCAACCAACAAAGACTTCATGCAGTGATACCATGTTTTAGTCTGGTCTCCACTCACCTTTTTCAAGTCTGAACCGACTTCATTTACCACTGCTTGACGAAGCAGACGGGGACGTAACACATGTCCCAGCCATCTCAGTCAATAAATGTTACAACCTCTTCAACTGCCTTGCCTCTCCACCTAACCTCTACGTTACTCATGTGGTTACACCACGATACATGGACCAAACTACGAAGGTGGTAGTGATCAAATACCAGAATCCTTCTCATGCCTTCTACCTTTAAAGACGGAATGAAGCACTTTATCAATCATACACAAATTGCATCCCAACTTGTAAACTAATATTATATATATATATATATATATATATATATATATATATATATATATATCAAATAAACTATTAGGAACTACTAGTACAATATCCATGGTACAGTGTTCCCTTACTTATTATATTTCAGGTATTTGTGTACTGAAAGCTGTCTTAGTTCCATAAGGTGATAATATGTTTTCGAAGCATCATTCATTCATTTTTCTACTATTCATATTAGCACTTATTTGCAAAATAATTCAGTATACCAAATCTCTTGCAATCATTGCAAGGTTAAATACATAGGTTAAAGTAGTTTGACCAGGGTCAATTAAAATAACATAACACAAAAAATTATCTATCTATCTATATATCGTGAGCTAACAGAAGTTGGAAATATGGAGCATTGGATTCCGACCCAGTGGCTCAATGGTAACGCGCTGGCCGCGGAACCTGAAGGTCGCGGGTTCGATCCCTGCTGGTGGGGTCGTGGGTGCGCACTGCTGAGGAGTCCCATACTAGGACGAAACAGCTTTCCAGTGCCCCCAGGTTTCCTTTGTTCCTTCAACTGATGTCAGTCTACGATAACGACTTGAAATAATTCCAAATCTCCACAACTCCCTCAAAAATTTAAATCAAGATGACAAAAAAACTTAAAGAAAAGCTTGTATATAGCTCTGCACGCGATTACACACAATAGGTTGAGATAAAGTGATAGTAATAAAAACTTAGTTAGATAGAGTGAGAGGTTGATAACCAAATCTTTGTTTATCGAATCAACACCAAATACATGCAATCGAAATGATTCTGCACCTGTCCCAGATATATGGAAAATTCTACTACCCTTGTCATCACAGAAGAGGAGAGAAAATAAGGAGTATATAAACTCTGTTCCTGGAGAGACTAAGCGATGCGCTAAATTCGAAATTACGACCGGAACAGGCTGGTTGGATTAAGGAAGTACAAATCAAGTGCGGACCAAGTTGCAACGCTACGCATCATCATTGAACAGAGTATAGAATGGCAGCCAACTCTCTACCTCAACTTCATCGACTTTGAAAAGGCCTTCGACAGCGTCGACCGAGAAGTAATTTGGCAGGCAGTTGCTTCAACACTACGGAATACCACAAACCTTCATCAGCCTCATTCAACAACTATATGAAGACTCCACATGCCGTGTGATTCACAATGGGAAGCTCGGTGATGCCTCTGGAGTGGAAATGAAAATAGGGGTAAAACAAGGCTACCTACTATCACCCTTGATATTCCTGAATGTGGTGGACTGGACTGGATCATGCAACAAACCGTGAGGAGCGAGAAGAGGGGGATACAATGGCTGGACCGGGGAAAAGAACCTAGAAGATTTGCATTTCGCCGCCGATGATGGTTCATGTCTAATGTCTTCTTGTAGCGCAAACTCGAAGATCTACAGGCGAAAACTAACAAGTTGACAGAAGAGGCAAGGAAGGGCAGAGCAGCGAAGACGGGACTTCAATTGAATGTAGAGAAGACAGAGGTGATGAAGATACCCAACCAACAGCAAGCACCAATCACCATCAACGGGAGAAATGTAAAGGAAGTAGTCTCTTTCACCTATCTAGGAAGCACTGTTTCAACTACAGGCGGCACAGACAAGGATGTCAAAACCAGGATCGGAAAAGCGAGATTGGAGTTCATTAACTTGAAACCAATGTGGAGATCTGTTGCACTCAGCATGTGGAACAAGATCCGGATTTTCAACACCAATATCAAGTCAGCGCTTCTGTGTGGTGGTTCAGAAACTTGGCGTGCCACGGAAAGTACTTGCAACAAGCTACAGACATCCATCAACAACTGCCTACTCTGGTTCGTCACTGAAGATAAGATGGCCAGAAAGAATAAGCAACAAGGAACTCTGGCATGCCAACGAATCAACCAAGAACCTATCGCTCAACAAGTATGCAGAAGGAAGTGGAGATGGATGGGATTGGACATGCACTGAGAAGGCGACTGCGGACATCACGCGCCAGGCCCTCGAGTGGAGTCGAAAGGGGAAACGACGAGTTAGGCGTCCGAGGTGAGGGTGACATGGAGGAGATCATGTGATGAAGAAATGAAAGCTTTTGGGCTATCGTGGAACGAGGTTCAAAAGTATGTAGAGAAGAGAGTGCACTGGAGATGTGCTACTGAAGCTCTATTTCCCATTAGGAACCCAAGGGACAAGTAATAATAATAGTAATAGAGTGTCCTTGTTTTACTCTTATAATAATGGCACCTTCACTGTTTATGATAACATTGTATATACAAATCCATTTCAGTCTTTTTATTAGAAATATCACACAGTGAAACAGTAGCATTTACTGTTTACTCTTTCACTGTGTGATATTTCTAATAAACAGACTAAAATGGAATTATACTTGACCACAGTGCTAAAGTTTTACACTTATATTGCATATACAAGCTTCATAAATGCGATAACAAGATTTGAAAAAGATGTATTTACTGAATTTGTTTCGCGACTGAGTGACTAACATAGAAGACTAGAAGCAACTGATAAATAACCAAATACTCAGATATTATAGCCATCAATAGGAACAAATAAGATAAAATCAGAATCGATAAAAATAATGCCCTCTGTTACAGTGTACGAAAAGATTGACCAGATCCTCATATGAATCCCGAAATCCTTCAAGTATTTGGTAACTAATTATGTTGCTTTGAAGTTTCGAGAAAAAGTGAGTGAACTCGGGTGTTGAGGAGGTAAAATCACTAGAATGTGACCTTCTAGAAGGATCTAGAAACGGTCAAGACCATTTGTAAACATACACAAACCATTGTATTTTGTACATTTTTCAATGTTGCAATACACCCTTAATATCTCACCGTCTTTTCCTCTTACTGTGATACTGAGCGAATAGTAAGCGTATCAGAAATATCTATATGCATTCAAAGTTATTTCGTTCATTTAATATTATAAAAAGTATGAGTAAAACTTCAAAGAATCTCAAAAAATATTCTGTGTCCAAGAGACTTAATACGATTTGAAATGAAGTATGTATAAATTGAAAACTCTTAGGAGATAATTACCGGATAATGCTTACCCAGTGATTGATTTCTTGTAGATGACTTGTCCATAATAGCTCTTCTTGTAGGATTGTTCAATAAAGATCGTTTAGCAAGGGAAATATCAGCTGTTACTCTAGTTATAATGATCCTGCAAAGAAAAAATGAAGATGACAAGAGTCTTAAAGCAATATTAAAATACGGTGATCTGATTGGTTGTGGCTAGCAGAAGAATGCAGGACGCGCGTTTCGTCCTATTTGGGACTCCTGGCCTATTTGATAACGCCTTTGTGTTTGAAGCGATGGGTTGGGTACGAGGACCAAGTTTCGGTGGGAACAATATCACCCAATGGGATGCAGGTACATCCAGCTAACGAGTCCCAAGTGGGACGAAACGCGCTTCCTGGATTCCTCTGCTAGCCATAGACAACCAAATTATCATAATTAACATTCAGGCAATATCGAGGTATCCGCATAAGAGCTCATATGCCAATAGAGGTTGGACAATTCGATCCAATGAAACAATGGAGAATTGCAAGTATATCAATATATAGTGATAAATACTAAAATACACCTAGAATATTTCGATCATTCAAAATACTGTTCTTCCGTTAGCTAAATCAATTGACTTACCAACAAATTAATACTTTTACCATTTAACAACGAATATAGAACGATTCACGACAATGCAATCATCCTAAGAATTATCAGTTATGAAGTCTAATGTGATGGTAAGCATATGCGATAATCAACCGCCGCACTTACACAATGATTTTTCTTAAAGTTTAAGCAAAATAAAAACCTAATTTGACGTTACACTTCAGTGTCATACTCTAAAAAGATTTATCCTCTCAACAGGCTAAATGATAACCGTATTGGAGTGGGATTTAAACTAACAAACTGACTTAGGAACAAGCGTTGTAGGTTAAAAGATCGTATTCATCCAATTAGGTAGAATAATTTATCAAACCTTTTGCAACGATTGTGAGCTTAAATGTATAGATCAAAGTAGTTGACCTGGGTCAATTAGGTTATTGAAACATACAAACCTTATTTTTTTTAAATTATTTCTCCTTTGGGTTCCTAGTGAAACATAGGGCTTCAGTAACATGTCACCATTTCACTCTCTTCTCCACAGTCTTTTCAACCTAGCTCCACCACTACCCACAAGATTCCATTTCTCCCTCACACCATCTCATCCATCCCGTCACCATCGGACGCCCAACCCGTCATTTCCCATCTCCACTCAACTCAACGGCATGGCCTGGACTCGTCTGATCTGGCCTCGCACCTCATGTCCCCATTCACTCTTCTCAGTGTACATCCGCTCCAATACAATACAATACAATACATCTACACTTTCTCCTCATATTCCTTCAACAATAGGTTGTTGGTTGGTTCGTTGCCAGCCAGCCAGCCAGCCAGTCAAAGTGACTTCCTTCCTCCTTGTTCTTCCTGCCCACCTATCTGACATTAAGTATCCAGAGTGGGCGGCATCTGTTGGTGACGAATCTATGCAGTTTGTTGGAAATCATTTCCGCAACTCACCACCAAGTATCTCAACAATCACATAGAACCACTGACTCACTCACCACATTAATGTTGAAAATCCACATCTTATTCACGCTTCATGCTCACTGCAGTCTAGTGCAGTAGATCTCAACACTGACTATTTCACATTAATGAAGGCAGGTCTGTCTTCATGGCTTTCCAATCATGGCTGCTTCAACGTCCTCATCTGTGCCGCCCCCAACGCCTGTAGTTGAAACCATGCTGTCATGACTAGGTACCTGAAAGAGACAACTTCCTTTAGATTTCTCCCGTTCATGGTGATTGGTGCTTGTTGTTGTTGTTGTTGTTGTTGTTATCATTCTTTGTTGGGTACCTTCATCACCTCTGTCTTCTCCTCGTTCACCTGAAGGAAGTCCCGCCATCCTTCCCTGCCTGCCTCGCCTCACTTCGCCTCTTCTGTTAACTTGTTGGTTTTTGCGCCTTTTGATCTTCGGGTGTTTGCGATAAGAAATTAGACACAAATTATCATCAGCGACGAAATCCAAACCTCCTAGGGTCATTTCATCCTTCCAGCTAGCGTATACCTCTCTTCTTGCTCCTCACAGTTTGTCGCATGATCCAGTTGACCACAATCAGGAAGACCATCGGTGCTATTAGGGAGCAACCTTGTCTTACTCCTGTCTTCACTTTAAAGGCATCAACATAAAAACCTAGCTAGATCAAAATCGGTAGATCCTTGTAAGATAAGTAATTTAGAAAAAACCTCAGCTGTAGCTATCCATGCAGTTACATAAAACCACGCAATAGGAAGGAACAGAGGGAAAACCCTTAAAACTAACTTAGTGGGGTGGTGGTAGAGATTGATAATCGAATCTTTGTTCATAGAATCAACACTGAATACACGCAATAGGAATGATTCTACATCTGTTCGGGATATATGGAAAATCCTTAGCACAAAGAAGTAGGAAAACAAATTGGAACTACATAAACCATGTCTCAAAGTTTTAGAGTCACTTGATGCGACTATGAATAATAAATTGTCTCACACGTTATTCAGTAAACAGTACTGTTCCATTATGTGATATATCTAATGAATCAACTAAAATGGAACTACATTCTACTCTTTGTAGCAGAATACCTTTTGTAAAGCACCTATATGGTGTCAATAAAGATCCTAAGTGTCATAAATCACAAGATTTATATAACCATCTTCAAAATGTAAAAGAAATGTGCTTGCGAAATCCCAGTGAGGTAGGTAGGAAAATAAATTTCTGGTCTTTCATGACCTCGTCAAAGTCGTTTCTTCACGGAATACAACCTGGTACAAGTTAAAACAAACCAAAACATTCATCAACAACTGCCTACTCTGGCTTAATACTGAAGATCAGATGGCCAGAATAATAGGCATAAGCAACAAGGAACTCTGACTGGTGACGAACCAAGCAAGAACCTATCGCTCAACAAATATGCAGAAGAAAGTGGAGATGGATTAGGCATACAGTGAGAAGGCCGACTGGGGACATCATGCGCTACGGCAGGGTGTCGAGTGGAACCCAGATAGGAAAAGACGAGTTGGGCGTCCGAGGTAAGGGTGAAATGAAGGAGATCGCGCGAGGAAGAAATGAGAGCTTCTAGGCTGTTGTGCAGCCAGGTTCAAAAGTTTGCAGAGGACAGAGTGAACTGAAGACGTGCTACTGAAGCCCTATGTTCGACTAGGAAACCAAGGGACAAATAATAATAATAATACAAGTTACAATTTAAACATGCGATAACTTGTACAGGTTTTATTCTCTGAAGAAATGATGTTGAGGAGGTCACCTCATTGGTATTTTACAAACATATTTCCTTTATAATCCATTTACCCAATGTTCAACTTATTCAGCCGCATCAAGTAAAATTTTGATCCTGAAGTCTGTAAAAAGCATCTCTCCTAAAAGCTTTGACCACCAATCAATTCATGTTTCTAGAATTTTCCAGAGTCGAGTGTAATCATTAAGTCATTTTAGTCTTGTGAGAAGTTATCCTTGATCTACACACTATACATTTGGTGAATCATTAGATCAGAATTCTAAAAACATTCAGCATGATAAGTTGGAATAGTTAGTTCTTATTTTATTTATTGACTGAAAACCATTTGCCACAACAATCAGTATAGAATAAAGTGGATGTCGTTAAAGCATTCTGTATTGACTAAAGAAACCTTATTAACATGTTTGGAAATCTTCGATTTTGTTATAATGTATGCAAAGAGTCATGTATATTGAACCCTTAAAATCAAAGTCACACTAGGTATTGGTAGTAAAGCTTTTGCTTATTTGAAATTCATTCTACAATTCCCCCTCTTTACATATTGAAATATATGTGACCACAATACAGTTTCATAAGTATACTTTACTAAATATTGACGCTTCATTGAATTTATAGATAGCTGAAAAGAAGTACAGAACCGCTGAATTAATTCAGTAATGGTATAGAAAAGGGTAAGCAGATTCCTTGCAACTTTTAGTGGATTGTACTACAGCGCTTTCATACAGCGTTTTAAGTATCCATGATACATGAAGTGGAGTAAATTATACTATAATTTAAGAATAGATAAACATATGATGAACGTAAAGACATCAATCTTTTTCTTTATATGATTTCAAATAGATAACCAGCAGTATGAGATCCAATGTATCATGAGTACTTCTTATGTGAATGTCTATGAGATACAGGGCGAAGTTACTCTATTGTGAAGATATATGTAGTTGAACTTTCTGGTTAATAAAGCCTCTAACGGATGATCAATTTGTAGACAATTTACAAATTCCATGGTCCACATTGACATTTCTCATAGCTGAATAGTTTTTCAACTGCCCAACTCTGGTGCTAGTCAACAGAGTTTCCGTTAGAAACCACTCAGTCAAAACCAATGCGTATAATCATTTGCAGACTGATCATCTTGTTTTAGGCATGCCGATCTATGCAAGTCACCCAGTAAGATTCAGGTGATATGAACAATTCAGATCTATGAGGTGAATTTGTCCGGGTACACCACTGATGAGCTTAGCCCCATACAAACGAAACGGTCTTCCGGTGTTTCTGTCACTCTCATATACCTAATGAAACCTATAGATCACCATGAGGGGTTTCTAAATACTTAAGTTGTTCCGTAGTATATTCCATTAGGGTATTTCAAGTAGAACCACTTAGAGGACTATTCGGTGCTGGGTAAATGATTGTCGTTGTAGCTCAACCCTAATCAGAAGATCTGCACACATTACATAAAGTTGTTACCTTATGAACTGTAATTCTATGTTGCATTCTCCTGTCAAAATAGACTAAATTTACTTCATTACGTTGCTACAAAAACTAAATAATGAATACAGCCAATTCAAATGATTATCAATAAAAATCATAATGAAGAATTCAGAACTTGATAAGCAGATTCTATAGTCTGTAAAGAAACATAAAATGTTGACACCAGTGTTCCCAATAATAACGACGGTGAAGCTAATCCAGCCTTGTCTATGGTGTTTTTATAGACAGGAAAGACTTAGAGAAAACCATGAAGACACTTATAGAAGAACAAAAATAAAACCTCATAAGTGTTTACCGCTTAGCCAAGAAGAGTTTTGTTGCATAAATGATGCTATATATCTACCTTTAAAGACTCCATAGAAGCCTAGATATAAACATTACATAAGGGGCTTAAATTACCTACAATTCTAAGGTGAGTAAATTTAAACAAACCTGAATCAGCAAACACAAAGAAGTTGTATTCAAAAGCGAACCTAGGAATCATTGGATATGGAATAAAGTTAGGCAGCTAGTTAGTAAGTGTGGAAGGTATTCAAAACTAAGTTCCCAACTTTATTACCATATTAATGGAAGTAACTTATCAAGGCAAAAGGGAAATAGTATTAATGGTGTAACAGAAAGATTGAAAAAACTAGAAAAGTGAATTGACTTCCCAGTTCAAGTTATTACTTGTAAATGAATATGAGAATAAATTTAACTGTTGCCATTACACTGATAACACCTGCAATCTATCCAACAAGCAATACTACTACTACTACTACTACTACTACTACTACTATACTGCATAATTATCAGTTGAAGTTATAAAGAAACTGACGAAATTCCACATTAATAATGTCTATAATTGATATCTAACATGCACAGACAAATAGATAAGTCTACATAGAATCTTACATAGAGGGGTGTAAAATCCGAAAAATTTAAAGTGTACATAAATGTTAATTTAATTGATCGTGGTTAGTAGAAGAATCCAAGATAACGCTTTGGTGTTTAAATTGATGGTTATGGGAACAGCACTCACTGGTATGTAGGCAAATCCAGACAACGAGTCCCAAGTGGGACGAAACACGCGTTCTGGATTCCTCTGCTAGTCACAACTAGTTGAATTATCATAATAAATATTCAGGTGATCTCAAGACATCTCCATAGGAGCTCATATGCCAATAGAGGTTAAACAATTCGATCCCCTGTAACAACATAGAATTACAAGTATATCAACAAATAGTAATGTATATAAATGTATTTACAAAAGTGTTACCTTCCTTCAAAACGTCTTTTAAGAAAATCGAATAAAGCTTTCTGCATCATATCTGTTACTTCATATCCTTTCAATGAAGGTCCAATCAAAACAACAGGACGCATAGATGGTACAACATCATACGGAGGTAAGTTATCACTCTGAAATAAAAATGTATTGAAAATATTTAACAGATTTATTAAATTAGGGTTATTCTACAGACTAACAGGATTGACTAAAATAGTTTAAGTGAAGAAAACAATAGTAGTTAGTTAGTCAGGAGATGAAAATTTAGAAATATTGCTCTTCCTACTAAATTCAGAAAAATGAGAGAAATTAAGACACATAAGTGCATTCAACATATATTTTTTTCCCTTTAATTAAAAGAAATGAAAGCTTCTGGTATCTGACCACCTTTACCTTCGTAGCATAGGTTGTGTGTCGTGGTATCATTATGCCAGTAACGCAGAAGTCAGGTGTAGAGTTTCAGGGAGGAGTAGACAGTCAGCTGATGAAGTTGCAAAGCTCCATCAACTAAGATAGTTCAGACATGTTACACATACCTATTCACCGTTTACCATCTGCATTGTTAGCTGAAGTAGGTTTAATCATGAAAAGTGTTTGATGTAGTTAGACCAAAATATGGCGTCTATGCATGAAGTCCTTCATTGTTGGTCTGAGGCATGTGGTTAAATGGAGACTAGCCGGTTGAGGTTCACGTGACAACAAAAACCAGCGGTTGGAAACTCTAGGTGACCTGATTCAGAAACGACGTCAGTGGCGCAGATGTATGCTGAATCCAGCATTTCCTCCTGCCTCTCTTTCACTACTTCTTACCGATTTTTCTTCTTTTCTTCATCTTTCATCTTATTACTTTGTTACTTCATGTAGTGATATGCATAGTAGCAAATTGGATCGTTACGCAGTAATGCCTGGTCTTACTTTCATATCGATGGTGATGATGAATTAGATACTGGCAGTAGCTAATCTAATTTTTCTGGTCAAATTTCAATGTTTGATGTAATCCCTTAAGTAATGAATGCATAATCCAAGAAAAAAATCTTTAAATGTAAATGCAAAAGCTTTATAATTAAAGTGTTTTTCAACTCTCTTAGCCATCTTACATGCCGAGAAAAGTATAAAAGAGCCATCAATGATTTCAGGCATTTTGTCATTGATTGGTTATACTAATTTGGAACCTTCAAAGTGCAGAAACTTGACAGGCGGATATGGGTGGAAACCAGCAGCAGTGTCTACTAGTTGACAGAGAAACAGACAAACAGACGAAATCAACGTGCGAACAGACATTACTACATAAGGGTCCAAGTTACCACGCCTCATGTCAGTACATCAACTGTGAATGCACGAAGATGGAAGACAAAGAAATAAAGATGAAAGTAGTCACAAGTGGCAGAAAGTTGTGAAAAGGCGATAATGAGGAATCAGAAAATACTGTAATTCAGTATGACGATTAAAATGAAGATAATGTGTGGATGCATTTAAACCAATAAGATCAAGTTCGAGTGATATCATCCAAGAGTCTCGAACCACTGATTTTGAATGTCACGAGTATTCCGACCAGGAAGTCAACCTGGCTCACACCAACAATCAAAGACTTCATGCAGTAATTTCGTGCTTTAGTCTGGCCATTCTAAACTCATTTCCAGCCCAAACGTTCTTCAGCTAGCATTGGGTGACGAAACATGCATGTGCAATACATGTCCCAGCTACCAGAGTAGTCAAAGGAATTCACAACCTTATCGATCGACTTCCCTGTCTTCCATAAAACTCTATACCTGACTTCTAAACTACTTATTTAGCAACACCATGGCACGTGGCCTGTGCTACGAAAACAAAGGTAGTTACACACCAGAAGCTTTCTAATGTCTTCTACTTTTAATGGCCAATTTTTAAAACCATATAGTAGAACAGAGGAAATTGCAGCGAAGTACACTTAAGACTTAGCAGGTAATCGGTTATCATGCCATTGAGACAAATGGCGTGAGCTGGCGAAAGCCAAAAGAGCCTGTTGTATCCTTTCAGAGATTTCATCGATCATTGACTCACTATGAATAACCCAACTTCCTAGGTAAGTGAAAAGGTCAACGCGCCTGACCGTTTCACTGTCTAATGCCAGATAAAACATCAGTAGATACCAGTGCCGAAGCAACAATATACATTTAGGTGGCAAGAAACGCATCCCAAACATTCTCAAATTGCTACTCAAGATGCGGAAGACTACATCTTAACAGGACTATATCATCTGTGTACTCTAGGTCTACCAAGGATCCTCCTGTGACAAGGTCAGTCCGTGTGAAGTTAGATGGCGAGGGGAAAACCTTAACAAGTACGTTTATAACAAAACTGAATGAGAACCGAGAAAGTGGACATCTTTCAGCCTCCACGTACACAACTCGCCAAAGGCTCCTATGTAGTCATCGCGAAAGGATTTCTCCCTGTTCCTAAAAACCGGGACAATCAGTGTTTGAGACCAGCCAGTGGTGGTCATATCTTCCTCCCATAGACTAGCTAACACTAGTTAATCTGACCAACAATCCTTTGTCACCATTCTTATATACCTCTGCTACTGACACTGACAAAATCAGCGTAGAAACTTGCATACAAGTTCATCAGTTAAAATTGACACGCTTCACAGCAGTATACAAAGAACAGGTGTATAGAAAAGGATTGATATCAAAGTATTTACAGTAGTGTGGAAGAATAAACAATCCGAAGATAAAGATTAAGTGGAACATTCTTTTCGTCTCATGAACCGCAACCAGACAGTCTAAATCCCGAAGATGGCTCAAGTCAACAATCAGAGACTTCATCGACTGGTATCAGATCTTGGTCTGGCCACCCTGAACCCTCTTCTGACCTAATCCAACTTTCCCTAGCATAGGAAGTTGAGGTAGGTGGTCACTCGGCAAGCGTAACAAATTTCAAAGCCATCTCAGTCGATCAAGTTCCTCGTCGATCGAGTTGTCTTTCAGGTCTATTATCCTTAACCTCAACATTCTACTACACGCGAGCAACGCTACAAAGACATCAATGATCGAAATTTGTAACTGTTTAGTGTCTTCTACTTTTAAAGACTATGTCTCACCGCTGTACAATAGGATAGAATGGTCTGCAGCACAGTATACTCATCTTTTGATAGATAGTCGGATATCTCGCCGGCGCCACAGGTGTTGATGCTAGTCCGTCTGACCTTAACGACATTCGTCGATCTGATTATCTACAGGTTTCTTGACTTCTTTAAGTGTTGAAGGCCCTATCTCAACCTTCCATTTCAGTTTCGTCTTCATTATCACTGATAAACTGAAAGTTTGGTTAGAATAACTCCAGTGACTACAAACACCGTATAATCTGTCAATTCAACCTCCACTTCACTTTTTTCAGTAGGACAAACGCACCAACTAAAGAAAATGTTAGGTGAAGCTATTTCACAGTTTTTCGCGAAAAAATGAAAAATTTTCCTTAGAAGTTGATCAATGGGCTATAACTAAGATGATTATCACGTAAATTGATAAATACAAGTTAACCCAAGAAATAATATTTAGCTTCGAATACCAGAAGAATCACGTACGATAAGACAGTGTACTTCATATTTCTTTTTCCCTCAAGCACAACAATACACGATATATATGAAGGCAAATGAAGGTTATAGAAACCAATATATTTCGACAACACATGACCATAAGTAGGAGAAAATCAATTCATTTTCTTCCTCAGAAAATATGAGAAACAAACCAAAGAGGAAATTTTTTTATTGTATAAAGAAAGATATTTCGAATAAATTTCGATCATTTGTGTTTAGAGTTGAAAAAAGACATTATATCCGTGTTTTGCACAATATCTATTGTTGAATGGTAAATTGTTAGTTAGTTGGAGGTAATCGGTGGGAAGGCATATCTGAAACCTCTAGTGGCTGATGTCCCACTCTGAGACTCGAATCCACATAACCCAGTGTTGTAGTCAGTAACGCTACCAATGAGCTATTTCAGTCATGATTGAGAAAGTCAATTTAACTAACAATTTCGTTTCTATATCATATCAACGTATATTATTCTGTTCATTAGCAAAAGCTCTGTATACTTTAAAGATGCAGTGATTTTGATGAGTGAAAAGAATTCTATTAGTGCTTAAAAAGCACCAACTAGTTGACAACAAAACAAAGTCAGTTTGGAGTGGTTTAAAATACGCAGACAGAGAAATATTTTATTATGTAAACCATTCTATGTTTTATCTACAAGTGACTAGAATAAGCCATATGTTAAAAGCCAGAACAGGGCCAGAATTGAATATAGTATATTTTACACATTTCTATTCACCAATGTAAAGACAAAATAAGTTTGTCTGAAATATTATTGCTTGTAGGTGCATCCAGCTGGTGAGTCCTAAATAGAACGAAACATACATGCTGGATTCCACTCCTAGCCACTACTCATCGTTACTATGAAAATAATTTGATGTAGTTTAACTGTTAAGTTGCCTAGCTAAGTATTTGATTTATTGTACAGTTTGTGACAAGCACAAGCGATAATTTATATGAAAGTTAATTTCCAGCAATGTTATAGTTAGCAATCAATGAGCATCATAGATACTGAAACTTCATGCTAATACAAAAACATAACTTGAGATTCACTGTTATTTCACTCTTTTGAATAATTCGATAGTTTCTCTCTCTCTTCCATTCAAAAGTGATATCTTGGTGTAATATGTTAGAATTCAATCGGGATGAATACTTGAACTTACGATTTATACTTGTTACCTTTTTCATCCACACAATGTGTTCTAAACATTGTAGGCGGATAGACAAAATCAACGTAGAACCTAACATACAAGTCCATCGCTTCAAGTTGTTACACTTCACAGTAGGATGCAAAAGAACAGGTGGATAAAAAAAGACTCATATCGAAGTGAACAAAGTTGTATGAGAGAATAAACAATCTTCAGATAAAGGGTCAATGGAAATATTCAAGCTTCAGAAGACGCCAAATAGTGAATACCTCTGCACCATTGTGACAGATTTCCAGCCATTTCACCAAGAGTCCTTAACCACTGATTCCTATCATCTCAGCTACCCCAGCCAGGCAATCTACATCTCCTCACACGGCCCAGACCAATAGTCAGGGACTTCATGAACTGGTCCTTTGACTTGGTCTGGCCACCTTGAACTCTTTTCCAACTTAATTCAACTTCTCCTAGCATGCCACGTCGAAGTAGGCAGTGACTTAGTAACACGTCTTCCCTCAGAGATCCAGACCTTTGCCATTAAGTTCTTTACTCACTGACTTTCTTGCGTAGTTATTGAAGTCAAGACTGACCGATATGGAGTTGGATTCTATATACGAACAAGTCACCGAATTGAAACTGATGTATTTGCCAGGTTCAGTGTTCCCACTGTTAATCAGTTGACGTTTAACATCCAACAATGAAGTATAATACGTCATAGTGTTTTGTCATTTAACTTAGTGATCGCATTCCAAGCATGACCAATACACTTTGGTTAGTGTTGAACACTTAAGAACTGATAATGATACCAGTCACTATCTAGTGACTAATTTATGTAGACGTACTACTTAGAAATTAATGATGAAAGTAAACAACTGTGTAGTAGATTCTACTACCTTATATTCCAAACTACAGATTCTTAATTGTTAGAAAGGGAATAAGATAATGATAACATGACTTATCTCTTTCTCTGCATATTGAGAATCATTTACACTGGTTTTCCAACTAGACTGTGTGATGTAGATAACGATACAAACTTCACTTATTCCTATCTACACTCAATGTTTAGCTTTATTTTTGTGTTGATGTGAAAAGGAATATATTCTCCTATTAAATATAACACCTCTACAGTGTGACATGTGATGGCCCTTAGCAATTTATTATACATGAAGTAGGTTGCAAACGATGAAGCTACAACTTTGTTTGTATCTTTTTTCAGAATAATCACCTCAGTAATCCATGGCAGTCGGACATAACTAGAGTGTAGGGTTTATTATCAATACTATATAAGTACTAATGGGTAAATCTAATAGTTAAGATATAGTTTATATTTGGGTTAGACATGGTGTATTTGAAATAACATAATTCCAACGTTGTACACGGAAGTCTGGTCTAACTTTCTTCAAGAAAATAATCAAAAATTGAAATATAAATGATATACAAATCAAGTAATGATGGGTAGTGGCTAGCAGTGGAATCCAGGATGCGCATTTCATCCTATTTGGGACTTCTCACCTAGATGTACCTGCCTCCTAGGACAAAATGCGCATCTCGGATTCCACTGCTACCCACCATCCATCATTACTAGGATTAAAACACAGGTAATATCGAGGCATCCGCATAGAGCCTATATACCAACAGACACCGATCAATTCCGTGCAATCAACGATAGTATAATCCAAGCAATAATGCTAAAGCTATACTCGTCATACAAGAAGTGGATATCGTGGCCCGGTGGTCTAGCGATCGGTCCCGAGTTCGAATCCCGGTGGGAACAATATCACTCACTGGGAGGCAGGTACATCCAGCTGACGAGTCCCGAACAGAACGAAATGATACATAAATTAGTTTAGGGTTTATGGGGATGTTAATTTTCAGGTAGTGTTCATCACAGACTGAAATCAGTTGAAGAAACATGGAAAACCTAGGAGCATTGGACAGCTGTTTCGTCCCAGCTTAGGACTCCTCAGTAGTACTCACCCAAGACCCCGCCAGGGATTGAACTCAAGGCCTTTAAGTTTCACATCGAACGCATTGGCCATTCATCTGCTGGATTGGATATCAATGGTCCACAGTTTCCTACTTCTGTCAATTCACAATGCAGCCATACTATCCACACCAAGTTCTTCAGTTGGCATCCCACTGGTCACGGCTTCAATGGTTCACCAACTGATGTCAGTCTATGATGAATACAATCTTAAAAATTTATAAATGAATCCGATAGCGTATAGTAAATCTTGTTATCCAATCCTTTTCGCATAACCATTGTTGTTATGTTTAGTAATCATTCAGTAAGAAATTGTATGTCCCTTAAATATATCAACGAAAAGTTTGTGCATTGAGTACGTCTCTTGTGGTATGGTGTGTGTGTGTGTATGTATATTGTTCTTCCTATTCTTCTTAACAAGACGAAAAAGTCTCAGGTGACATTGTAGTCATTTGGTAATTTTATATCTAAGTACGGTAGGGCATTTGAGGTGGATAAGTGTATCATTTCGATTGGTATGTAGGAATGAATTAGTAAAAACTGACTTTTCACTGATTCGTTGGGACAAATTGGAAATGAATGGTAATTATAAGGGTGATAATGATGGTAATGAATCAAATCAATCTTGGTTGTATGTTGTTAATGATGCAGAGATAATAAAGTTGAGATTGATGATAACGGTAAATGCTAGAGTCAGTCACTCTTTATATTTCCTAATTAAAAATTGCCAAGAGGCAGTTAACTGTACATCATATCGTTCGTTCAAACTATCTGGATTTGCCCATGTATGTAAAGCCTCTGCATTTCATCTGTTTGGTCAAATCTTGATCATAGCTCATATGAAATAGTTTGCAGAGCTTAAAAAATTAAGATGGTTCGCGTAGAGAAATATGATAACTTATTAGTGTTCAAAGAAGAAAATGCAGTGATATTGTATTCATCTTGGTGACTAGTAGGGAAATTCAGGACGCGCGTTTCGTCCTATTTAGGACTCATCAACTGGCTGTCGTGCCTCATTGGCCTACTGGATAAAGCTTCGACGTTTGAGTCTCAGTGCGAAATGGCAATCGGTTATTGTTTATTAACACTTGTAATTCCCCGTTGCTATGCAAGATCGAAGGCAATGATAGTCGGGAAAGTTTTAGCGGAGAAAGAAATATATATGTGAAATATACCCATCAGGATATGAAGGAAGAGCAAGTATTTCAATAAAGAGTCTCTTTCCGCGATTTCATTTTCAAAGCTATACACAATCGCGAATTTATAGTTTTTTCTAGTATAGGGATTCGATAGTTAAAAACAGTTTATCAAGCATGGCTGGCAACACAAATAGTGTCAATAAATGAGCCTTAATTAAAATATAAAAAACTAATGAGTAGTAAATATTAATCAAAGTTTGGACAAGAAGTTTCGTGACATGGCGACAAAAATGGAAACTGAATAGTGACCATACAGAGTATAGAAACAAGGAAGATTAGCAAGTTATTTAAGAAGTGAATGGTGTCAAAACATAACAATGAAAAAAAAAGGCAGGGGAAGGGGTTAGAGGAGATTTCAAAGACTGGAAACTAAGACCATGAAAGGAGAAGTGCTTAAACAATCTTCTTTTGCGTACACAGTTCCAGTTTCTGAATATGAATGGCAAGAGCTTCCGCGATGCAGAGAATACGAAGACATACTGCCTTTGAAAAGTTTCTTTTCAGTTTATAGATGACTTTAAAAGAGGAGGTTCTTAAAATAGCATTATTCGTGTTCACGATGTGTTCAGTAACAGGACTCCTTATCATTCCATTGTTACCTCTTTGTAACCAAGTAGGATAGTGTACTTGAACCCCTTTGGATAACGGTTGCGTCGGATGACCTATATACCTGGCTTCACAAAAGCAGGTGAACTGATATATGCACATAGATTTTGATTTTAATAACAGCTCATTTATTGAAACTATTTGTGTTACTAGCCATGCTTGACAAACTGTTTTTAACTATCAAATCCTTATAATAGAAAAATATATAAATTCACGATTGTGTACAGCTTTGAAAATAAAATCGCCGAAAAAGAGACTCTTCGCTGAAATTAATATATAACTGATTGTATCAGTGTCATTTCTAATATGAAAGCAGTTCCATAGTGTCTAAAAGAATATTCTCAGTACAAAATAAGTATTGTAACTTGAAAATAAATCACATTAGTAACCAGGTGTACTTCATTTACCTTTTTAAAAAATGGCTTACGTCCACCTCTTGTACTGACTGAAACTTTACCGGCTGATGTTTCACGTCTTGGATTACCATCTTCATCATAACTTCGATTGTTTGCATCACCATCAGCTGGAGTAAAACATTCCAAAAAATATTAGAATAAACATATGGTCTGCATAACATAAAATTTACATGATATCCAGAGATATCTTAAATAATATGATAGTGACAATAGTAATGGCACACTAATAACCTAACATCTAATATAGTGAACACTACTTATAACAAGGCATATCAGTAATATATAGAGTAACACTGAGAAACACAAAAGATGATAGCAATTGCCTGGTGAAGATTAAAGGTAAGAACACGACACAGTGACATGCTAAAGAGCATAACGTTTGCAAATATGAACTTATTGTGAGGCTTAAAATTTTAACCATAAAGGATTATAGTTTTCTAATAAACAATCTTAACTGATCTAGTGAACTTCTCATCAGTAGCATAACTTTCTAAGTGTCAAAGATTATGATCACTACAATGATGGTCTATCAAATAGTGAAACAATGAAAAAGAAACGGAATCCGTTACTTCACCTATCCAAGAGTAAAATATTTTGTTCTCATACTGTTAGCCCATGAAAGTTTTGATATGCAGACATACAGTTTTATGTGCATAATCTATCAAGAAGATTGTTCTATGGTATAGTGAGTGTTTGTCATTGAGTAATATAAATTTTTATTTCTATGAAGTAGACAAAAATAAAAGTGATTTTTAAGTTCCGTGATATATAGACGTGTTGTATCAATGTCATGCTAACAAAACCATAAAGTTTAATTGTACCTACTAAAAATGTCAACATCCTGGAGTTATGATGCATTTGATTTAGACAGTTGATATTCAGCCATTGTGTTAGAGGATCAAATTGAACTCAACCTACCAAGGGTTTTGGTAGTTAGATATCATTAACCCCAATATTATTACTTAGTACACAAATATGAAAATGGTTTTTAAGTTTTTCTGTAGCTACGCTTTCAAATAACGATTCCCTGAGTTCATTTTCATTAGCTATTTGAAGTGATTATTCATTACTAGCTACGGAGGGTTAATGTTAATGCTCTAGTCAGGCTATGGCTGAGTGGCATAGTATCAAAGGATCACTAACGTTTGGATTAAAAGTCTAACAATGTATTCTGACCACCTGTTACTAAAACTTATCACTAGCGCTTCTTTCTCAGCGATATTCTCCTTGACCATCATTCTCTGTCAATCAGTCTCTGTAACTAAGCATCACTTCTGTATGGAATATCAAAGTTCAGTGGTCAGTTCACGTTCCAGATTCGATTTTGAGGTATTCATCCCAGACTGACATCAGTTGGAGAAACACTGAAAACCTAAGAGCATTGGACAACTGTTTCGTCTTAGTATGGAACTCCTCAGCAGTTGGCACCAATGACCCCACCAAGGGTCAAACGCAGGACCTTCAGGTCCCGAGGCCAGCACGTTACCATTGAGCCACTGGGTCGGGATCCAATAATCCATATTCCTCCTTCTATCAGTTCGTGATATAGAGCGACCTTCATCCAATGCTGTCACTGAGTAACTATCTTCAAGTTCGATCCCTCGTTAAAAACTTATATATGTCTTAAAATAACTAGCTCGGTAGAGGCATACTTAATTGTAGTACTTGACAGACGAATTCAAGTTCTTGGATAGGTTATTTATTTTCCTGAGTCAATGGAATCGTCGTATTGATGTATGTTAATATGAATACATCTCAAGTTCGGAATTTACTTTCTACTACTTTCAATCATTAAAATAAAAAATACAATGTACTATACTATGATTTTATCTAGTTTCGTGGTCGTATTCGGAAACTTACTTGATAGAATTCAATCTACCTGGTTGCTCAAACCTCAGTAGGCTAAGCGGGGTTCGAACCCGTAACCCATTGGTTGATATTCATCTCCCTAAACTAATGAGCTACAGACGCAAGTATTAGACTGATTAGTGCTGGTAATCCATTGATCCAGAGTAGAAAAATACCCTCTGAATGCCGTTCTTCTAGTCAGAGGATTTGAATAATATACGCTACAAAAGCTTTCAAACTCCATTTGATCTGAAAAAAAAGATTCACAATTTTTGTTTCTGTATTCACTGTTGATTATTTTTTGATACTTTACTTAACCCAACATTTTAGAAACTCAAATCAGTATGAATTTCATTTCAAAGTAGTATTATTCAGTAGTATTTCAGCTGGTGAGTATGTTAATTCCCACTTATTTGGTAATTATGTCTATCGATCTGGGCATATGACAAGCAATATTATTATTATTTCCTAGACTTTCTTTAGAAAAGAAATCAATAAGTATATGTTTGGACCCACCCACTGTTCATAAGACTGTTGTATTCTTCAAAACTAGTCTGTTATGTAAAAGTCTAAACATTTTAAGATTCCTATTACAATTACAACAGTGGGGAGCGAGAAGAGGGGGATACGCTGGCTGGACTGCGGAAAAGAACCTAGAAGACTTGGATTTCGCCGATGACTTGTGCCTAATGTCACATAAACTTGAAGATCTACAGGCGAAAACTAGCAAGTTGATAGAAGAGGCAGCGAAGACGGAACTTCAAGTGAATATAGAGAAGACAGAAGTGATGAAGATACCGCACCAACAACTCCAACTCCAACAACAACAACAAACTCCAGTCACCATCAACGCGAGAAACTTAAAGGAAGTAACCTCCTTCACCTATCTAGGAAGCACTGTTTCAACTACAGGCAGCACAGGCACAGACGAGGATGTCAAAGTCAGAATCGGAAAAGCAAGACAGGCGTTCATTAGCCTGAAACCAGTGTGGAGATCTTCTGCACTCAGCATCAAAAACAAGATACGGATTTTCAACACCAACGTCAAGTCAGTGCTTCTGTATGGTTCAGAGACTTGGCGCGTTACGAGAGGGATTTCCAATAAACTACAGACATTCATCAACAACTGCCTACACTCGCTACTGAAGATCAGATGGCCAGAAAGAATAAGTAACAAGGAGCTCTGGGAACGAACCAACCAAGAACCTATCACGCAACAAATATGCAGGGGGAAGTGGGGATGGATTGGGCATGCACTGAAAAGGCTGACTGAGGACATCACGCGTCAGGCCAGTCCCTCGAGTGGAATCCCCATGGGAAGCGACGAGTTGGACGTCCGAGGGTGACATGGAGGAGGTCGTGCGAGGAGGAAATGAGAGCTTGTGGGCTGTCGTGGGACCAGGTTCAAAAGATCTCAGAGAACAGAGGTCACTGGAGACGTGCTACTGAAGCCCTATTTTCCACTAGGAACCCAAGGGACTAATAATAATAATAAATTACAATCTGAGCGAAAAGTATTCTTTTCGATATGTTCTTACCAAGTTCTACAACTATAAATTACAACTGTAGAGCGCAAAAACAAGTCAAGTTTGAGAAGAACGGGGTGTGAGTTAGGGAACGGAAGGAAATCGATTTTTCTTTTGAAATTTGCCCCTATTAAGACGATATGTATACAGATGAAACAACATGAAAAGACAATAAATAAGGAAGACAAGAGTTTATTGAAGGACAAGGGAAGAATAATGCATGAACATGTTCCTTCCAAATACAAAATCCATGCTTGATCAATATTACTGTGACTGTCCCAGCTATGTTAAGTAGGTGCCAGCGATCTAAACGTTGTGTTTTTGTTGGCACACGATGTAAGAGTTTTATTATCATATCTACGTGGTGTCCTGCGTTTACCGTGTGCACTAAAATAAAACTCCCCACCACTTTCACTTCACCTCTTCCAAACCAAGCTGACAGATGTTCTCCTATTCGGAGACGCACCTGCCCAATCATCCTACGCCCTATGTAACATGTTCCACAGGAACAGTTAAATTAATATATAGAAGATGGGGATCTAAGATTAGGTAAGCTATCTTCTAATCTTTAGTTTCAGATTGAGTATTGGCCGACTACTTAAAGCAATGCAAAGACGATTTGCATAAAACGTTCAATTGACTGCTGTCGCTGGGTATTGTGATATAACATCACTTGGAGCGTCTCTCTTAAATTGTAGTCGCAGAAACAAATGCTTCTTCTCAACTTTTATCAATTCTCGTTTGGGACTGCTATAATTTATGTTCGTTTTGAAGAACTTTTCAGGACATATGTTTTCACCTAAAATATCACAGATACACTTTAGTTCTTTTTCTATACACTGTCATAATAGTTCAGGAGCTTTCAGTCTATTGGGTTCCTTTGGCATGTAAATGTAACGAATACTAGTAGTTAAATGCCTCAACAAATTCAAAGATCTGTCCCCAGTACGTTTGTAAATAGGTCTAAGGGAAATGGAAGCGTCAATCCAGTGGCCTGCCTGTAATCGAAAAACTTGGACGTCTGCTGTCAACGTCTACGGCATCAGGTGACTCGGTGTGCTTCTGAAGCCACTTTATAATATGCTCCGAGACCCTTACTGGTGTGTATTTGGGGATCCTCCCTATGTGTATCACTACATGTGTATAAAAATTGGTGGTTTTAGTGGGATGCGACATCCTTGTTCACAAGCTGTAAAGGATTTGGAGAGTATACAGGCTTGATGGTTTCTATTAATGGAACCCCAGCTGCATAGTTGGTTATTCTAATAGCAGAGATAAGTTTCTGCTAAGGGATTGTGCCTTCAGAGTCACTTTTCTACGGAAGATGTCTTCACTATCTCCTGAAGATAGGCAAGTACTTGTGTGACCAGATTGTTCGAAATGCGTTGCACAATTCGGTACACAATTCAAACAATTTATGTCTTATTGTTTTGTTGAAGTTTACAAAGGGAACTAATTGTTTTAAATTATTAGTTCTTAATTAGAAATTAGTAATAAAAGTTCAAAAGTTGAAAGTGAACTCATGGTAATGAAAAATTATTTCAATTTTATTTATAACCCTTTTGGGGACTATTTATTATCATTGCTTTGAGTAATTGAACTCAAGATTTTTAGGATATTTAATAGGCATCTCGTTACACAGACATCTGATTTGCATTCAACGACTGGGATTTTGTGTGCGTATATTCACCAAGGAAGGAACAAAAATCTGGTCAGCAGTCAGGTCTAGCAGGTCGAAAACCTGATGGCTGCTGGTTCGAATCCCACCGTGACCCAGATTTTCATTCCACGCTTAGTTATCACTCACTATCAATACAAGCCTTTCCAAGCGACTGTTATCTCAAACAATCAAACCGACAATCAAAATTCTTACTGACTGTTTATGTTCTAAGGTTATACGAGAGCAGCACATAAAGATTAATAATCACAACGTGATTGTGATGAGCACATGATGCAATTATTATTATTTGTCCCTTCACTTCCTAGTGGAACATACGGCTTCAGTAACACGTCACCATTTCACTCTCTTCTCCACAGTCTTTTCAACCTAGCTCCACCACTACCCACAAGATTCCATTTCTCCCTAACACCATCTCCTCCATCCCCTCACCCTCAAACGCCCAACTCGTCATTTCTCATTTCCGCTCCACTCAACGGCATGGCTTGGACTCACCTGATCTGGCCTCGCACCTCATGTCCCCATTCACTCTTCTCAGTGTACATCCACTCCAATACAATACAATACATCTACACTTTCTCCTCATATTTCTTCAACAATAGGTTGTTGAATTTTGAGGGGGTTGTGGAGATTTGGAAATATTTCAAGTTGTTATTCATCGAAGACTGACGAAACAGGACGAAACAGCTGTCCAGTGCTCCCAGGTTTCCTTTGTTCCTCCAACTGATGTCAGTCTTCGATGAATAACAACTTGAAATAGGTTGTTGGTTGGTTCGTTGTCAGACAGCCAGACAGCCAACCAACCAACCAACCAGTCACCCAGTCAAAGTGACTTCCTTCCCCTTGTTCTTCCTGACCATCTATCTTATATTAGGTACCCAGAGTGGGCGGCATCTGTTGGTGATGTATCTATGCAGTTTGTTGGAAATCATTTTCGCAACGCACCACCAAGTATCTCAACAATCACATAGAACCACTGACTCACTCACCACATTAATGTTGAAAATCCACATCTTATTCACGCTTCATGCTCACTGCAGTCTAGTGCAGTAGATCTCAACACTGACTATTTCACATTAATGAAGGCAGGTCTGTCTTCATGGCTTTCCAATCATGGCTGCTTCAACGTCCTCATCTGTGCCGCCCCCAACGCCTGTAGTTGAAACCATGCTGTCTTGACTAGGTACAACTTTGTCTTGTCTTCTACATGGTAATTAGTTTATGGCTTTTTGAGCTTTCATTGATGAGTGATTTTTCCATTCCAGTAAGATGTCCTTATCATGTTTTCTATCTTGCAGGTTGTGTTCATTCATTGGAGAATCATTGCCTTTAGCCGCTAACCGACTATTAACATAGGGTCATGGTTAGACAAAGCAGTTGATCGGTTTCCATGTGTGAGTAGTGCTATTCCAGCTCCGACTGAATCAAATGAATAAACCATTAGTAAATCTAAGTCCTAACTATACAAAATAACTCCAGGAACGATTAACTGTACCATCCTTTCCCTTATAATTTAACGAAAGAATTCATAAATTCATACAAAATTCTACGGATATTTTTAAAAAATATTGAACGATACAAAAAAAACTAGTAGCTACCTGGTGGCGTAGATGGCCTTGAATTTCCACTTCGTGCATTATCGAAATTCCCTGTTGAGCTTTTGCTAAACAGAAGAAAACAAAGCAGTTATTTACAACTAAAGACTTATATTGTGGTCTACTCGATGGCTAGCAGTGGAAACTAGAACTTTACATTTCGTCCTGATTGGCACTCATCAACTGATGTACCTGCATACCAGTGAACGAGGATTTTCCCATCGGGACTTGAACCAACAGAGATTGAGCTATTGGACCCAGTAAAGCAACGGGAGATAAAAACTATCAATCAACAAACTCTTATAGTAATAAAACAAGGAGATAACGATGTGTTTCAAGTATCTACCTAAATCTCATCAGGAGTAGTGAAAGAAATCTCTGTGAATTGATTATCAACCAATAAATGTATTCATCATTCAGATATGTCTAAGTTATTCAACCATAAACCATCTAATTCGAGGAATTCGGTAGCATATACATTTGATTTTCAGTTCTACATTCACTACCTAGTAGGATGTAAGAACTACAACAAAAACAAACAATTACTTTTTTCTTCAGTTAAATAACTAGTCTACAGTAACTTGATCAGATCTATATTGGATGTTTACAACTAAGCAGTCATAAAACCCCAGACTGTAACACAATATGACGCAACACAAGTAGCTAGAATAACTCATGCAATATAAATAGGGGTCTGTTTGTTAATTCTTGATTACAACAAATCTGTTTTGTCTACAAACTGGAAGAAGCTATGGCTTATTGGTTTAGGGACATGACTTTCAACCAAAAGGTTATGAGTTCGAATACTACTCCACTTACCAAGGTTTCGGCAACCTGGTAGTATCATGATTAGCCCTTATAAAATAATATGGCTCATTGCCTACTACACGAATGTCTACAAGGTTGCTGAGTGCATTTAGATTTCACAAATAGAAAGTGGGATCAAAAAGAAAACATTAAACGATATATATATATATATATATATATATATATATATATAAAGTGAATGTTGAGTGCTTTACCTCATCCCTCTAGCTCCAAAATTTTGCATTGCTTCTAGCTTTGCAGGTGATGGAATAAAACCAATATCACAACCTTCTTTTACTAAACGACCAATCCACCATTCATTATTGAATTTCTCCTTGATATGTAGAAAATCTTTCACCTAGAATAACGAATTAGAAGGTATATTGTGTAGTACTATGGTTTAATGATAACTACAAGAAGTGAAATAAATCACTCAGACATATGCTCAAAGTAGGTTTACAATCTTAAGAGTTCAACAAAGTCAGATTCAACGTTTGAGAATATGAAGTTTAATTTTATTGTTGTTCCATTTTAAGCTTAGAAATTCAGTTTATCCATTAGTCTTGTCAAAATTGTATGTTAGCTGGTAAACGCTAGTCTCTCATTAACTTTTAATTAATGTAGATAGAATTACAAACATCTAGGTCATAGTTATTACGAATGTCCTGAAAGAAGTTGAGCGCTTAGTCAGGTTTATTCATTATATACGTTTTACTATAATCCTAGTATGTAGTAATGATGGATAGTGGGTAGCAGTGGAATCCAGGATGTGCATTTCATCTTGTTTGGGACTCGTCAGCTGGATGTACCGGCCTCCCAGTGAGTGATGTTGTTCCCACTGGGATTCGGACTCGAGAGCGACCGACTAATTCGGTCCAATCAACGACAGCGTAATACAAGCAAAAACATTAGAACTATACCTGTCGCACAAGAAGTGGCCATCGTGACTCGGTGGTGTAGTGGATAACGCTCTCGCGTTTGAAGCGATTGCTCCCGAGTCCGAATCCCGGTGGGAACAACATCACTCATTGGGAGGCCGGCACATCCAGCTGACGAGTCCCAAATAGGACGAAATGTGCATCCTGGATTCCACTGCTACCCACTATCCATCATTACCATACACAATTAAAACACAGGCAATATCAAGGCACCCGCATAGGAGTCCATATGCCAACAAAGAATGACCAATTCGGTCCAATCAACGACAGTGTAATACAAGAAATAGCACTAATAATCCTAGTGTGTTCAGAAAATCGAAAAAAAGATTTTTCTGAACATTTTGCTGTGTATGCCACGGCTTCCTCAGCTTATTCTACTGAACACGTTGAGATTATATTAAAACTTACTTATATATTGTAAATAGTATTTAATTTTCAACTATGTACAAGTCTTTTCATTTTGACAATTTAAATACTGCTGATAAATTTGAAAGGATTTCAGTTAAACCACTGCTGACATCAGTGCGAAGGAATAGGTAATAGTTATTGGAATGACATTCAATAATTTGAAGAGTAATATCCCCACTGTAGACTAAAAGAATATGAATTCATTTGCTGAAAGGATTTCTAAACATTCTGAATACAATTACTTATTTGGTATTCTGTTTTCTTGCTGTTGAAAATGAGCCAATTATCTTCCTCATTAGTTCTATCATTTTCACTTATAACCAGAACTTCTAACGCGAAAAAACAAAATAAGTGGATGTTTTAAAAACACATCTAATTTTTAAATGTTATTTGAAGAGTTTGTGTTAGTTAAGTTGATTTGATGTTTCTATTCAACTGAATAAAACAAGCTGATTGGGTTGTTGAAACCATGAACCTTCATCAACTGAAGTTGTCTGGACAAGTTATGCATGCCAAACCACCGCCTACTTCAAAGTATAATTTTTTTAGAAGTTGGAACGAGTTGGAAGAAGGCTCAAGAGGATCACATAAGGACGTAACATAAGTCCACGAATTCTCTGACTATTCATCTGAGCCATGTGAGCAGGTGTAGACTACCCAGTTAGGGTCCCCAGCAGCACTATAAAAAGCAGTGGTTGGAGGCTCCTGATGAAATGGCTGAAAATCGATCATAATAACGTACATGTATTGACTATTTGACGTCTTTCAAAGCTCAGATATTTTCAATAAGCTTCATTTTCGAATTCCTTCTCTTTCCACACACTTTTATCTACTCTAATATCAGTCTTTTTCTATCGGCTTGTTCTTTGTATACTACTGTGAAGTGTGGCAACTTGAATCGATGAACTTTGGTGTAAATTTCTACGTCGACTTCGATTGTGTTTATCTGTCTGTCTGTCTGTCTGTCTGTCTGAAGAAACAGTTTAATATTACATGGCTTTATCAGAAACAAAATCGAATTGTGACACTCCACTCCGATTTTCAACAGATCTACAACAAATGCAGAGATTTTAAATATTAAGAAAACGTATCCTAAGGAGACCAGTTTGTTGATTACCTGAAATATAGCAAACCAACAGTAATTTTAGTGAAAAGCACTCCCGTGACCAATCAATACATGTAAGCCAGTCTTACAGGAGGTCAATCGTGGTCCGAATAGCTCAGTGGTAAAGTCGCTGACTACAACGCTAGGTGGCGCGGGTTCGAATGTCAGGCGGGACGGCAGTCCCGTCGAGATTGCAGACACGCCTTGCTGACGAGTGCCAAAAAGCACAAAGCTTAGGTCCAGGGCTTCCTGCCGATTGCCTCATACCAACTAACATCTACTAATCTGTACCACGGTGCTGAGCATCCTAGCTTGGTTACCACATTGCAAATATGATCGATAGGATTCGGTCTGCACATGAAATTGGTTGCACTCTTGTGACCAATCAATACTTATTCTAAAAGTTATTTAATCAAGATTTAAGAAAAAGGAAGTGGGATAACTGATCACCGATTGGATTTTGTACAGATAAAGTTTGAAATATAACATTATTCCTAAATAACCACTTTATTTAACTCGAAACATGTGAAAATCCTTATGCATTACATATCTTAAAGGTTTTTCCACCTAGATTGAATTCACAGATGGCTTCATGACAAAACGCAACCACTGGAGTCGAAAAAAAGTGATTTTAACCTATATATTTCTGAAGATTTGACAGTAATGACGGATAGTGGGATCCAGAACCCGTATTTGGGACTCGTTAGCTGAATGTACCTTCCTCCTAGTGAATGCTGTTGTTCCTACTAAGACTAAAACCCGGAACTAATCACTTCAAATGCTAGGGACTGATCAATTTGGTCCAAGCAATAACAAAATTTTGTAAGATTTTCCATTATTTCGTGGAGCGAAATACTTTCACAAACTCAATACATTCTACTGAGTGAAAATTTATCATCATTTGTTAGCTACATGGTTTTGCAAAACGTAAGTTTCGAATAATGCGGAACTGTAACTTAGTGGTTTAGGTAATTGACTTTTAGTCAGTAGGTTGAGTTACAGCCTAGAGCTCCCCTCCACCCACCGAGGTTTAGATAGCTAAGTAGTATCACTAGCCCTTACACAATAGGTGTGGATCATTGCCTACTGAACGAATGTGCACAAGGTTGCTGAGTATATCGTCATCAAAGTAAACGGTAGTGATGATATCGGAGTGAGATGTGTCAAACTTGGGACCTTCACTGATATGTTTTCCTTTCTACTGAATGAATTTTCTGCTCATTTATATTGTTATTGTTCATGAAAATAGCTTGTGACATGGAAGCCTCAAATGAAGATGTCTTATACAAGACCATATGTTATTTTGTTTCATCTATATTTTGATCATGCGGAAAGTCCTACATCATAAGAAGTTATCCTGTCCTTTAAAACAGTGAAAACGTCTACTGAAATACATTACCATTAGTTTTATTTTGAGCCAAGCTATTTTGTGCAGAATAACCGAAACGTTATACAACCTCATTTTAAGGTCGTATATGAAGATAATTTTCTTAAAACTTATGTAAAACTGGCGTGATAAAAAATTTCTTGTTATTTTTTGTTGTCTGTAAATATGAAAAATGTCATCTTACTTGAAAACTGACAGCCATTCCGGGGACAGGACAATCATCCGCTAGTGACCCATGGAATGCAACATTCGTTCTCACAACAAAAACAACTTTAGATGTCTGTTTTAAAAAGAAATATAATAGGAAAGAATGTTAGTATGCAGAAAATATGAGATTATAAATAGTTGCTGAGATTGGTTGATTGAAGGCATACTAATGGAATTAAAGTAATTAAGGACTAAGCAAAATACGACTAGGATTTTCGAAAAATGATGTTTAAGGATAGGGGGAGTGAATTAGTTGAATGTGCTGAGCACTTCACTTACTTGGGGACTTACATCAGCTAGAATGCATTGGTTGTTGATAAAACGTCAGTCCATCTGGCGTATACGAACTGACGTCACCTCTCTTGCTGGTCAGATATCCCGATACCTAATAAAGGATGAGTACACTGCGATGCAGTCTGTTATATTCTACTATATGGTTGTCAGACATGGCTATTGGAAGCAGAAGGTTTTAGAACACAGGTGTCTGTCTTTGTAGCATTCATCGTATATGGTCCGACCACCATCTTTGTAATGTCGAAGTTAGGTGAAGGATACTACTCAAAGAAGACGAGTCAACTAATGAAATTGTGTTGCGTATGCTGAGCCACTACCCACCTCAGCATAATGTTAGATGAGGTAAAAATGGGTTGGAAGATAGCTCAGAGTGGTCAAACTGAATCGTAACACGAGTCCATGAAGTCTCTGACCGTTGAACTGGGCTCTGTAGGAAGGTATAGACTGCTTGGTTGGAATCAGTTATTAGATATCCTCGGCGCATATGTATTCACTTCTTGACACATTAGAAAATTTGGATATCTTTACTAACCTTAATTTTCCAGGTTTTTCTCCTGCGATGAACTTTTGTCTACTTTGATATCACTCTTTCTACCGACTTGTTCTTTGCATGTTATTGTGAAGTGTGACAAATTGAACCAATGCAATTGTATGCTAGGTTCTACGTTGATTCTATCTCTATCTGTCTGCGGAGAATGATGTCTACAGCACCACTGTGCCATACAACTTCATGATATCAATCGCTAAGCGATGACCTAGGCTGATATGAAATGATATATGTGACAAAACTTTAATATTTCATAAGGGATTGCAAATAAGTCATATAAATTAAAAATGTGAATTTTTCGCTGAATAATTTACACGACAACTATCCACCGTTTAAAAATGTTTTACATAACTCCTTCTTTAATTCTAGTTATACAATTAGCTAAAATAACACATATCTAGCCACTACCTACCTCAAATGCATGATTCCTAAAAAAAACGGAAATGAGGTTGATGGGATAAGGATATGACATCAATTGACAAAATTATTGAGTGAGATGTGAATTGATATATAGGAGAGCTGAAATTCATTACAACTGCGTTGATTAACTCTGTGATTTCTTCTAAACATTGATTACCTCAGTTACTCTAAAAAATGTAGTCCCTCTATTGTGAATCCCTTCACTCTAATTTAAAAATCTTCCTCTTCTTTCGATTTCTTATTTTTGTGCTATTGTAAAGCCTGGTAACTTGAAATGATGGAAAAGATTTGTAACTCAGGATGAAGATGATAATGATACGGGGCTGCCAGAGTTTTTTTTATTTTGTCTTAGATGTTTTGTCATCAGGCTTGGTGACATTCTCAGCACTAACTTCATAAAGAAATCAAAGCCTGGTATGGTTTGGATTCTAACCAAGGACCTTTTGCATACAAAGTAGACGTAATAATTACTACAAAACCGAACTAAAAATTTTTTTCATCAAGTTACCTCTGAGGATTTCACCAAGCCTGAGGATGGAACGTCGACGACAAAAAGTCAGAGCTGAGAGAACACCGAAGCAACATCAGATGTGAAGGTTATTTACACCTAGAATTGTATAGACACATAGTACAACCAATCATTGAACATAGTACATAATATTGTTCCCGTCGATTGGTCACTGGACAACAACCAATTCTATGTTGACCGAATCCTATCGATAGCTAAGAAATAAATAAATTTTTCGTTTATTGTAGACTACTGGGACTGTCTACAGGAGCATAGTTTCTGTAACCTTTGTTGGTACTTTCATAACCACATTCGATCTCTAGAGTACTACCACTAATGAGGATTCATAAAGGTCATCGGCTAACTAGCCTTGATCCTGAAAACTAAAAAAATCTCGAAAATTAGTGTATAAACTAGTCATCTCAAAGTTAACCACTTTTATCAGTATGTTTTAATTGCACATGATCAAAATTTTCTTGAATTTTCCAAGAGTTAGTCAGTCTAAACTTTAAATGATTCCTATTTGATTCCTGTTTCACTGCTAAATATCTAAACAATTCACAATTTAGATTGTCTAAAGTTCATCATAGACTTTACAGGAAAATATGACTGATTATTTATTATAATTATTATTATTATTATTATTTGTCCCTTCACTTCCTAGTGGAACATACGGCTTCAGTAACACGTCACCATTTCACTCTCTTCTCTACAGTCTTTTCAACCTAGCTCCACCACTACCCACAAGATTCCATTTCTCCCTAACACCATCTCCTCCATCCCCTCACCCTAAAACGCCCAACTCGTCATTTCTCATTTCCGCTCCACTCAACGGCATGGCTGGACTCACCTGATCTGGCCTCGCACCTCATGTCCCCATTCACTCTTCTCAGTGTACATCCACTCCAATACAATACAATACAATACGTCTACACTTTCTCCTCATCTTTCTTCAACAATAGGTTGTTGGTTGGTTCGTTGTCAGACAGCCAGCCAGCCAACCAACCAACCAACCAGTCAAAGTGACTTCCTTCCCCTTGTTCTTCCTGACCATCTATCTTATATTAAGTACCCAGAGTGGGCGGCACCTGTTGGTGATGTATCTATGCAGTTTGTTGGAAATCATTTCCGCAACGCACCACCAAGTATCTCAACAATCACATAGAACCACTGACTCACTCACCACATTAATGTTGAAAATCCACATCTTATTCACGCTTCATGCTCACTGCAGTCTAGTGCAGTAGATCTCAACACTGACTACTTCACATTAATGAAGGCAGGTCTGTCTTCATGGCTTTCCAATCATGGCTGCTTCAACGTCCTCATCTGTGCCGCCCCCAACGCCTGTAGTTGAAACCACGCTGTCTTGACTAGGTACCTGAAAGAGACAACTTCCTTTAGATTTCTCCCGTTCATGGTGATTGGTGCTTGTTGTTGTTGTTGTTGTTATCATTGTTTGTTGGGTACCTTCATCACCTCTGTCTTCTCCTCGTTCACCTGAAGGAAGTCCCACCATCCTTCCCTGCCTGCCTCGCCTCACCTCTTCTGACAACTTGGTTTTCGTGCCTGTAGATCTTCGAGTTCGTGCGACATCAGACGTAAATCATCATCAGCGAAATCCAACTCTGATAGGATCTTTGCATTCGTCCAGCGCATGCCCAGTTCGCATCTCACGGTTCGCTACATGATCCAGTCCACCACAATCAGGAAGATCATCGATGATAGAAGGTGGCAACCTTATCTTACTCCTGTCTTCACTTCAAAGGCATCACTGAGCTTTCCATCGTGTTGTGAATCATTTGGCATGAAGCGTCGTCATACAGCTGCTGTTGAATGAGTTGATAAAGGTTTGTGGCACCAAAACCGTAGTGTTGAGGCAGCTGCCTGGCGAATTACTTCTCGTTCGCTGTCGAAGGCCTTTTCAAAGTCGATGAAGTTGAGGTAGAGGGTTGACTGCCCTGCTCTATGATGATGCGTAGCGTTGCAGTTTGACCAGGCTTTCCAAAGTCAGTCATAGACTTTATACGAAAATATGACTAATAAACCTTGATAGTACAACACATAACACTGTGATATTTTAGGCATTAAATTAGTCTCCTTAGACAAGGTTACACCCACTTAGGCATAATAGAACCATTATAAAATCCTTGGTCTCATAAAACTGTCAACAGGTCATATAATTTCTTCATATGACCTTGTTTGTACACTTTCTCTAACCTCCTTAACTTGAGGTGTAAATAAAATCAGAACACGCTCAGTGATTACTAAGTTAACTGTAAATATTTTGACAGTTAAGTCCATAAAAATTGGTAGCTAACACCGATTGAATGTAGCTTTGAAGTTAGCTTTAACAAAAAAGACAATGGAACTTATTCTTATTGGCAGGGAAGCTGTTGAAATGTACTGTTTTTTAAACATGTGCCGTTAGTAGACAATCAAACCATAAAATACAGTATACCTTGGCTTTTTCTAGAAGTATTCGTGCTTGTTCTTCTGTTTCCTGCCGTGCATTTTCTTCTTTATAATCATCTTCATCATCATCCTCCTCTTCATCATCATCTTCATCTGCTCTATCACAATACTCTTCATCATCGAAATCATCAAAATCATTTCCAGCGAAATCCCCTCTGAATATCCTCGATCACCAGACATGCTGATTAGTAGGTAAGTCACACAAAAAAACAACAATCTAATATAAATTATAAAGAAAAAGAGAAACCTTTAAAGTTTCTAGAGTTCAGCTTTTAGAACATTTTAAGCAACTTTTATTGTACTATAAAATGAAGTAGATCATTACTAAACAGTAGCAAACAGACGTAAGTTATTAGTATACCCTTACAACTCGATTATCCTCTATCAGCGGAAACATTTGGTACAGCTATACGGTAGTGCTAACTGTGACCGTCAATGAGAAACTATGAAAAGGTGATTTTGGTGTGAGCGAAAAAACAGCTAAAGGATAACAACAGTAGAATGAGATGTTAAGTCATCGGATAAAACAGCTAATTACTTGGGTCTTATAAGTTACTTTCTGGTAAGGGATTCAAAACTTCATATTCTGAAACGTCTATCGAGGCAACAAAGTCGATATTCAAGCTTTCATTTCTGCTTTTAAATCTAATCTGTATCTTGCTCTACTTTCAGGAGGCTTATACCTAGTAAGTCTTTTTGTAAGACTAAGCATATACTAAGTAATTTAAGTAATTTTTCAGAACTCTTAGTCCAATAAAGTTAATGTGAAGAGGTTTGGTCATGTTTGTGATTCCTTTGTTAGATTAGTAGAAGTTTGGTAATCATCTGCTGGTATTAAGTTAAGGCTATGCTTTTTTTTGAAAACAGTGAACATTCGTCGATGATCTATAAGGAATAATCACAGTTAGTGAATTTAGTTTTCTACCTTGTAAGTTTAAAAATCTCCATTTTAAGATTCATTTTTATTTCTGAACAAAAGATACTCATCCAAAAAGTAACAGAATGCTTGCTGGGCATACAAATAACTAAAAGCAATTTGCTCTATATCTTAACTATAATGGGTATTTCTTACTCCCAATATCACTTAAGGCTAATGCTACATAAATACTTTTTTATGTTCTTGGTTAAACGTTTAAAAAGCTAATAATTCTGTTTAATGAATACTCAAAAACACCATAGGAACACTGCGATTCAACTAAATCATTTTTTTCCTTATGAATAACAAAATGCTAAGAAAAGTAGGTGAAATATATGGAAAAACGTTTTTACCACCAAAACAGTCATAGTTATGCTTTAATTTCAATTTTGATGTGAACTATGGGCATTGATAAAAAGTATTTGTGTACTTTGACATATCATGTAAACACTAGTGATTCATATCATATACAAAACGAGATAGCCAAATTGTTTGATAACTAAATACTTACCTAAAGAATTGCATCTTTCTGTGCAGTCTACTTCATGTTAATTCATTAACAAATTCCAAGTAACTGATAAATATGATTTCCGTAAAACTTTACAGAAAGCGAAATTTATTAGTGGTAATAGAGTTTACATAGTTAATTGGGAGCACTTTTCTTAACTAAGAATCAATTGTGTTCTAAACAATATTTCTTGCATACTCAACTGAGTTATGATAGCAGAAATATTATTTTCAAATGTAGATCTTCCTTGTCGATTGCCTGACTTATATAACTCAAATAATCGAAGTAAGAAAGTGATTATGCTATGAAACTTGTAACATACATGTGTGGGATTTGGACCGATCGACAGTTTCTATCTTGGTGTGGTAGTCAGGCTTGCATATTAAAATGACCAAAAGAACTTTGCTGATGGAACGTTTGCTCCCTCGAGGTCCACAATACAAAGTAGTCAGATGGATTATAGTAAGACGAAAAGCAGTCACCCCTATAATATAAAGTTTTACACTATGATGGAGGTCCGAAGACGAAGTCGTACTACTGCCTGGATGAGGATGTGAATTCAGTAAAATGTTTTCCTTGGAAGACCAGCAGTGCCACGCTATGAGAAGGCTCAATTAGAAAATCTGGGTCCTAAAAATACCCACTTCCCTGTAACCCTCAGCATACTGGTGCCAGCGATATGAATTCACAGTCGGAGTTAAGAAAGGTTAGCTTAAACTTAAAACTCCTAAAAAGGCCATGTGTGGTCAGCCTCAAGTAGATGGCACTTGAGCTCTACAACCACGAACTAATCCTTCTTTTTCAGAAACCTCAAGAAGAAATAGTTTTCTACAGTGTAGGCAGCCGGAAAGTATTAACCACCTAGACGTTTTAAGTAGTGTACAAAACCTAACTGACTATAATTTACTCTTCTTACTTTTATCGCCTGTACTGTCTTCCTCTCCAGGTACCTCTGACAATTCCCTCAACCTATGACTCTGCCACTATCGCCAATGATCAAAGACAACGACACCTCATTCAGAGTCTCCTGCAATCGATTCTATATTGGGGATTTCAAGATCTGAACTCTACATCGATCAGACAGTATATATTGCTCACCAAAACTCTATAATCTCAATCCACAGACGTAAGCTGAGACACGTGAAAAGGACCTAAGTTTGGGTATTAGCTTGAAATGACTTGGCCAATACAATAGATCTTCAAAATTCACTCACGAGTATACCGAGACCTAATGGCTAGCTCTCTTGAACTTGCTAGTGTAGACATAACACTAGGTTTTGAAGCAGAGTGCACTTACCACCGGATAACAGCCATCCATGTTTTCCGTCTGAACGGATTTGTAAGAATTCGGAAGAATAATGAGACTTGCCGATTGCATATTCACAATCACACCAAACCTGCCCACCGACTGCAGTTCAAATGATGCAAAGGATGAACTCTATAAGCTGCCAATTTTGCTGCAGAAATCAAAACGTTCAGACACATACAATATAGTTGACAACTTAAACGCCTAGTTAGGGAAGCTGCGGTAATCAGAAAGACATCTTGGAGGCATTTACAGTATCCCATCGCGACGAAACGACAATGATCATCCCTTGCAATTTTGTCATGGCAATCACATGTTTTTGGTCAGCACTAACTTCAAGCATATGGACATATAATGTCTCACCTGGCATCCGCCGATATCAAACCAACAATGGGCACAGATAGGTCGAAATACTACAAGCCAATAAAGAGAAGGATAGGTGGATTGCACCTTTTTTGGACTCCAATCACGCGCTAGTATAGGCCAGTGTATATCTGCCCCTTTCTAATCACAGAAAACAGGCAGCAGTTAAGTGTGTCTGTGCTCGATTGGAAAATGAGAATCTGAAGTACACAGTTATGATGGAGTTAGCTAAGCATTTACCTGAACTTGACAGCAATCCTCATCCTGAGGAAACATGATATGACGTTACATCTGTTACAGAAACAGCGGTAAAGACAGTTCGTAACCTACATTCAAAGTTTAGTGAACCTTACTGGATTTCTGCAACGTCATCCGAACTGATTGCTGGGATAAGACTCATTGTAGAAAGCTCTGACACGATGAAGAACAGAAGCAACTTAAACATAAATTAACCAAGGGTCTTCGCCACAATCGCGGGCATTGGTGGGTGGCGACAGTGACAGAGATGAGAAGGCATTAGCGTTAGGTTACACCTATCAGCTATATAGACTTACTAAGAGCATGGACAAGAAGAAAACGATGGTTGATGAAACCATCAAATAAAAGTATAGGATGCTAATGAACTTTCAGGACAGACGGCTAAGATGTTGGGCGAAACACTACGAATTGCAGTTCCACTGGCTTAAAGCAACGCTTCAGTTGTCTAACATCCAGTGTGAACCTGAATGGGACATAGATATCGGCAGAGTAAAGGAATCAGAGGTAGTACCATCAGACTGGTTTACTTCACAGAACATTCCAATCTATAAGGGAGAGAAATCCTCTTGTGACAAACATAGGGGAATAAGTTTAACTAAAGTCGTGTTAAAGATCTTTGAGTCCATAGTTATCCGACGCCTAATTACAGCTGGAAAATAGTAAACTCGAGAAAATGAGATAGATTTGAGACCTTGACATCGACCGCATTTACACTCAACGACAGGTTCTGGAACATGCACACCTACCGGTGACCGACACGATATATTTCTTGACCTGAATGTCCCATTTAACTCTGTCCACTGTGAGAATTGTGGCAGTGGCCTACTGTGGAAGGAGTGTCGAACAGTTATGCTGCACCAACCTAAGCCCACTACTCGAGCTCACCCAACCGTTTTAGGGTCTATCTATGGTCTATGGAGAGTCGACATCTGAACTGACGACAAATAATTTTGTCCACCAGGGATACTTACTGTCACCTTTCATGCTAAAATCCTCTATAGGTGCACTAATGGATATGACGTTAGGTATTTCCGACCTCACAAAGATTGAGTTACTCACCGAAAGACCCATGGTTGACTTTGAGTGAGCAGACGACATTATCCTTCAAGATGAAGAAGCTGGTAAAATGCAGGGTCTTCTAAATGCCCTAAGCAGAAGTCTGTCTATGTTTGATATGCGTTTTGCACCTGTCATATGTAAAATGATGATTTAGGACTGGTTACAACTATTCCCAGTATAAGGATAGGAAGTGAAGTGGCGGAAGTTGAGTCAGCCCAAATGGTTTCTGACGAAATCTTAGCTGGAATACAAAAGTCTCGTTCAACATTTGCCAACTCCCATTACCTCTGGCGCCAACTAGCAAGATATTCGAGCACATAGTGAAGGATGAGTATACTACCTTACGGTTCGTTCTGTCCTACTATACGGCTGTGATACATGGCTGCTAAAATGGGAGGTACGGATGTTTTCATGGATGTCTGCACACCATTGCTAACTCATGCATGGTCGGATCACTGCATGAGTGATACTGAGATTAGATGGGGACTGCTACCCAAGACAGGCAATTCAGTCGGTGGGGTTTTCAACTTTCAGCAAGTGAGGCGGCCTGGACATATGTTTCTCATGCAGAGTCATTGCCTACCTCGAAGTGCTATGATAGGAGAAGTTCTCAGGTTGGAAGAGGATTCAGGCTGGCCAGACCAAGACATAGACCTATTTCATGACGTCTATGACTGCTTGAACTTAACTGAATGGGGTACTTGAGGTCATAATAATCAATGTTTGAAGAACCCTAGTGAAATGGCTGAAACGCGGTTACGATGGTGCACATATATCCACTCTTTGATGTCTTTTGAACCTTTAATACTTTCTCGGACAGTGGGTCTTAAATTTATCTTCCATAATCCTTTGCCGACTTTGATATCAGATTTGTTCTTTGTATGCTACTGTGAAGTATGACTTGAACCGATGAGCTTCCTTACGAATAAATGCCGTATATCATAGTGACCGTTTAGCCATTTCATGTGTAATGAGTAAGACAATTATCAAATGAATTGCGTGGCACGTTAAGATTTTCACATAAAAAGGCGTTTTGACTGGTATACATTTTGGTAAGAACAAAATGTAGGAAGCGATAGATTATGTACGAACAAACCGTCTACATGAATCAGTCATAGTAATTAAATGCAAACTATTAGAACTCTAGCTAACTAAATCTCAAAACTGGATTACTACAAGCAATATTCACCAACTATGAATGGGATCAAAATAGGCTGTTGAAAAAGACATCTGCTAAAACAGAGGGATTTCTCCAAGTAGTAGTTTCGTGGTTTCAGAATCACGGAAAAATTATACCACGAAAAACAAACATAAGGGAGTTTTGAGTGAACTTATTTATATTGTATACATCAGCGAAGCTAAAGACAATATTAGAGAATCAAGGAACAACATTTGACGAACATGTACATTGGAAAGACAAATAAGTAATAAAAATGGAGGGAAAGGTAACATAGCTGAGCCTGTTCGTTCCACAACAGACTTATAATTTTTCAGAAAATTTTTCTGATAATCTGCCTGCCTATGACGCCACTTTGCTTCATGATACTATTTAGGCAGTGTTCTGTTCACATCACAAATAAGTGGACATCACTAAGAATCGGGTTATTATTCCACACTTATAGATAGTGTTAAACTCCATAGAACCATTTTTCTTGAGAATGACAGACTACCTCACAACAAGAAGAAAACATTGAAGTGAAATGGTTGAATAAATGATTATTGGCGCTATATCCAAACAGGAGCTTTGTTAAATACAGCGGTCATGACAGTTTTCACCACCACCCAAATAAGGATTTCCCATTGCTGAAGATTCCTGATTATGATATATGAGTCATTGGAACTCAAGATCTTGAAACTACAACATACACTAAAGTAGCAACTACTAGTGGTTTCTTAATATGATGGTCTCTTTTCAGGGGATAAAAAAAACTTAAATAAAGATATGTTTTGAACAATAAACCCGACATATATTAGACGCCATTAAATATCCATGATGAATGCGATAAACCTATGTTTCAAATTTAAAGCAGAAACTAGAACAGGTCCAAACTGTAAGGTCTAAAACAATATTAGGGCTTTCAAGCCTTTTCTTCAAACGTATTGGGCGCCAATTTCTTCACCGAGCAGTCGACTCCCTGAACTGAGACCCAGTAGAAGTGGTGTCCAAGTCATCAATCAACTCGTTCTATAAAAGATAGGAAACATCTGTGGGAAAACTACTGGCAGAGAATGATAGCGTTTCATTCTCAAACACTAAATCTCAATTTGAACTAATGAATAATTTTATTGACTATATCCATTTCCTTTGTCTTATGCTAAGTGAGAGAAGATTCGATACCAATTATCCATATCTCAAGTAAGAATTAAGGATTTTATTTATTTATCCTCCGAAACTAATCACCTAAGAGGATAATACACTTATGTTCAAAAACTATGACTAAATCACCCTCGCTTAGAAGTCTTTTATGCACATCGTGTAATGAATCAGTAGAATCCACTGTCGGCGCATCCAGTTAACTAACTCCCAATATCTAATACGTTTCATGATTTTTTATAGATTGACTGAGTTCTTTTGGATCGTTTCTAGGTCTTGCTGAACCGTTTCAGGTCTTTGGTGGATTCCTAAGCAATAGATTCAAACACAAATTTGCTGTGGATCTGGGAAAGCACGACTAGTGCTATATTGTGCTGGTGATAGAGACAGTTATTGCAACATTCAATCTTACCACACTTGTTGCTGAATCAAAAAGATAAGGGCATGTTTATAGTCTCACTCAAACTTGATTAGACATATGAGAAACGCAGTAATTTCCTCAAGAATCCTATACTAACGGACAACTTCATCAACGAATATATTATGAGATGGCACATGCCTATTCAAAACGATGTTATATCATTTTCACTAAAAATGAAATGAATAAGCTTACTAGTTTCATACCGGTAATAAAATCCTAGGGTTCTATGAAGGAAATCAGTTAAATGTTAGGCTATTCCTTCTTATTTTTCGCTGGCATTGAGATAATGCTGTGTAAATCAACAACAGTAAACCAATAAAAACACCCTTTTATTTCAATGACTTCAAATAACTTTAGATTAAAAATGCAAATGCTTTAGGAAAACCAAATATTTTAATTCAACTTGTTTTTGTGAAACCCACAAAATCAATTTAGAAACATGATCTACAGATCTCACTGAAATGTACTCACTGGCTTTTTTAGACCCCAGAGAAACTGTCTCATAAAATTATACGAACTAGAAATTCTACTGCTAAAACATACTCAAAAGCAGTTCATTAAACAGTACATTGTAAAGGACTAGCGGTTAGTTAGTAAAACAAAAATTGAATAGCCTTGTACAGCATCCCTTTCAATCTATAGATTTGTTGTACCGATGAACTTCATGTATCTGTTGCTGGTTATACATTGATGCATAAACCCTACGTAAATTTACAACAGTTTCCTATTCAAATCAGTTTGAATGAACCAGATCCAAAATCAAAGTGCAAGCGGAAGACGTTTTTAGTTTTTTAACTGTTGCGTCTTTATTTGGAGTCTCAGTTTGTTTACTAGGTTAAGCTGCCTCGGGCCCGAGGAAGCCTTTCCAGTTTGCCTGCTAATAACTTTTTAAGCAATAGTTGTCAGTCTGTGGATATTTGTTTTTCCGCAAATTGTAGGCTGGTTTGTTTTTGGGAAAGATGTGGTTCCCAATAAGGTGAATGAAGTTTGTACAGTTTCGGTATTTTTAGTTAGTTGGGTGACAAGCGCTTCTAGGGAAGTTGTAAGAAAGTTTGTGTAGACGGACAAATTGAAGGAAGGCAAGAAAAGTATCAAGTGTTAGTAACAACGATCTGAAAGGAATATGATCTACTTTGTCGATGCTAGGGTAGAGCGGCAGAGGGGTTAACGAGCACAAACTTGATTTCTAATAGTCTGTGTCTTTACTGAGCCTTGTGCCCCCATGTACTCATGTACTCGTTTGATGGAGTCAAATGAACAGGCTTTGACTACGTCTTTCACTAGAAGAGGATTCCATGATACGTACACTTCATCAGGGAAAGGATTGCGTGTAACTCTCGTACTGGTTCTCTGCGAGGACATAAACATGGTGTCCGTAAGACTACTGGCCCTTGGCTGACGCTCTTGTCCTGTTTAAGTGACTCACTTCAGGCACTACCTCGTAGGCCATTAGGACACCACCAGTAACTTGAGGTAAGCAGATCAAGTATGTGTTGAAGAATGTTTTCTTTGGCTACCCGATCTAAAGCTCTAAACACAACTGACGTGATATGTATAGGTATGTGGTAACACCCCACTTCTGGAACAAGATTTGGGTCCAGGTATTATGCAGGATATCGAGCATATATCGGGGCATGTGGAAGTCTCTACGGATATGGAGTACAATTTCAGTAATAATGGCGAAATGCCAGAATCCCCATCTTTGAAGAGGTATCCAGTTAATCCTTCAATACCGGTGCTCCCAGACAGCCTAAGTGTTTCGGCACCTCGATTATTACATCTCAGCCGAATAATGCTTGTAAGTTTCAGCGTAGATGGGGAAAGGTGGTAGCTAATTTTAACAAAATTCACACCGTTACTGGAGACTGTTGGCAGTAAGCAGCTAGCAAATAGAACGCTACTGGATAATTCGCATGTTTCTTCCGGCCTACTATAAACCTCGTCATCATAAATGGATACATAATTTTATGCTTTGGACGATTTAGCCACCTCTTTAGGATCTTCATTCACCACTTCCAATCCGAGTACAAATTAGATCCCGTTCTGTTTTATCATAACTTCTGTACTTTGATTATGGGAGAGTGAAGGTAATACATGCAGTGCCATTTGGAGAAGGGAGTGGTACTGCACGCAGTACCACTTTGTGATCACTTCTCGGAAACCAGGATCTAGCGTGTATTGAAAGAGGATAGATATCTTGGCATATAACTGGATCAAGCACGTTCTTACCCTTGTCGGGGTACTGATGGATTACCTCCGCCCGAATATATCTGATGCATTGGGAAGGTATCGGATCACGTGGGGCCAGATGACGTGACTCATTTAATTTCCAGCAGACTGAAGTCCCACACACAATCTTGTATTTATTTTGAAGGCAGGATGCGTGTTAGAGAGCGTTATTGCATACGAATTCTCCCCCATGGAAAACTCTATGTGATCTATGCATGCAACTAACCAGTGCCGCAGAAACTTTGTGGCTTACAGTAACCCATAGAGAGTCCATCTCATTGAGTATCACATTCTCCAGCCTGAATACATTTATGGTGTTCAAAAAGCATGGATGAAGTGGTCATTTCAGATAACGCCATAGCTTCCATGTCTTCGTCTCCACTTGTTACCCCCACCACCAGCAGTGGGCCTCAGGGGACCACGAAGAGGTCCGCCTACCGTGAACGGCTGACTATCAGGTTACAGGTTACAATCACAAGTCATAAGTGGATGACAGAAGTATAATAATAATAATTCAGTGGAGATTGTTAAGAGGAATGGAAATTCCGTGTGTACCCATGAAGAACGCAAGATGTGCATATGGGGGGCTGGCTTCCACGAAACAGTTTGGGACTTCATGCATTCGCCCATAGTAAATATTCCGTGGGGTAGGTGACCAGATAGGCTTGGTGTGGACACGCTGAGAAGACCGTGAGGTGTTTGATATAATGCCCGCGCTCCTCGATGGGACTGGATGACGAGCACTTTTGTGTTGATATGGCAATGAATGCTTTTGGGGCTTTTGCTCACAAACCTTCCGCACCAGATATGTATCACCAATAGCTGTCGCGTCTGCTAACCTGGCATCTTGATAAGGCGCTTTCGTGGAACGCATTTGCTGTTTGAAACAGCGTGTTTCAGTGCTAGGGTCGTTTCAGTTGGTTCAGGAGCTGCAGTCGTCTTAAGACCTGCTCAGGTCAACAGATATATTTTTACCTGGTGAGTAATCAGCAGAAACTCGGGATTGCGATTTTTAGGCCTGATTCTAAGTAAGACTTTCGGGTGGTTTCGGATAAGCGATCTCGACCGGACCACCAATAAGTTCTGGGCGGTTGCCGGGAATTTTGGCGTCTGGATCTTGACTAGATTGGTACGTTCGTCGAAGGTTACCAGCATTTTCGGAAACTATTTTTATATTTCTAAGTTTTGTGGTAGAAACAATAACGTCATAGGATATGACGAATCTACCAGCTATTTGGTGACTGTCAAAGCTAACAGGGACCGGACAACAATTCCCAGTGCCTTTTAGGGGGTCTGAGGCAGCCACATGGAATATCAGGGATACCAGTGGCCTTAAGGAGTATATTTCTAACGGTTTTGAAAGGCGTTGTATAAAATAGCTACCTGACCGGCTACAAAGTGCTTAAGGATTTTGAAAGAAATGCAACTCGTAACATTTTCTATCTTGGAAGCAGCATCAGTCTGCACTCTGCTCACCGTATTCGAAAAGATATTACCGTCCTTAGTAGCTAGTAGCTTTAGTGCAACAGTATCCTGGGCACCCAGTATAATCCCCACAATATTTCCAGGAAATGATTCAGCCGAGTAAACCCTGGGAAGAATTTTGCCCACCTGTGGTTGTTATTCTCAAACGCCAACCAGAATGTGTAAAACTCTAGTTTGGCCTCCGCATTTTGTAAGGCATCCGGCATAGTTAACAGTTCTTTTATTTGTTCGCTCATACATCTCACCTTAGTTCTGAGATACAAGACGTTTCCGTTTACAGGATTTGGCAATTGAATGTCATTTATCTTGATTATTGGTATAGATTTAACTTTCAAGCCGTTTGCACTGGCCTCCTTACTATGATTATCGTTCGTTGCATCGAACTGTGCGATCAAGTTAGGGCTGGAACTATTTTTACCGCCTGCATCATTGGGGCTGCTGTGAACACGTTTTCTGCAATCTGAACCTATAATGTGTTGGTGTTTTATCAAGCATATATTAAGTCAAAGGACTGTAGTCCACTAGTTTATTTCGCAGACAGGTGGATATCAGCAACAATATCTAGTAGTTGATGCCTAAGATGCCAGGGATTTGACAGCACGGATGTAGTCTTCTATAATGTAGCTAAGCAGTTTTGGTGTTCAAAAGTCCGGAATTGAACGATGAGCGAAGGTAAAATAATGCTTTAACAGATCACGTGCCAATGTAACCCAAGTTACGAACATGCCACGCAACAGAGGTTTATTGCTATCTATCCCATAAGGAAAGCCTTCATCATGGATAGGTAGGTGCTGGGAAAAGCTACAGCGAACGTTCTCAAATCGGATCGCTTCATATGCATCCAAGCTAACCAAGATCCTCGTTTAGTACTCCATTATTAGGCGAACCATAACTCTCCATAAGTCTTGCCTTGGCTATGAATATGCATCTATGTGGAAGACTTATGAGTCTCATGCTTTTTGAAAGAACTGCCCATACATACTCTTCGGATAAAAGGTGCCAAGGTCCTTCTTAGATAAACATATTTGCAGAGTAGTGTCACTCAGGTGTAGTGTCTCATCTGGGTAGGAGTTATTGAGATGATGGTTGACGTCCTTACTAGAGTATGGCGAGAGTCGACTGCCCCCACTCTAAGTGCTTCAACTCTCTGAGTTATCTTCAGTATGAGTGGAATATACCGTCGGTGCTGCGTAGGGAAAACTGTAGGCAGTCTTCAGATCATCCGCGAAAGGTAGGCTGGGCCGAACCCTATAACGCCACAGACATTGTTTGCAAGTGGTATGATAGTAGCCATCCTACCACACTCTCCCAGCAGATACCAAGTTGCGCAGGTCTGGAGGGCTACCACCAGTTGCTTGTTTTGGAGCAAGACGGTGGTGAGCCCTCAAATGTGTATTTTAACTTGATCATCCAGTATTTATGAGACATCCTTTCGAAAATTTGCCCCGAAACCTAAGCGAAAATGGTGATGGGGAGACCATGATGCTTCCTTTAGCACCGTCTAGATAACCAGGGAAGTAAGTAACATATGATTGGCCCTTTTGGAAACTGCCCTGTGCCGGGAAAATAATTGGTTAGTTTTCAAGAAATTGACAACCTTCTTCACAACCACCCTTTCGATGGTTCTAAAACCGCTGGCTTCATGGTCATAGGTCACGTGTTTTCGATGTTGCATGCTGGCCCATATTCATGTGTGGGGGGCATGTATGACAATTTTTGGCTCCCAAGATAATTCCCAATGGAGAGGGACATCGTAAATAGCTTCGAGGGGATCTGTGGTATGTCTTCACGGCCTCTTTTCATAAAGATAATTGAAATTCAGTCGCATCTAGAGCTTATAAAGCTCGCAGCAAGGTTATCGCGAGGAAAGCGTTTCATTAGGTGTGAAGACCATTACCTGTTGAGTACTTTTCTGGTGGCTGTACGTCGGAAACCTCTGCTTCACCCTCGCGTGTGATGGAGCAGGCAGGCTGATAACTAAATAGCTAGCATATTTTCAGTGGATTGTCTCAGAGCCTTCCGCCACCAATACATAAGCCTCGGAAGTACCTCATGGGGTTTTGAGCGTAATAAGTGACATATCGATCCTTCTGACACTATTATGTATGTGGTTGCATACCTTGGCAGGGACGAAGCCAACTTCTTTTTCTTGCATTTACCTTGGGAGTGCCGGATCAATTTAAGGACCGGCTGCGTTTATTTATTCGCAAGCAAGATCACTGAGCTCTCTGGGTGAGTTGCCTATAAAACGAGGACCTTAATCTCGGCAGCGCAAACGTGACAATAGTCTGTTCCACTCAGCATATTTGTGGCTTTTACGAGAAACCGCCTTCGTGCTTTAGGCTAAGTAGACGCCAGATGTGCTGAAGCTAATGAACACTCCCTTGTGATCGCTGCCGAGTAATTCCGTACCCAGTTGGTCCGTTGTGGGGTGATTCCGTCCGTGAGGACTTTATTCAAACACTGTAGCACCACGTAGGTTGTCTTGCGTGTTGCTTTCAACCTTCTATGTTCGAGGTACCTATGAATTTCCCGAGGCACTTAGGGGAGTTAAACGATTTTCATGTTGCATCGGGCATGTCAACGTCACTACATATGAACCTCCCTACATGGTGGTGAGCAGTGGCATGACTATTCATGATGTCATCGTTGGTGCACTGAGACAGCTTGATACTTACTAACTCTCGGAGAATGGGATGTTGATTATATTGCGGTTTGTAGAGGGTTTTTTGGCTTGGAGAAGACAGTAAGATTCAAAAGCATCTGAACCATTTGCATTACTTTCGGCGTTGCAGTTACAGGCCGTTCAAATTAGTCGTGACCATAGATTGCAGATGGAACTACAGACTGCATAGTGTATCGGTCTACTGGTTGTTCTACGCATATTGATGTGGGAGAGACCTGATGCACTTTCGTGTTGAGGTCACACTGGACCTACACAGCGAAGTATCGGTGGGGCAGGGCAGTAACTTAGTGCGGGCCAATTGTTTTGTATTTATAGGTATCACTGAACGTATTCATTGCACATCATAGTTAAAGGTTGGGGGTTGAAAAGATACTTACGTGAGTCACTCACTGTGGACACACAACTGAAAGGCAGGGGACACCTAATCTTTCATCGTTTCGTGAGCATATGAGAACATCAGGTTATGCACTTGGAGGTCACCGTCTTCGAAAATTCGTATGCCAGGCCTCAGGTACCTTTTCCATCGAAAACCTAGGCCAAACGTTCAGGCTCGAGTCTTTCCCTAATGAATACAGAACATTTCAGCACTGTGGCTCCATGGAATATTCATGTTCATCCTGACTCCTAGCCATGTCAAACGGTCCCGCCTTCTGACGTAATAAAGGCGTTCTGGAACTCCACGCGTCGGATTCTAAATAAGGCGATGAGGAAGCAGACATTGCAATATTTGTCTTCTTGTGCTTTAGCTAAATTTGTAAGAGAGTCTAGCTTTTCAAAACCTGTGAAAGTGTCGGTAAATACACACTCTCGTAAGCTTAAAAAAGCCTGTTACTTGATAACATGGTCCTTTCAATGATGGTCAGTCTATCTTAATTGAAAAACTGTATGCCCCGTGCATCGGTTTGTCACGACTTTTTCTTAAGATGATTGTATGTTTGTAAGTCAGTGCCTATTGGGTCAAATTCTGGTCCTGAAGTCTATAGGACAAGCTCCAAGCATTTCGTTTATCACATGCCTTATAAAATTGGTTTGTCTCGGCATATCTTGGCAATTCCCCACTCCAATAGCATTTAGGAAATAATCTTCAACTACATACATGCGTGCTGTTGCATACCCCCAATGTTGCCATATTTTTTCCCCGATATTTGCCTATAACTTTAAAACAACTTTGTTTTTGCTGTTTTCTTTCCCACCTTGCGTCATTCCTAGCTTTTGCTTTTACCACCGATTCTAAATCCTGAACTTAAACTGATTAATAGCTCTCCGAGCTTACCAGTGGATTTAGCGTCTGACAAGCTCGTTTAGGGCACATATGTTCAGCAGCACTGTCAACTGTCTCGACCATTGTTGAGGCAACGAGGCTCTCTGCCAACAGTCTGTCTTTTATCCTTGTCTTCGCATGCCTGTGGCATTGTTGTTGTGGTGGCTGACATTCCGATTAGCAATTAAGGTAGATTCCTTGCGTGGTAGGTTCTCGTCGCTCATAGACTGCCACTTCATATCACCGGTCACATTGCGTACGCGCATGCAAGCAAAAGTCAGTCAGAATTATTTTGTAAAGTTCGAGGTTAAAAACTACTTCAAAGTTGAAATGAGTGGCTATTATAACTGGCCAGAGATATGAGCTGTTTGTGAGCAATATGTAATGCACAAACACGACGAGTGCTGGCAAAATGTTCTCTGCTTTCATCAGCTAATGTAGCTAGGCACTAAATTTGTAGTTGTAAAACCAAAATTGTTGAGAGTCAACAATTTGCACCACACCATAGGTTGAAAAAGACTACTTCCCATAATGTTTCCACAGAATAGTCATTTTCAGGGGTCCATAAGTATCTCCCAGGATTGAGGAGGAGTGGCATGAAGGCTTCTACAACCACTGGAGGAGGGTGGCCAGACAGGAAGAACTGAGCCTCAAAACCCAGAAGGAAGAGCTTAAAAACTGCAGGTTCCCTATACTCGCACTATGACGTTTGATGTCGGAAGAAACGTGAGTTTTCTAAGTGGTGTGGGGGAACAACGGAAATTTGTTATATACGACGTTCGCTGAAGTGACTTGATAATTCTTGAGTGAGATGCCATGAGTGTTTCAGAAAACTGTGAAGCAACCTTGAGATTCATTGGAGGATGTGGTTCTACAGGAAACCACCCGACCATAACAACAGTTTGATCTCTGAGGCATACTGCCCTAAGGAATAAAACAGATTTCATGCGGTCAAATTGCCCTGACCCTTCTGGCAAAATCCACAAATCGACCTAAGCGGTTTCTAGCTAATCGTCGTGGGTTAATCCCTGCAGAGAATATCTCTGCGAAGATCCAGTTCCTCCTTGAACGCATTGACAGAAGGTGCTGATACTACTTGCCAAGGTAAGGAGTTCCAGTCACTGTCTACACGATGAGAAAAACGCAGGTTCACGTTAGGTTGATTCGATCGCGGTTTTTGAATCTCCTTGTGATGCCCTCGGAGATGTCAGTCCTAGCAGGGGGAAAATATAGGACATATCAGTACTGAGTCTTCATTAGGAATACGAAGTGCCGGTATGAGATCACTTTGTTTCCCACGGTGAGACACTGGAAATAAGTTTAGCTGATCTAGTCGTTCCTCGTAAGCAAGATTCGAAAGGCCTGCTACAAGTTTAGCACCTAACCTGTGAACAAGCTCGAGTGAGTTAGCATCCCTTTTTAGACATGGGCCGGCCGCCTGAATGCAGTATTCTAAGTAAGGTCTAAAGTAAGTAGACTAGAGTATTCCGGCGTGTCCTGGTCAAAACTTTTGAAAGCCGTGCTAAAGGACCATAATACTCGGAAGCCCTTTGCCTTAGCCGCGTTACAGTTTGCTGAGGTTTTCAAATCATGACTAATGATGACACTCAAGTCGTTTAGTCCAAGATTGTGAGTAGTGATGTACAATCAACGGAATACTGGAAACAATTGCCATGTAAGAGTTGATTTCCAGGTAGCAGAGTTTGGACCAACCTACTGGTTCATCTAAATTCGCTTGAAGTGCATAGCTACCTGCATCACTACGTATGGCTTTCCAAATCTTTACACCATCAGCGAAGAACATTACCGAAGAGTTGAGCATTTTTGGCAGTTCGCTAGCATATGAAGAAAAAGTAGTGAATCTAGGATTGTTCGTTGTGGAACTGCACTCATCACAGGTTTTCACCCAAACAGTATCCCACTTACCCCTACTGTTTGACTCCCATCGAACAGAAAGTCCCTAGTCCAAGCTTGCAATGAAGCATCAAATCCGAAATAAGACAGCTTTCCTAGTAATCTCGCATGTGAAAGTGTATCAAATGCCTTACTGAAGTCTATAAACATGGCATCTATTGGCAGCTTGTAATCACGAGCTGCAACCCATTCCTCTCTTAAGATAAGGAGGTTAGTTAAACAGGAGTGTCCAGCACGAAAACTGTGTTGCTGTGGTGTCAAAAGATTGGTTGGTTCAACATGTTTAACTACCTTATCGAGAACTATTCTTTCTAAAATCTTAATAACCATACTAGTTAGACTCAAAGGGCGATAGTTAAACCCAAATTGCAATTGCCAGCCTTAGAAACTGGGCTGTGTGCTTCTTTAGTTCATGATACCTTCATGTCAGAAATCACAGCTTTCAATTTAGCCGGATAGTTTCCAAGAGGAAATCTATTGACACCATACTTGAGGGTTGAGAGACTACTGACCTCAGTTTGTAGCGTGCTATTTGCAAATAATTTGTGAATTGAACATCACGCATATCGCCCTCATTGGCGGTGGGGCATTTAATTCAGTAGGTTTTTTTTAAGATTTCATTTTGATAGCTGCACTTCGGTTAGACGGTGGTAGTCCACCTAACTAGCCGAAGAATCTCCAGGAACGAAACATCCACCAATGACTTAGCAGGTATGCATAACCTGCTTGCGTATAGAAATTACATATTTTTATTTCGCTAATATTAGACCCATGTTATACAGCGTTTCAGTCTTTAACCTAACGATATCGCTGACTTTCTAGCGGCTCCCTAAATGTAACGACTAATTTCTGACGTTTTATTTTGCGAAGTTGATTTCATATTTATTCAAGTAATTTCATGATCTCAAAACGGAATTCTTTAGTATTTTGAACGGTCTGGAGGCAATGCTGCCTAGTTGGGGCAGCTTTCCAGAAAAATAGGTTACTTAATAGCTATGTTAAGTCTCGGGAAAAGTGCTACAAGTAGTTTCTATTTTCCACAACATCTGTGAGCTTTACTCAGGTTTCCTGAAAATTCCTTTAATTTAAGCCTGCTGTCAGTTATTGTGCAAGATTCAATTAGAACAATTCTTTGAAGGGCATTCACTCTTGTCACTTTGCGTTGTGCAGTTACAACGTGTTTGGTGTTGACACGCTTGTGAGTGATCTTAAGTGATCTACTCACGCAAGTTCATATACTGGAAGACTGTTCTTACAAGTCTTGTAAAAGAAATACGGTGATATGTTGTACGAACAACAAAAACATATTTATACTACCATTTAGATAACGTATAACGATGTTCAGAAGTAGAAGTGGAGCGTCATGTGTCACTTGAAGAGCCATATGGAAATGCTTCATCCTGAAATGCGAAAAATTCAAGCGGTACTTTACTGTCCCATAACACTAGGCTTTGTGAAATTTGGTGGGACACTATGCACCATTTAAATATTCTATTAACTTATCTTCAAAGTCAGGGAATACTGAAAAAAAGGGGATTAAATAAATTACTACGTGACTGTACTTAATATGGATAATCGAAATATTGCCATGTGTAGTAAAACTGTATACTAAAGTTTACGGTGTAGGTGAAAGGTGTTTAGTTTCAACAAACTAACTTCTTACATTGCTCCTTGATGACTTGCTCTAATTGCGTCTGCGTTCTTAGATCGTGCAATTAACCTTAAGTAACGAAGTCTGATTTACATTCTGCTTCCTTGTGTGGCCTCGGCGTAATTAAAAGGTATGATTTGATTAGCGTTAATGAAAGATGACGTGACAAGTTTACGAATTGCATATGTTAATCCTGCAGAAAGTTTGTTGAGGCAGTGCAGGCGTAGCGTGAGTTCCTAACAATGTACTGAAGTGTGACTTCCGACTTTGAAACGGCTCCAGGCATACATAGTACGGACCACTTTGAATTGTCCATTTGCTTCACTGCCATTTTTGTCGTCTGTAAGGAATAAGTTCACAAAAAATTCATACGTAATACTCGTGAGACTTGAATTCCTTTAGTGGTGCCTTCAGAGCATCCACTTCTTGCATTTCAATCTGTTGAAAGTTAAAGTGATTCTATAGAAGCAGAATTCGCAGATGTATCATCATATGGGGTCTTCTCTCAGTTTATGAGCTGTGGCGTCGTCGTGATAACCTTGACGCCATGTATGTGATAAGGTATATACACTGATGCGTCTATTAGGCAACTTGAGTACTTCATCCACTTTCATTTTCAATGAATTGCACTCATTAAAAGTAAGAGCATTGCATAGTTTCACGCATAATACTTCCGTTAAGTCATGTGTGGTAGTAAATTCTCCTGCCTAAAATTATTACCAGATATTTGCCTCATTCCTTCAAAACTTCCCTGGCACGTGGGTAACTATGGAAACAACTGTAAAATATGCCCTATATCAGTGATACTGATGATTGTCATAAGTATTACCCACATAATTATCTCCATCCTTTGTTGTATTGCTTTTAGCCTTTCGAACATAGGGGATGGCTCATCTAATTTAAGAGTGATACTCAGAGTTTAACGGTTTATACTGCTTTTATCCACGTATGGATTATACACATCTCTGCTGGCTGCAGCACATGCATCAGATTTCTGCACACAGTTGTTACTCAATGTTATCTTTTTCCGACTGAGAACTCCGTAAGACTTGTCTTTTACTCAAGTACCTATAAGGCAGATGTTTATAAGCCCATAGTATAGTATTAATGGTGCAGTTCACTTCCTTCCTTTCTCAACACTTTTGCTGAAAAGAGCAACTGATGGCAGGATTCTCTGTAGTTTACTCGGGAAATCGGAACGCTAATTTGTTTGAAATAAAAAACGATGGTGGAGGAGATTAGAACTAGGTTAGGATTCAGTATTGCTGTGAACAAGCTAACACTAAATCATGACCCACGATGAGCTTATCACTTCTGAAAAGAAACTAATTAGCCTCGTTTAGTATCGTATATCCGGTCGAATTGCAGAAACAACCTCATATTATCCAACTTTTTAATTCGCAGAAAGTTAACTATTTTTTATTCTTTTAGATAACTTTCTATACGAGCGCACGATGCGGTATTAAGAGTAATTAACCGTTGTCTAAACTGCTTTGGTGGTGACTTCGTGCTTAACTATATTAAAAAATGGGGCAATAGAAACTGTTGTCTGCTTGCAGCGGTCCTTAATTCTCCCCATGTTAACTCACCGTCACTGAGTCATACAGATGTTTTGATACCGCTCTACTATGGACTGCTGTAGAGTATGCAGTCGTTCGGAGTGTGAAGTGTTGTAAATGTCAAGTCAGTGTATTTCTCAACACATCAATGTGTGGACGTGGAAGACTTAAAATCCGTACCTCCATTGGCTATTAGTTACCATTTTGTAGTTATATTCATGTTTAGAACACAAGATTCGATCTTTGGGTTGATCAGTCTTCGCCTAAGTGTTTGGCGCGCGGATATGTTAGTTGGTGGTAACCATAGTTCAGGTTCAACACCCAGAAACTGAAGGACGAAACTATAAAGAACACCGCATCAGCTATCAAGATAAAATAGGAGATATTGAGCAACATCCCTGAAGAAACATGCGTGGAAGAACACTGGAACTCCTTGAAAGAGATGTGGAAAGAAACCTGCATAACCGTATTAGGAAGGAAGAAGAAAGAAGATAAGGAATGGATCTCAATGGACACATGGAAGCTGATAGAGGAGGGAGAGGAAGATGAAGCAGAATATGAACCAGTGCAAGGATGCACGGCCAAAAAAAGAACTGAGTACAACGTATAAAACACTACATTGGACAAAGAAGTGAAGAAGAGTGCATGAAAATACAAAAGATACTTCTGCGACACATTAGCTGGTGAAGCAGAACAGGCTGCAGATAGAAGAGACCTGCCAACATTACATCAAATAATCAGGTTACTATCTGGGAAAAGGTCAACTCAGACGGGACCAATGAAAGATAGTGAAGGAAAGCTAGTTACCAAAGTGAAGAAACAAAGAAAACAGTAAGCCGACCACTTCAAAAAACTCTTAAATCGACCGCCGCCACCACCTGCAACCCGCCCAGAAATACTGCCAGCAACCGCAGAACTACCATTGAACACAAGGGCTCCGACAAAAGCAGAAATAAAACCCTGAACGCCATAAAGCTGCTGAAATCCGGTAAAGCAGCAGGACCAGATGGAATTCCTCCAGAAGCACTGAAAACAAACCCAGAGACAACAGCGGACACACACCACTATTGCAGAAGGTTTGGAAAAGAGGAAAAGTACCTTTCGATTGGAAGTAAGGCTACCTTGTCAAACTCCCAAAGAAGGGAAACCTAAGTCTTTACGAGAACTGCCACGTAATCATGTTGCCGTCCCTGTCCAGGCCAAGCAAAATATAATGCCGCATCATCCTGGAGAGACTAAAATATGCGCTAGATTCAAAATTAAGACCGGAACAGGTTGGATTCAGGAAGTACAAATCATGTGCGGATCAAATTCCAGTGATGCGCTATGCATCACCACAGAACAGAGTATAGAATGGCAGTCAACTCAACCTCAACTTCATCGACTTTGAAAAGGCCTTCGACAGCGAACGAGAAGTAATTCGCCAGGCAGCTGCTTCAACACTACGGTTTTAGTGCCACAAACCTTTATCAACCTCATTCAACAGCAGCTGTATGACGACACTTCATGCCAAGTGATTCACAACACGATGGAAAGCTCAGTGATGCCTTTGAAGTGAAGACAGGAGTAAGATAAGGTTGCCACCTACTATCATCGATGATTTTCCTGATTGTGGTGGACTGGATCATGTAGCGAACCGTGAGATGCGAACTGGGCATGCGCTGGACGAATGCAAAGATCCTATCAGAGTTGGATTTCGCCGATGATGATTTACGTCTGATGTCGCACGAACTCGAAGATCTACAGGCACGAAAACCAAGTTGTCAGAAGAGATGAGGCGAGGCAGGCAGGGAAGGATGGCGGGACTTCCTTCAGGTGAACGAGGAGAGAGGTGATGAAGGTACCCAACAAACAATGATAGCAACAACAAGCACCAATCACCATCAACAGGAGAGGCCTTAAGGAAGTAGTCTCTTTCACCTACTTAGGTAGCATCGTTTCAACTACAGGTGGCACAGATGAGGACGTTGAAGCAGCTATAATTGGAAAGACAGCAAGATAGGTCTTCATGAACCTGAAATCAGTGTGATCTACTGCACTGCACTGAGTATAAAGCGTGAACAGGATCCGTATTTTCGATACCAACGTCAAGTCAGTGCTTCTGTATGGTTCAGAAACTTGGCGAGTCACGAAAAGCATTTCCAACAAACTGTAGACATCAACAGCTGCCTACGCTCGATGCTAAAGCTCAAATGGCCAGAAAGAATAAGCAACAGGGATCTCCGGCAACGAACCAACCAAGAAGCTATCGCTCAACAAATATGCAGAAGAAAGTAGAGGTGGATTTGGCATATACTGAGAAGACCGACTGGGGACGTTGCGCGCTAGTCCAGGCCGTCGAATGGATTTGAAATAAGAAACGACGAGTTGGGCGTCCGAGGGTGACATGGAGGAGATGGTGTAAGGAAGAAATGAAAGCTTGTGGGCAGTGGTGGAGCCAGGTTAAAAGATTGCAGGGAAGAAAGTAAAATGGAGACGTGCTACTGAAGCCGTATGTTCCACTAGGAACCCAAGGAATAAATAATAAGTTATTCCGACTAACTGGTCTCTAAATGTTGTCTTTCAGTAGAGGAGGTTTTGGAAAGGTTTGAGAATATACTTGGTGGTTTAACATCACCGTTTATTACTTGATCTACTTCTTGAAGACTTCATAGACCAACATGGGTTGACTAGCTGGCCCAAAGGTTTTCGAAACAAAAAAGCCGATGAGACTTAGTCATAAGGGACAGGCTGAAATACTGTTAGGGTAGAAATAAATGTTAATCTATCATCAATGTACGTCGCATATTAAAACAAGGACTTTAGCAGACGAATGAGCTGTCCCAAACGGCTTTTCTTACATTTTAAGAGAAAGACTAGGAGTAGGGGAATCTTCGGTTTAATATCAAATGGCAGGGCAAAAGATGTAACGAAATCAGACCTAAATAAAGCGGATAGTATATCTAACTACTTTAGTTGGTTTTTCTGGTGGGACCCTGGATGTCGTCAAGCAGCAGGAACTGATATTTTGCCATTAGTTTCTGGAGATGAAGTTAGGAAATTACTGAGTAGATTAAAACAGGTACTAAGTTTCGTATGTAGTCCCGTCAGACTAGTCTGCTTCACTGGTCATTCCAGTCTATGAAGAAGCGAAGTGTTCTTGTGACAACCATTGGGGTATCAGACTGATTAACTTCGTGCCCAAGATCTTAGCGTCTATAGTTATCTGACACCTAATGAGGGCTCAAAATCAGCCAACTCGGAAAATCAGGCAGGTTTCAAACCTGTACAAGGATGCATCGACCAAATTTTCATCCTTCGTCAGATTATGGAACAAGCACTCACCAGCAGCCGACACTTGTCATATTTGTTGATCTAAAGGTGGCATTTGTCTCTGTCTACCATGTGTTGTAGCAGTACCTGTGAACGGAGTACTGAAGAAGAATATGACCCTAATTAAAGCTCTCTACTCGAGTTGTCATCTAGTGGTGTGCCGAACGAATACCCGCGATCACGGTTCACGCTCAGCTTCGTTATACATGTAGTCGGACATACTTTCTGTGATTTTGGACCACCACTAACGACTGGTGATCAATCTAAGCCACCATAAAGCATCATCTCTTTGTTCAAGAACATGGTAAGGGTAATTGCTTTTTATCTAATCACTATCCAACAAACCTTCCTGGTATGGTAGAAATTCCAGGGAACAAGCGTTCTACCAGCATAGCTCGTTGGGTCATCATGATATACAAGCGTGACAACCACTTCAAAGTAGCAGCACTCTGTCGGTCAAATTCTACGATGATATGCTTATCTGTCTGACAACGCCGTCAGTATTTTAGGACAAAAAATCGATATTAAGGTTTAGTATGTAGTCTTATATGAGGATAATTTACTGTTCGATATATTTTGGAATCTCTATTGGTTGAAATAGTTAAAACGTGATGCGTAGGTTTGGTTGTTTTTGCTCTGACCTGTTATGTTGTACATTGTGTGGCTGGAGTGAAATAAGCTGTGTTAGTTAATGGTGGAAATCCGCATATACAGGTTATGAGTGATATTTTTCACAACGAACTGCATTTTAACCAAATACCTCACTTTAAATGGTGAGTATCTTACTATTATTATTATTATTATTTTTCTACCTTCCAGCACTTTTCCTTTTTTAGTTATTATTCACTCAACCGTTCAAGTGTGTAATACTTTTCACTGACTAAGTGGGGTGTGTAATATATGAGTGTAATTCATGATTTAGTCATTGTCATTTATGTGAAGACAACTCTGTTCTGGTTTCTGTCGCATATTTTTTATTGAGCCTAAACTTTTCCTGTTACCATCTTTTGAGTGTAACAGTACACCCTGTCTGCTTACACTAATGCTATGTTACAGTTTGGTCGCCTCTAACACCTTTCCAGCCTGAACTTACTTCAACTAACATTGGACGATGGGGCAGATAGCTACTTAGCATGTTTAACATGTCCCAGCCACCTTGGTCGATAAAAGTCTACAAACTGATCAACTGACTTACCACTCTTTTATCTTAAACTCTGTTTCTGTGTTACTGACGTGGTGATTCCGTGACGCATGGTTTATGCTACAAAAGCAATGTTGCTCAATACCTGAAGCCTTCTTCTGTCCTCCCTCTTTAGCAACTGTTACTAAGTCATATAGTGGAAAAAAGTGAACTGCCTTACAATACACTCAGTCTTTAATAATCAATTACATATCACGCCAGCAGTGTAGGATTTGAATTGAAATATTGTTTTGCTTCTTTGGAACTAAAGCATCACTTCACTGGAAATTAGACCCGAGTTTTGCATCACTACAGAGTTTTTGCTGGTACATCAGTTTTAAGTGAATTTGATTTGGGTCAGTTTATTTGTTACTAGGTTTACCATCTACTGAGTTTATGATCTAAGCAGTGTACATTTACATTTATTATCATAAGTCACTTGTTCTCATAATAGTAGATGAAGAAATCAAATAATCGTAGTATTTTAAACTGCACTAGTATTTCGTTGAGGTATGTTGTTGTGTCGCACTTGAAAACATACTACCATTTAAGAGATATACTATTTACCGTTTGTATTACGAAATAAACAGTTTAAATTTATAGTGTTTGTAATATTTTATAAATGAGTCATACCAGATTTTACTACTTCTTATCATATTTCAGATGTAACATAACCGTTAATAAACATGTCCCAAATATCTATTCGTGTACAGACATATTTGGTTTTGGGTGTAATGATAGCATGTTTTTCAATACTCTATCCCAAAATTTTTCATCCAATGCTTATGCATATTCTGGGTCTTACAAAAAGTAATGATAAAGAAGGTAAACATTTCATTACCTCTTCTGATCAATTAATTGTTTATATATAGGACATGGAAATTTTGAACATTTTGGACCGAATGTATGTTTTGATATCTACTCATCTGAAACGTTGTAGATTCATCATCCACCTAGACCCATTAGAGCTACTGAAGGTGTTGTTCAACAAGATCAGGGAAAGAGAGGTGGCATTATGTCAATCGTTTTACCCGTGTATGCCATCGGTATAATTTTATATTTGTTATATACACTCTCAAAGGTGAGAGTTTTTCGCTTCTGTTTTACAATTACTGTTGTTTAACGTCTTTTTGATATCTTAGATTACATTTCAATGGAATCAAATGAAATTTTAATACTAGGTGACTAACTTGAGTTCCATTCCATTTTGCCTGAGGACATCAGTTACCAATGCTTAAAACCTGAATGGGTTGCATGGAATTGTTGAGTATGAATGTAGCTCTTATTTCTAAATGAAACAAGTGAGAAACCATTAGAACTAGGTAGCACTAGGCAACTATTTCGTTCCACACACGAGATTGAACTCAGAATCTTCAGGTCTTACAGTAAGCGTATTACCATTCAACCATTTGGCTGGAATCCAACTCTCAACATCCTCCAATTCATGATATAGTCTTCGCCCTTACTTTAATTGAATACCCCTTGCTTATGAGGCTGGAGGCTGACAAATGATATTGGACGGATTGTTGTGCTACATCATGAATTGATTGAAGTTGGAATATGTAGAATGTTAGATTCCAACCTAGTTACTAGATGGTGATATGGTTATCATATATGTGACGTGAAGGTTCTGTATTCACTCTCGTATGAGGCTGCTAAGTGCACAATACTGAAGGATCTCAACTAGAATGAAACTGTTTTCTAGTACTCCTTGTTTTTTAGTGCTTCTCTAGTTGGTATAATTTTTAGGCGAGGATTCTGTTCACACCAAATTCTTGTCAATACCGAATGAAAGCAATTTATTTGCCATTTCCTTACTAGGACTACATTTATGTGTAAGAATATATTTTAATATAATCCTAGCGTGTTTAGAAAATCAAAACAGATATCTTTGAACGTTTCGCCGTATAAGCCCATCTTCTTCAGCAGAATACACGCATTTTTATTAACATCAAAATATATAGTCATTGGCTGGGTGATTTTTCTGTCTACTCTAAGTAATTAAGATTAGTCATTACATTATTATTATTATTTGTCCTTTAGGTTCCTAGTAGAACATAGGGCTTCGGTAGCACGTCGCCATTTCACTCTGTTCTCTGCGGTCGTTTTAACTTGGCTCTATGACTGTCTATAAGCTTTCATTTCTTCCTCACACCATCTACTCCATGTCACCCCGGATGCCCAACTCGTTTCCCCTTTGGGTTCCACTCGCCTAATTAATGTTTTTTTACTTTAATCTGTGGGTTTGTGAGGATTTAGTGATTTTTCAAGTTAGTATTCATCATGGACTGACATCAGTTGGAGGAACATTCGAAACCTGGGGGCACTAGTATAGAACTCCTCAGCAGTGCGCACCCACGACCCCATTGGAGGTGGAACGTAGGACTTTCAGGTTCCGTGGTCAGCACGTTGCCATGATAGTCACTCTATCTCTTGAACTGACAGAAGTTAGAAATATGGACCACTGGATTCCAACTCAGTGGCTCAATAATGACGTGCTTGCCACAGAACCTGAACGTGTTGGGTTCGACCCCTGGAGGGCGGGGTCATGGGTGCTCACTGCTGGAGAGTCCCATACTAGGAGGGAACAGCTGTCTAGTGCTTCCAGGTTTCCAATGTTCTTCCAACTGATGTTGTTATTGTCGTTTGTCACCGAATATGTAGGATAGTTAAAGTGTATGTATGTTTATGTACGTTGTAGAATATATGTTGTTTATTACACTTTTATTTATACACTGTCAATAATTATTATTGGTGCTTCAATGCAGGTTAGACAGAAAAATCACCCAATCAATGACTCACGTTCACTAGATCTCACAACAGTACTTTACACAGGCCTATCACTTAGATATTATTGACTTGTTAAGTCTAATCCTAATTTAAAAATGGAATATCTCTACTTTTTATGTATCGTAAATTTTTCATTGTAAATTCAGTTGATTCTTAGTTATCCATCAAACAGTAAGTGTGTAGCTTTGGAAATATTTACACATGAGACTCAATATCCTGTTTTGAGAAGTGTATCGATTATTTTGATATGTGTTAAAGCTCTTCACACAGAGTATCATCAAAAGTCTTATCACATTCAGGCTAAAGTATGCATAACACAAATGTACCCTATTTTTTTTATACAATCTTCGAAGATAGTTGACAATTGGCAAAGCTATACTTGCTTGATTACGGGTACCTTTTCAAAAGGTACCCAGGTCATGGTTTTCAACACGGTTTTCCACCTATCGAGATTAGGGCAATCAGGTAGTATCACTAACCTTAGCACAATAAATGCGTCCCACTGAACGAAGTGCACAAATTTACTGAGTCCATTTTGACTCGTTTTTTTTTTACCTTCTCAAAACTCCTTACGTATAGTGGGAGAACCAGTGGTTAACGCTCAGGTTAGGCACATGGTTGTAACATTCAAGACGTCAAGTAGTTGACTGAGTTGTGAAGATGCATCAATTAAGATGACAGGAGCGTATCAATTAATTTCCTTAAGTAAGATGAACACAAAGAACTGTACATTGGTTGGTCACTGGAGGGTAACCAACTTCATGTTGTCTAGTTCCAAGTACTGACCGAATCCTATCCATCATATTTGCAATGTAGCCACCAAGCTATGAAAACGCTGTTAATCAAACTGTGAGTGTTTTCTGTATCATCTTTTTTAATGATGACAACAGTATCATCTACATAGCGAATCCAAATTTTTGGTTTAATCACACGTAGAATGATGGCTTCCAGTCTCTGCATCATTGCTTGTGCAATTAGTCGGGATATGGGTGATCCCGTTGGAGTTCCTTTCATCTGTTTGTAAATCGTTTGTAAAATGATCAATATTGCATCTTGTTTATACATTTGTCTGTATAGATATTTTCATCGAAACGTCGAAAAAATTCGGATAAAAAAGAGGAGTTTCTACGACAATACTATCGTGATTTTCACTATGATGTTGATCGGGGTAAATTTCGTATGGGTCGTGATTCGTCAGATGATGACGATGATGATAACAACATGGAAGAAGGAAATGCACTTACAGATTCTCGGAATTTAGACTTTATTAGCTCTAGAAGATCAAATCAAGGTAATTCATTTAACTTTTTCAAGTGAAATAGTAATTTCGTGTACACATGTTCATAAACTTAAGAGAAACGAGAACAGCAATAGGAGCAGTTTTGTATGAATTCAATTTATTCTGTTGTTTCTTCTAAGTTACTTAACATCTGAATATTGAATTACATAAAGATTTTAATATATTTTTATGGATGATACCCATAGACGTGGGATGAGAAGTGACACGAGTGAGAGTTACAAATATGCTCACTATTCAATCGAAGGTTCCTGTTTTGTTTTTTTAACAGCTTGTTCACTGATAACATACAGGTAACCGTTTATTTACGCTTGTCGATAGTATTCACTTTGGAAGTAAAGAAATAGCGAAGTGATTTAGATTTTTGAATATTTTCCCAAGTGTATATGATTAAGGTGTCCGAGAACTTTTAGCAGTGCTAAGCGTCTAGTAAATAGGATGGGTATCAAGTGAAGACTTAAGCAATCTTAGTAATAATTCACTAACAAAAATACTTCAGACTTTGACTACTTTGTCTATGCCATTAACAAATAATAAAGTCACTAAAAGCAAAATGAGTCACCAAAAGGAACCAGTTGCCAACGTTTAAAAAAAAATCTAGTAAGCTGTTTTAAAAACCTCTTTTATTATATGAAGTGGCCATTATCCCTGTAGGCTTTTCAATCCATTCCAAATATTGCTTTAGGTATATTGCAGTTTAGCTCACTACATTTTTGTGTTATATCCTCTAAACGGAATAATCCATTCATGAAGCTTTTATTACAGCTACACAGTAATTCCTGGTGCTATGTTAATTCTATGTGTCTATCTGTGTACTGCCAAAACATGTCTTGGAGATTCGATAGAATGGTCATATTAGCTATACTGAGCACCTAAATTTCTTTGAAAGTTCTCCCGTTAAATTGTATATTAAAGTACCCTGCAGCTAAAATATTGGTGGTTGTGTTAAGTTTCAGTCTAAAAATGACTCAAGGAATAGACCACTGTTATTCACTTACTGTTTGTCTTTGTTATTATTTGTCCTACCTTTATAAGCTCTTTGGTGATCTGATTGTTACTTAGTCAAGAAACTAGCTGCAGGTAAAAGTTAGACAAACCACTCCTAGGCGCCGAGTGGTGTCCGTCAAGGGTGCCCACTATCTCCATTCTTATTCAATTTTATCATAGATATTCTTATGAAGTCTCCTTCTCGCCACCTGACTAAAACACAGAGGTTGACCTAATCACAGGAGAATTTTCATCAGACTTGGAATATCCAGATAATATAGTCCTGTTAGGTGACGACACTGACAAGATGCAGAGTCTTATGAACACTTTGAGTGGCAATTTGAGAATGTTTGGGATGCGTTTCTCATCACCCAAATGCAAATTGTTGCTCCAGGATTGGTCTTCAACGGTGCCCCACCGCGGCTAACAATAAAGGGTGAATTGGTTGAGTGTGTTGACCACTTCACTTACGTAGGATCATCCCTGCCCTGGTGACTCAGTGGTCGATGAAATCTCTGCAGGGAAACAAAAGGCTCTGCTGGCTTTTGCCAACTCATGCCACCTATGGCGCCGCCGTGATATCCTATTGTCTATCAAGGGTGGCGTGTACTGCACAGCAGTCGACTCCGTTCTACTGTATGGCTGTGAAACATGGCTATTAAAGGTAGAAGACATGAGAAGTCTTCAGGTGTTTAACCACGCCTGCCTCCGTAGTATAGGCCGTACTCCGTGGTGTCACTACCACGTGAGTGACGCAGAAGTCAAGTGTAGAGTTGTTTAAGGCAGGAGACGTAAGTCCGTTGTGAACCTTCATCGACTGGGATGGTTGGGACACGTATTACGTATGCCTATTCGCCAATCGCCTGGTCATATAATGTTGGCCGAAGTAGGTCTAGACTGGAGAAAGGGTCGGGACAGCCAGACTGAAACATAACACGAATGTATGAAGTGTTTGACTGCTTGTTTGAGCCATGTGAGGGGTGATGCAGATTAGCCGGTTGGGGTCGGCGGGACAAGAGAAACCAGTGATTGTAGACTGACTGTAGGTGATATGGCTGGGAACCGATGTGAGTGGCACAGATGTATGTATACACACATTATCCTTATCTTAACGATGCTATACTGATCTCACCATTTTCTCACTCTTCGTTTCTCTCTTTTCGTACTTTATATTTCTTTTGACTGAATTTTCTTATCTTCATCTACCACTTCACTGCCTTTTTACTTGATGTATTGCTTTGAGCTGTGGTAACTCGGACCGTTACACAGTAATGCCTTGCCCGATGTTGATTTAGACGGATGCATGATGTATTTTTAGAAGTCTGTTGTTATTCGATGTTCAAGTGTTGTAGGTTTTAAGCAGCTAGTGACAATTAACAGACCATATTATTTCATCACTAGATCTTGACAACTTGACAGTTTCTGTGATTATTCCGAAATATTCATTTATAAACAAATATTTCAATTACATTTAGTTCGTATCATAGTATTCTTTTTTTTCATTATCATTGCGTTCATTGATCAACCTTTTATACTAATGATGAAATGGTTGCGGTATTTAGGAATAACTCACAGTTTAGCTGAAATGGTGATCTCGGTAATAATGATGAATAGATTTCGGTATTATTGTGAAAAGGGTTCCAAGAAAGTACATAAAGCCAATTAAGACTGTCTACTCGAACTCACCCAGCCGTGTTGAGAGCTTATAGAGAGCTGTCATATGAATCAACGACAACTAACGGTGGTAGTACCACTACCACTGTTCGTACTCAATCTCGTCATAGATGTACTAATAGACATAACTCTATGTACGTCTGACTTCACAGAGATTAATCTACTCGCTTGAGGGTATCTGGTTGACTTGAACTATGCAGATGATATTATACCTTTAGGTGAAGGCGCTGACAAAATATAGGATCTTCTGAACACCTTGAGCAGCAGTCTGTGTATTTTTGGCATGCATTTCATACTTGCCAAATGTAAGATAATGCTGATCTTCAACCATTCCCAGTTTAATGATCAGGAGTGAAGTGGTTGAATGCATTGACTATTTCATTTACTTGTCGAGTTACATCAGTCCGGAGGAGATGGTTACTGACGAACTCTCCTCTCAGAAACAAAGGGCGTATTTGTCATTTACCAACCTTCGTCATCTGTGGCGCCGACTAGCAAGATATCCGACTACATTTGACGGACAAGTATACTGCACTGCACTCTGTTCTGTCCTGCTATACAGCTGTGAGACATGGCCGTTGAAAGTAAATCGGAAAAGATTATAGATTTTTGACCACGGGTTTTTCGCAGCCTTGCTCAGTCACGCTTGGTGGAATCACCGTGTGATTAATATTGAGATTAAACGATGAATGCTAGACAAGAAAAGCAAATCAGTCGATGAGGGTGTGAACGACTGAGATAGCTTAAACATGTGTTACACATGCCGAGTCACTACCTACCTCGAAGTGCTATGCTAAGAGATTTTGGAAGGGAGGGGAGCTCAGGGTGACCAGAGTGAAACGTCTCACCCATCAGTGCATATAGTTTCTGACCGCTGGTCTTGATTGTGTGGAGAGGTTTAGACTGCTTGGTTAGGATTCTTGAGGCTATAGGAATCACTGGTCAAATAACCTGACTGAAAATTGGTCGCAGTGGTACAGATATATTCACTTAATGATGCCTTTTATAGCTTGAGTGTTTCTACCTTAGTTTTTAAATTTCCTCTTCATCGTACGTGTTTATCTATTTTGATACAAGTCTTTTTCGATCCACTTGTTTTTTGTATACTTCTGTAAAGTGTGGCAACTTGTATGCGAGGTTCTCCGTTTGTTTTGTCTGTTTTATTGAAAACACTTTAATATTTGGATTCATCAGTACTTATTGAGAAACATTAGTACTGAATCATTCAGGTAGTAACTGACTTCTTATAGGACTGAGTTTTAGCCACACGAATTAGTTAGTATATGGTAGACATCACCAGGCAGCTCAGGACTTATCAAATCACTTACGTATTTTCGTTTCGGAGTTTGTGGTCATAGCTCCAATCTATGACATGTAAATGTTTAGTGAACAAAACCTACAAGCTTTAGATAATATTTTTGATGGGTTATTTTTCGAGGAACACTGACTCATGTTCGGTTATTCATGGACTGAAATTGCCGTATGTTATTCGCTTTTGTTTTGGCATTCAGATTCAAAACGTAAACCATTTGAATGGGGCTCAGTTTTCAAGGATACTTCTTATCCAGATGTATATCGTTCAGCTAGAAGCTTACCCAAGGATTTAGGGAAATTACTCATGAGGATGGAACGTCAAGACTTAGGTAAGTTTCTTCTTACTACTATTGTTACTCCCTGTCTCTATTCATTGTTGGGTAGTTAAAGAGATTATCTAATAGAACTCATGGCCATTTTTTTCAAGCAAACTTCGCTACGCTGATCAGCGTGTAGGGAAAGGTTATCCAAGTATTTCCAAGATGGACAACACATCAAATGAGTTTTTCTATTATATGATGAGGATTCATCGCTTATATGTGTATACGTATACTAACTTCTGAGTTTCCCTGTTTTATAACTTTTAGATACAGAAGAGTTGTCACGTCTTCGTGTCAGACTTGAACAGACTGAACGAGAAATGACTCGCCTACTAAAAGCAATGCAGTCCGCTGAAGATGTATTACGTGATCCAATCGAAGAGTCTGAAATAAATGAAGATAATTACACTAGTGTACCACTTGATGAGACTATTCAGCATAGGAAACAGTCTTCAGAAAGCCAAGATGAAGAGGAAGAAATGGGAAGTGCAGAAGAAGTTGATCAAGAGTGTGTTGAAGAGAATGAGTTTGAATACAGTTCTGGAAATCTGCAAATACTCGAGGAGCAGACAACGAATATTAGCGATGAAGAAATAGGTTAGCACTATTCTTAGTTTCCAAATTAATTATTCACCTTTTTAAGGATGCGCATCTATCATGCTCTCCCTATTACTGCAGATTCTTAACTGTTTGGATTATTACAGTGTAGACAGTGACTAAACGTTTTCTCATTAGCCTGTCTTTTATTAAACCACGAGTTCTTATCCAATTGCATCTGTCACACACACAGAGTAGCACTAAAGCTTCCACACGGATTGTACATATATATATATATATATATATATATATATATATATATATATATATATATATATATATATATGGCAAAAACATTCATTATCTAGATACTTGTGTTTTTGGGTCTTCATTTATTGTCCCTCATGACACTTTTTAACGGTTCCTTATTAATATGATACAAAAGTAGACCAACTTAACTGGATTAGAATACGTGTAATTAACAATGACAAAATCGGCGTAAGATATTCCTCTCTTTTTTCACTGACTCAACTACTACAACACTTCACGGAAAAAACTACGGTAAAATTATTTTACTTTCTGAGTGATGATAACCTTGTGGAGTTGTGGGTCACTGGGTTACGGAGTTGACTTTCAACCAAGTGGATCATGGGTTCGAATATCACAGATAGTATCACATTAACCGTTAAATAATAGATGTAGATTACTGCCTACTGCACAAGGTTGCCTAATGGATTGCGGTCTCAAACGTGTGCATGTATTGATAAATTTTAAGGTACGTGAAAGAGATTTGTGTGACCGCAGAGCCCATCGGACATCTGTTTGAGGCCTGTCACACAGCTTTTTGTGCGTGGTTATTTTGAACTTTTGCTGTTTTAGGTGCGAATGGTCGAAAAGAAACGACAAATGAACCATCACTGCCGGCCCGGCAAACCGTGGGGCATGGTGGGGTGTGTTATTTTTGGGGCCGATCTTTTCTAACCCCCCCCCCTTCCGCTGATAAGACAGCATCAGCATGGCACTGCTGGTCATCCCAGGGAAACACCTTACTGCTATCACATCCCATCCAGCCAGCAGCAGTACGACTCCGCCCTCAGATCCCCATCATAGTGTAGTAATTTACGCCACAACGGTAACTGCTTTTCGTCTAACCACTATCCAACAGACCTTTCTGGTATGGTAGGACCTTGAGGGAACAAGTGTTCCACCAGCATAGCCCGTTGGGTCATTGTGATATGCAAGCCCGACCACCACGTCAAGGTAGCAGCTATCGGTCGAAATTAACTGATAAATTTTCACATAGGGATTTTGAACATAAGTAATTAGAAATGTAAGTTTTTAGAGGAAGGCAAAATTTGGATTTCATGCAAGCTATAAAAAATTAAAAGCGAATATTGAAACCAACTTATTTTCTAGATTCCAAGCCGAATTCGCTTTGTGAAATAATAATAATCACTGATAGAATCTGGTCAACACCGATTTCTTTATTGTCACACTGACTTGTGTAATACCTGTATCAATGAATTTGTTCACTGCCTATCTTAATGTGGTAGTTGGTTGGAAGCAGCTTCCGGGTGGTCAGATCTAAATATGGTATGGTCCTTTAAAGCTACTAGTTGTTAGGACTAGGCCACATGAGGAACTGTAGACCTATTGATTGATCACTGGATGGTAACTATTTTTATGTTATCTAGTCCTGAGTAAACCCTACCGAGCAACCGGTGCATTTTTATGCTAGATGACAATGTAATCGGTAAGAAGTTCTGCACTAAACAACATGGTATTGGTTAATCTTCAGTGACTAGTCAATGTATCTAATTCAATCCTCCAGGACGTCATTTTTAGCCCATCTAATAAAGTTTTGACCACATGGTGACATGAAGCAAAAATCGACAGAAGTTGGGATTAGCAGACTGTGAAAACTACCTTTGAAATTATCAACTGATTTATTTTTTCATTGTAAAACGAAAGGTAAATTGTAGTTCTGTTGAAGAGACGGAAGACAGACACATTTGGAAGAATGTTTAGTATCAACAATTGGAACGCTAGTTGTTACATATGTTACACCTTGCACTAAGCCCGTCATTTGCAAAATGTGCTTCGTTTCCTCTTCTGTTTCTCTCTTGATTTGCTCTTCATACATTCTTATCAGCAGCATTATCCCTTGCGTCGATCTTGGCAGAATCCTTACCCATTGCTGGTAATTCCTTATGATTCCTGCCACCCTCTCAACATATACTACTTATATCCATTCTTATCAGCAACGCCGACTACACTATCATTCCGCCAAGTTGCAACTAAAGAGTTGCAAAAGATTTTAAGAAAACATTGAATTAGAGCCTTCTGTAAGATAATCAACGCTCTCAGGAATGCTTTAATTCACCTAAAAGACAGAATTCCTTTTATCTCCACATAGAATTGTGTTTAAAGATTAGGCTGTGTCGATAATGATGCTTATTATATTGAGTTATCATCTGTCCCGTGAAATACTCATTTGTGCTTACACAAAACTATCTCCAAATAACGTTGTAGAACTGGAGAATTTATAAATCAAACCGGCAATCCGATATTCTAACTGATACTAGAAATATTAGTTATTCAAAAAGGTTTTTCAAACTATCAAGAAAGACGCATAACTTCGGCAGTTCATATGATGTTGAATTCTAATCCACTCAACAGGCCTAACTATTTTCTAACCATCAACTTGGACAGTATATCCGAAATACCACATTGTGCACACTAGTCATAAGTAAAGTATATACAAAGTATTTTTCTCCTACTTTCACCTCAAACCCATGGACTAATTACTGATAATGAGGACACGTATGTGCACATTATTATCATGTATAAAGAAAGTGATTTGATTTGTCCCCATTTACTATTGAAATGGAGTGACTTTATAAAGGCGCTATCCTAGCAACCCTGATGGCTCAGTGGCCGATGAAATCTCTGCATGGATACAAAAGGCTCGGTTGGCTTTTGCCAACTTACGCCACCGTAATATCCGATTGCCTATTAAGGGTGGTGTGTACTGCACAGCAGTCCACTCTGTTCTACTGTATGGCTGTGAAACATGGCCATTGAAGGTGGAAGACATGAGAAGTCTTCAGGTGTTTAACCACGCTTGCCTCCGTAGTATAGGCCGTACTCCGTGGTGTCACTACCACGTGAGTGACGCAGAAGTCAAGTGTAGAGTTGTTTGAGGCAGAAGACGTAAGTCCGTTGTGAACCTTCATCGACTGGGATGGTTGGGACACGTATTACGTATGCCTATTCGCCAATCGCCTGGTCATATAATGTTGGCCGAAGTAGATTTAGACTGGAGAAAGGGTCGGGACAGCCAGACTAAAACATGACACGAATGTATGAAGTGTTTGACTGCTGGTTTGAGCCATGTGATGGGTGATGCAGATTAGCCGGTTGGGGTCGGCGGGACAAGAGGAACCAGTGATTGTAGACTGACTGTAGGTGATATGGCTGGGAACCGATGTGAGTGGCACAAATGTATGTATGCAAACATTATCCTTATCTTAACGATGCTACACTGATCTCACCATTTTCTCACTCTTCGTTTCTCTCTTTTCGTACTTTATATTTCTTTTGACTGAATTTTCTTATCTTCATCTTCCACTTCACTGCCTTTTTACTTGATGTATTGCTTTGAGCTGTGGTAACTCGGACCGTTACACAGTAATGACTAGTCCTAGGTTGATCTGGATGGAACCTAGCAACAACTGAAATGACCAATCAAGCTTTGATATTTCACCTGAAGAAGTACTTTCGCGTAAAATAAAGGAATTTAATTAGCTGTCTCATTAGTAGTTGCCAGGGTGACATTTAACGTTACTCATCAAATATGCGATAACTTGTTAGAAGAAGCGATTTCCATGAAGTTGAAAAACACTAGGAATTAATTTTTCTACTTCATATAGAATTTTACAAATATATTTCATTTCTAAGCTTTTTTCTGTATGTAAATTAAGGGTAACTTTTTTCTGTTATATCCCTCAATTGCATTAGATAATATAAGCGAATCATGTATTCGTCATCGTCGTCTGATCACATCAACATGAGAAGTTTTGTAATCGTGGACAATGAGGGATATAAAAGATACATCACAGTATAACTCTCACCTCCCATTGTGTTTATTTGGAATTTCATATAGCATAATAATATATAGCATTTCATACATTGTATTTCTATCTTTATAATCTACGTTGAAATGTTTTTCTTTGTTGTCTTAATGTCTTTCTGGTTTTCTTTGGCATTTAATTCTTTCATGTGTAACCATAGTTTAGTCTCCCCTAATTCTTTTTTATAAAAACAAATTTTCCTTAATGTTTTTTATTATCATTATTATTTACAACTATTTTTACTTTGTACTACAAGTAGAAAATGAAGTACACATTGCAAAGAGTGATACATTTTTGTCGGTAATAATAGTAATGCACTTACGTTATCTACATATGTATGTGAATAAAGCGGTTCATGAAAAATTATATCATGTATCTTGTTACTCTTTCTATCTCTAACCAATGGTATCAAGTTTTAGAGTGATCATATCTATCTGGTTCATTCGAATTCTGATCTAACCAACTTATTAGTAGTGTTACCTCTACTTTCTCTGAAGTTTACAGTTAGTGATCTGGATAAGCTTCTCCGTATGAGCTTAACTATTATGCGTTACGCACAACTACAAGGTGTTCTATTTGCTCTGGTTGGCGAGCCTACTGCTTTAAACTTTGTTAGTTGATATTTACAAATAGATTGTTACTCCTAATATCTCGTTAACACTGCTGTGGTTCCATTACAAAATATTAGTTAGCGATGATCTGTCATGAAACAATTCAAACAGCAGAAAGGTACTTTTCGCCTCTACTGGTATAACCTCTGTAGATCATTATGAATGGTCTGCTGATTAGTTAGATTTTAAAACTCACGGTCGCTATTCAAAGTATTCGAGAATACAGTCATGCTTATTGGTATTTGCATTATTTCTCATTTTAGAGGCTATTTCTGATAACGTCGACTAAAGAGATTGTTACGCTATTACTATCGATTTTCCAGAGCTTCGTCTAAACGTGACAACGCATGTAGGAGATTACGGAGAGTTTTCAGCTGTACAGGCATCTTCGGAAGTACCTACTTGCACCACTTTCATTCAGGTTTGTTTGAGAAGATAGGCTAATATAAGCGTATACTAGTGATGATGCATGTCAGCTGGCAAGGTATCCCTGATCTTTTCCTTCTCATCGTAACAACATTCAAAATAGGGCTGTCAAATCTAACTGAAAAAGGGACTCTTTCGATAACTTCTTTTTCAAGTCCTGCAGTTATATTTACATATTGTGTAATTTTGCGTCAACAATATTGAAATTTTGCTCAATAGTTGGTGAATAATATATACAGTCGAGGAAACCACTTCAGAAGAGTATTCCGTGAACGGCACAGTGTCAGAATTAATTATTACCAGATTTCAATTGAAAGTGTTAAAATTATTCCAGATCATAGGGATGAAAGGATGTATACAATATGGAATAAGAAAATTAGATTCTATGCGGCGAGATGCTAAGGAGTTTGTGAGTCCCGAGTCGGGTCAAGGCAGTTGTCGTGGCAACATCACCATTCAGGTTGTCTAATCATGATTTTCACTACTTCTACCGTTTGAAGGACTCGGAGACGGGTACTTTTTGGTAAGTTGATGAGAACCTAGCAAATGAAAGAAAACGACTTATTCATTCCTACCTTATTCGTTTTAACTGAGCGTGCTAATATGGCACTGGTTATGGTCTTCACTACACCTTTGCTTAAGCAGTCGACGTAACTGTCTCCACAGGAGCAGTCGAACTGATCAACACAACAGGAAGCAGCCAGTCTAAACAATGCATCGTTCAGTCTCAATGTTGCTGTTGTGCTAATTTGTAACTCAACAGCATTAGGAATCCTTTGATATATATATAGTTTGTATGTTAATATCTGGCTAGGCATGCAACTTCTGAAATGTACTCGAATGTATAGGGATTTTCTGTTAGCCATTGGAAGTTTCCTACTGGTCATTTTTATAATCAAATATTTCGTAATGAGTCTATCACGATAGCCATTTTCAATTAGTATGTTGCCCAAAGTCATCAGTTCCTCCTCAATTTTATCTTCCAAACATATAACTTAAAGTCTTTATCAAATTTTGAAGACGATATAATTGAACCAAAATTACACAATATGAGACGGACGTGTAGAACTTAAAGATGAAGTCATCAAAGAGAATATTCTTTATTTATTCAAATACCTTTTGTAATAGATTTTATAATAGGAGTATTTAAGCAGTTGATAAAAGTACACAACTAAAAATCAAGAAATACTTCAGTAATCAGTATGTATTATTATTATCAATAATCAAATACATCATCATTGTTATCCATTCATTGTAGTGTAGTGTATGATCATTGAAATGCATGAAATAACACCAAATTAAGTAGGTCTACTTTACTTACTACTTACTCATTCCTACACAAAATAAACCACAAACACAAGGATATAGAATATTTTTTTAGGAAAAAAAACAACAACTGACAAATAAAGAAAAATGATAATATGCTAAAGACGGCATCACCTGATAAAAGCATTCAGTGGTAAAGAACAAAAACAACAACAATGAAAATGGTCTTACTCTATATTAATGATATAATATATACAGAAGGGACAGATAATAATCTGGAGGAAGGGTGGATCATAATAGCTGTGTAGTTGAAATGGTAAAGAAGTACAAATAGAAAGTGTACGTATATATATATATTGTTTATATAGTTATAAGTAATATCTACTGATTTCCTCTCTTGTAATCGTTTAAAATACACTAAATATTATATAATTTACAAAAAATAGTTATCTTTCATTGAAATTAAAGAATACAACATACATATTTGTACTCTGTATAACTATACTGTATCAACCAATAAAAAGGAATGAACTAATTAACACAGTTATACACTATCATCCTCTGATAATGGAGTATATGAACAAACTGGTAGTAATAATGATGAAGAGATTTTGACATATGAAGATTTTACTTCATTATTATCATCTAAACATAACTGATTAAAAGATTTGTTAAGATTGAAATCATCAGTATTACTATCATCATGAGTTAATTGTTTACTATTGTTATCTCCTACTTGTATAGGAGGTAATGTTGATTGAATAGTAGTATTTGACGTGTTATAAACAGATGTGGTTGCCATAGGCAGCTTATTTGATAATGTTGTACTATTAGTGGGTGTATTGTAAACATATGAATTCAAGTTCAACTTATTTATAGGAAATAGTATGTTTTGTTGTCTTAAATTCTCTGTAGTACTTAAAAATGTACAGTCAGATAGTGAATTGTAGTCTTGTAATCGTGTACCTGTATACTGTGATGTCAACCTTCGGTGTTCTACATCTCTAGATGACAATTGATTCAATCCGTATTCATCTGTTCCAGTTCTTCGTTTAGGTCGTTTAACTTTTCTTAGCATGTTAGCCTGTATATTAAACATAAATGATAGACATACAAACAATTAAGGTTACGTAATGAAAAATTGAAAGACGCATGCACTATATAAAAGTATCCACAGCTTCGGAAATGAGATCACTGTCTACAAGGTTACGATAATCATTTCATGATGAACAGGAAGATGAGTTAAAAAATAACTGGATCTCGACTTGTTTGAAAGTTGTTGTCGTTTGAGTGAGATGTAGTTTCAAAACTCAACTACTAATCAGGAAAAACATCACTTTACTCAGAAAATGTATTTTCTTACTATCAACAAAGTAGTACCATGAAAATGTACAGCAATGTCGAGAGTAATTCCTCTTCGTATGTATACGATTTTGCCAAGAAGAAGTATTACTCGATTTTCATCAGCTAAGACAGTTAATCCTATGTATGTATTAATCAGTAAATTACTAAATAGCGTGTAATCCAAGTCTTACAATTTTCGAAATCTGTGTATTAGATTCTTTTAAAGACCAGATCTACAGTATGTAAGCATCTCAATCAGTTTTGATAACTACAAACAATGCATGATAGACATAAGTATATTATGAAAGGAAAATACTCGCCATCTACAAATGAATAATGTGATAGTAAACGAAAAGACAATGAATATAGAGAGAAGATATAAGTCACCTTCAGTTTACTGAATATGATGTTAAAGTTTGATCAGTCTTATTGTAAGCGTGTCAACTATGTTGAACAGGCGTTGACAAGCTAAATGTGGGAATACCCCGTATGATAATTACAGTTTTATTAACATCTTGTGTCAACCAGGTGCTCTAGGACAGAATCCTTCACACTTCGCTTTTTATCTGAAATAGGCTAGTAAATGCTCTTGTATCCAGATGGCAAACGTTATTCCTCCAATGCCTTTCACTTCTGTCTTCTTTGTCTTTTAGTTCATCATTATTTGACATTATTCATCTGTATGTATATGTCATCCTAATATTGAATAATTTAAAAAAGAAGAACCGATTTCCGTACAAGTTCTTAAATCTCACTCCAAATATTCGCTGCCTACCTTATATTTTCTACTTATTTTATTATTGTAATATGATTTCAAATAATTAAAAACTCCCATCTTATACTTTAAAAGTCGAACATAAAGGAAGAATATTCTTTTCAATAACTTCTCATCAGATTCTACAGTTAACATATTATTTCAAGTTGTTATTCATCGTAGACTGACATCAGTTGGAGGAACAAAGGAGACCTGGGAGCACTGGACAGCTGTTTCGTCCTAGTATGGACTCCTCATTGGGTGGCGGTCTGCGCTATATCGTGAGCTAACAGAAGTTGGAAATATGGAGCATTGGATTCTGACCCAGTGGCTCAATGGTAACGCGCTGGTCGCGGAACCTGAAGGTCGGGCTCGATCCCTGCTGGTGGGGTCGTGGGTGCGCACTGCTGAGGAGCCCCATACTAGGACGAAACAGCTGTCCAATACCGGTTTCCTTTGTCCTCCAACTGATGTCAGTCTTCGATGAATAACAACTTGAAATAATTCCAAATCTCCACAACCCCTCAAAAAGTTAACATATTAATTGGTACAGCTATTGGGCAGTAAATCCAGCGATGATCGCTGGTTCGAATCCGACCGTGATCCAAATTTTTATTTCATTTTCAATCATCACCCTAGTATAAATACTAGTCTGCTAAACTATGGCTATCTCAGATAGTCAAATGATAAACATATTAATAACCAGAATTTACGGTGAATACATTTATGAATGAGTATAGAATTATATAATCGAAATTTGATTCTTTGAGCTTGTGGATGATAGTGTAATTTATAGATGTATTATTAATTGCAGTGTTGAGTGTAAACTTTGTCAATCGATTAGTGATCAGACGTAATAATAAGGTCCAAGGTTGTACATTGTGTCGAGTGAGTGATTAGTACAAAAAATGATGACATGAATTTACCTAAGGGTAGAAATGGAGTGGATATAGCACCACTACGAATAAGATAATGAGAGTAGTAATATTGTAAAAATTATTTTAACGGGAATTGTGGTTTATTATAATAAGAAAGGAGGAAAGTCTAGTTAGAAAATAGCACCAATAATAATAATAAAGAGAGCAGAGACGAACGAAGAAAGATTAAGAAAGAAACAAAAGGGTTAAGGGAATATCGTTTAGTCAGTGGAAGACCAGGGGAGGAGTAGGATTTGAACGTGTTCTTTTTGAATACAAAGTTCAGGCTTCATTGATTTTATAGCTACAGCTTCCGCTATATGGAGAATGCGTAAACGAATGGCACGTGGTTGAGTCTTCGGACCACGGTGTATCATAGTGAAAGCTGTGCTAGCATCTATTTGGTGTCTTGTATCTATTAGATGTATTAGAATAAAACTTCTGACGGATTTGATCTCACCCTTTGTGTAAACAATGCCAGTAGATGTTCTCGTATCCTGAGACGTACGTGTCTAATAGTGCACCCTATATAAGTTGTTCCACAGGAACAGTTGAATTGGTATATGAATGAGGTAAGGCGTCTTTAAGTGTCGGTTGAACAACGGTTGGCTAATAAACGATAGACATAGACGTCCTGAGTAAAACGTTCTATTTATTGCTCTGTAATAAAATTCCACTCAGGGTGTCTTCTTTAAATTGGAGAGGCAGAAAAAAGTTTTTTTCTGTACGTTTGTCAATTCGTTTTGTTTTGAGTGCTATGAGCGATATTTGCTTTTATAAACTTCTCTGGATATCCCTTTCCCCTTAAAATATCCTAAACGACTTTTAATTCTTTCTCGACACATTCCCCAGAGCAGATCGATCTTGCTCTAAACATTTGATAACATTTCGTTTGCACTTCATTGATACAAAGCTGAGAAAATGTATATACTGTGCTTTGGTTGTCTTCCTATATACACTTGACTGACATATTCAACGAATTTTGATCTCAAATCTTCGGGAATATCACAAAGTGCATAATTTCTCTGTGATATGTTCATTTCCAATTCTGTTATATGCGACTGTATTGATTCAAGCTGATTAAAGGTATGTATTCTTAAGGTTTTATCATTAATCGAAATTCTGGTTCTTCGAAGAGATGTCCAGTAGAGTTTAGGATAATGATTCTTAATAATACAGCCTTTAATAAAATTGACAGATATTCTTGATTCTGTGAGCCTAGCGCTCAACTTCAGGTACTCGTTGAGTCGCTTTAACACCAATGGATGCTATGGAAAGATTATAACGATTATAACTCCATACCCATTCCTAAATCCATTCGCCGTAAACTCTGGCTATTAATACGTTAATAAAAACGATTTTATAACTGTAGAACTTGATGAGAAGTTATTTAAAAGAATATTCTTTGTTCATATATGACTTTTATTGTTATAATATAAAGTTTTACTTACTCTAAGTGCAGATCGTAATACAGTAATTTGACCAGGTGGATGAATAAATGGTTCACCATCAACTTGAATAGGGAGTTCAGATTTGAGCAAAATTTTCAGCTAATAATTGTAAAGATGGAGTGAAAGAAAACATAAATATGGTTTCCATGAAATATTATTATTACTACTATTATTATTTGTCCTTTGGGTTCCCAATGGGACATGGGGCTTCAGTAGCATATCTCCAATGCGCTCTGTTCTCTGAAATCTTTTGAACCTGGCTCCACAACCTCTCTCATTTCCTCCTCGCACGATCTCCATGTCACCCTCGGCACAGACGCCCAACTCGTCGCTTCTCATCTGGGTTCCATTCGATGACCTGACCTGGCGCGTAATGTCCCCAATCGGCCTTCTCAGTGTATGTCCAATCCATCTCCACTTCCTTCTACTGCATATTTGTTGAGCGATAGCTTCTTAGTTGGTTCGTTGACAGCCAGAGTTCCTCGTTGCTTATTCTTTCTGGCCATCTGATCTTCAGTAACGAGCTAGCGTAGGCACTTGTTGATGAATGTCTGTAGTTTGTTGGAAATCCCTTTCGCAAAGCGCCAAGTCTCTCAATCATACAGGAGCATTGGTGTTGAAAATCCGAATCTTGTTCCACATGCTGAGTGCAGTAGATCTCCACACTGGTTTCAGGCTAATGAACGCGTCTTGCTTTTCCGAACCTGGCTGCTTTAACGTCCTCGTCTGTGCCGCTGCCATAGTTGAAACAGTGCTGTCTAGATAAGTGAAGGGGGTTACTTCCTTTAAGTTTCCCCCGTTGATGGTGATTGGAGCTTGTTGGCGTTGGTTGGGTATCTTCATCACCTCCACCTCTGTCTTCTCTACCTTCACTTGAATGAAGTCCCGTCCTCGCTGCCTCTTCTGCCAACTTGTTAGTTTTCGCCAGTAGATCTTCAAGTTTGTGCGACATTAGACATAAGTCATCGGCGAAATCCAAGTATTCTAGGTTCTTTTCCCCGGTCCACTGTATCCCCCTCTTCTCGCTCCTCACTGTTTGTTGCATGATCCAGTCCACTACAATCAGGAATATCATGGGTGATAGTAGGCAGGAAATTCTCAGACAGACGTATAACTAACTGGTGAATTACTATTATATGTACAGAGTTCACCTGAAAACACTAACTCTTACAGAATACTTCAACTGTAAGAAACGACAAGACGGAGACGAAGGAAGGAATGTTTATTATTGACGTATTATACAGTAATAATCAAATATTGTACACCTCCCACTAAGACAGTCATTTGTATAATGTACTCCATTTCCTCTTCTGCTTCTCTTTTGCTTTGCTTTTCATACTCCCGCCTTGTCTCTTGCGTTTCTCTCAGCAGAATTCTTACCCATTGCTGGTAATTCTCTATGATTTCTGCTGCCCTCTCAACATATACTATTTATATCCATTCTGATCGGCAGCGTGCACTATACAACTACTTTACTGATAGATGCATTGATGATACTAATCCCTACTAAGGGAATGTACTTTACAGTATGCCTGATTTAAAATGCAGTCATGCGTACAGTTAATTTAATAGGGATGATATACATCTAGTGCAAGTAGTACGGAAGAAGAATAAGCAACAAGGAACTCTGGCTGGCTGGCAACGAACCAACCAAGAAGCTATCGCTCAACAAATATGCAGTAGAAGGAAGTGGAGATGGATTGGACATACACTGAGAAGACCATTTGGGGACATCATGCGCCAGGTCAGGTCATCGAATGGAACCCAGATGGGAAGCGACGAGTTGGGCGTCTGTGCCGAGGGTGACATGGAGATCATGGGAGGAAGAAGTGAGAGCTTCTGGGCTGTCGTGGCGACAGGTTCAAAAGGTTGCAGAGAACAGAGTGCACTGGAGACGTGCTACTGAAGCCCTACGTTCCACTAGGAACCCAAGGGATAAATAATAATAATACTTCCTTGCCGATTGCTTACAACCAGCTAAAACATCTATCAAAGTGCAGTAGAATGCTGAGCAATATTGCAAAATGATCTGTGAAATTCGATCAGTAATCAGGACTAGACAACATGAAATTAGTTGTTCTCCATTGACCAGTCAATGTAAACATTCACTTATTTATATGGTCCCTTCAATGACACATAAATTGAAGTCACTCTGTCTAAGTAATCTGAGATTTTAACACTGTGTAACCTTACTACAGCTATCTTTCCCAATCAGAAGAAAAAGGATAATCAACTTTGATCAACAGGAAAATATCAGTGAATTTGCAACAGAGTCTAAATGACATCAACCACAGGTAATGTGAGAGATAATCTTACAGCTGTACTGAGAATACAAAGGTATATATATTTATTATAAATATATATATATATATATATAGTTAGTCTATATCTGTTACTTATTCAATAACTTTAAGAGTTGAAAAGTTGTTATTAGCTCAACTACTAATAATTAATCATGCCAAATTTATAATAATATAAAAATAGATCCCATAAAATACCGTGAAATAAATGTATTTACATGTCCTGCTTGAGCAAGGCGGATCCCAGTACTGAGACCAGAATAGATTTGACCCATATGTACTACACCAGAGATACCAACCACTTCAAGTAAACCATCATAATGTGTAGGTTTTGAAAATTCATCATCTTTTTCAACACTCCAAGGATTAGCACCTCCACCCCAAGAGAGAATATTTAATACAATTAATCCTTCAATCGGTGGTAAGATTACAAGTTTACCATCAGCAACAACAACAATTTGTTTGTGTAAATCTTTACAAATACTTCGATGAATCATTTTTCTTAATCCAATTTTGAAATATATACCTTTATTATGAATGCTGTAGAATAGAAAAATTAAAAAAAAAAAAGAAAAACATGTATAAGCATATTTGTTAGTGAAATAAATGACAATAAAATTTGCCAACTCTAACAATGACTAACAAAATACTTCAAAAGCAATGAGAAGAAACAGAGAGAGGCCACACTGAAGAATACGGATTTATTCAATAGAATCAAGAAAAAGATAAGAGATGAATAAAAAGGATAATAACGATATCAAAGTACATTCACCATACAAAATGTGTGTTTGTGTATATAGAGATATAAGGAATTACAAATGATACCATCATAAGCGTAAAAAATTTAGCATTACCGATGATAACTATCGAATATCATAGGTAAATTATTCAACGATTCAATAGATGATTACTTGCAGGATAAAGAATTTTATTTAGAATATCGGTCTTCTTTGAATGAGGTAATAAATTAGTAAACAAAATTTATAACATTATAACTGACTCACAATATACCCAACATTGACCGGGCTTAAGAAAACTACTGTGGAATGGGACAGAAATTTGTTATCTTGAATGAATAAATCTTCTAGTTCATGTTACTAGAAGATAAAACACCGGAAACATCGATCATGTGCTAGTATAATGAACTAATTGTGACCAAAATCCAAGGTCATTGACATGAGGGTTGGTTTCTTCAAGGCTATCAGAGTAACTTTCAGAAATTTTTTTAAGAAGAGTCAGGTATGCATTAATAAAGTTCAACAATTGATAAATATTTTTCGAGTTGGGATTCATCTTAGACTGACATCAGTTGGAGGGATATTGGAAACCTGAGGGCACTGGACAGCTGTTTTGTCCTAGTATGGGACTCCTCAGCAGTGCGTACCCATTCACCCCACCCCGTCAGGGATCAAACTCAGCATCTCTAGTTTCTATGGTCAGCATGCTACAATAGAGCCGTTAGGCCGGACAGAATGCAATAGTCCATATTTCCTACTTCCGTCAGTTCACAACAGCGCAATCATCACCCGATATCCTCACGACCACTAAGTCTGCCTCACCAGTCACCACTTCTCATTGGAACTTCAAGAATCACCTCTCAAAGACAGTCGCTAATAAGCAGTAATTCAATTGAATCTGGGAGGTTTTTGGGGATTTAGTGATTTCAGGATTGTATTTACTATGCACTCACATCAGTTGGAGGAATATTGGAAACCTAGAAGCATTGGACAGCTGTTTTATCCTAGTATACGGCTCTTCACCAGTGTGCACCCATGACCTACCGGTTCCGTGGATCAATGAAGAACCTTGCACAGAATTGTATAGGCTCAATTTATCAAATTTTCATGATAGATTGGTGAAAACAATCAAAATTTAGGTGATTTTAAACGACATTATTAAGATCTTTTGAAATAACAGTTTTTACCTTCCTAAGACTCTATGAATTAGTGTCATTTCTTAGTCTAATCAAATTTCCACTATTATCCAGCAAAATATAAAAAACATAATCTTAGTTGATATAGGTTCAAAGATTGACATCTTTTTCCTTGCCTACCCCCTATGCTTGACATCAGCACTTTTCAATAGATAAGTTCCGCCAGACACAAGTGATAGTACAAAGATATATTTTTAGCTTCTTGATGTTCTTAACTTTCATCCACCATTCCTTATAGATGTTCAAAATAACAAAGAAGCTTTATGATATGAATTTTCTAATCTTTCCTTAATCTTTTCATTAAACTAACTAATTTTCACTTGTGTTGAATTTCTTATACTTTTGCCAGTATCCAGTATGTTATGTAAACTTTATGTAGTGTGATCGCCATTAGTGGTCACTATTTCATCCAAATTATGTGTGTTGTCATCTTTTTAGTCTAGAGTCCTGTATTAAAGCCATCATGACAACATGTCAGATACTAACAGTGGTCAAAATTATTATTTAAACAGCGTAATGAGAAGACAAAGATTATTTGAAGCATAGGTGATGTATTAGCCTTATATACACTTCAAACAATCTGATCCCTCACACATGGACTTATCGAATTATTTATATGAATATTCACGAAAAAGGGTCAATGAAGTTATTAGTAGGAAACATGGAGGAACAGGAAGGTCAGAGGAAAAGAAACGTTAATCACATTACTCTTGGTATGAAAATTAAAATCAATACACCACCAAGGTAGGTTCAAGGTGAATACAAATTGTTTTTGTATACATGAAGCAGGGGTTTGAATTTACGGATGGCAAGAGGTTCAATAAATTTAAGCATTTGGCTCTGACCACTTTTATGTAGTACTTTGAAGTCTGTTTTCATGTCTATTCTATGGTTAGTTTGTAGTATATGTTAAGTGATAGACGAAGATGGATGTTTGTCACCTGCACTTATCAGATCTGTTGAGGTCATTTGTTTTTAGTAAAACAAACAATGTGAGCGAAGAAATACTTCTTTTCAATTAGTTCCTCATCAATGGCTCTACACTAATATAGCATTTTCAAACGTAAAATTGCATACCAATCTAGTAGTGAGAGTTGTTCAATGAAAGGTTATCAATCTCAAAGTTTCAAGAAGGTGATAATTGATCAGGTAATTAAGACAGTCAGACGGTGTCGCTATGGGGTCACCACTAGGCCCAATCTTAGCGGACTTCTTCTTAGCAAAATTAGAAAATAGCCCTCTAGAGATCAATTATCACCTTCTTGAAACTTTGAGATTGATAACCTTTCACTGAACAACTCTCACCACTAGATTGGTATGTAATTTTACGTTTGAAAATGCTATATTAGTGTAGAGCCATTGATGAGGAACTAATTGGAAAGAAATATTTCTTTGCTCACATTGTTTGTTTTATTAAATGTCTAAATGGGAATTTTTGCATTATTTGTTTTTGTAGCCACTTAGGTTGACATTTATTGACAGGTGCAAAAGTTATGTACCATTGAAAAAAGTACACAGTGTTCCGTTGCTAAGACAAATGTCTACATCTCATTACCATTTAGAGGTGATTCACATAGCTTTGTTGTGAGGAAAAGATTTAGATCGGCTATCTGTAAAACATATTATGCAGCCAAGGTCATCATTGTAGAGAAGACAAAGTCCATATTACAGCAAAAACTGAATCGACATATAAACGATTACATCACATCCCATTGCGTTCATCAATTTACATGTATTTGTGGACACACATATAGGGAGGAGTAATCGTGATATTCAGTTAAGGAAGGTTGAACATGTACCTAAGTGGCTACAAAAACAAGTGACCTCAACAGATCCGATAAGTGCAGGTGACAAACATCCATCTTCGTCTATCACTTAACATATACTAGAAACTAACCATAGGATAGACATAAAAACAGTCTATACGAAGAGGATTGGACAAGGAGATTAAATACACGTTTTTTGAATTTATTTATGTATCCTTGATATTTTAATTCTGATTATTTGCCTGGAGAAGCTCGGACCAGACTTCCGTGCGAAACGTTGGAATTATTTGAATTCAAACCCACTGTGACTTACACAAATACAATCTATATCTAATGACATCCCACTGTGTTTATTAATTTACATGTATGTGTGGACATATACATAAGGAGGTGTAATCGTGATATCCAGTTAAGGAAGGTTGAACATGTACCTAAGTGGCTACAAAAACAAATGACCTCAACCGATCTGATAAGTGCAGGTGACAAACATCCATCTTCGTCTATCACTTAACATATACTACAAACTAACCATAGAATAAACATGAAAACAGACTTCAAAGTACTACATAAAAGTGGTCAGAGCCAAATGCTTAAATTTATTGAACCTCTTGCCATCCGTAAATTCAAACCCCCTGCTTCATGTATACAAAAACAATTTATATTCACCTTGAACCTACCTTGGTGGTGTATTGATTTCAATTTTCATACCAAGAGTAATGTGATTTAACGTTTCTTCATCTCTGACCTTCCTGTTCCTCCATGTTTCCTACTAATAACTTCATTGACCCTTTTTCGTGAATATTCATATAAATAATTCGATAAGTCCATGTGTGAGGGATCAGATTGTTTGAAGTGTATATAAGGCTAATACATCACCCATGTTTCAAATAATCTTTGTCTTCTCATTACGCTGTTTAAATTTATCAAAAGGGACCAATTAATTTAAAATTATTATTGTTATTATTAATATTATTTGACAAAAGTATAATACCGGCTGTTGAATTTCGACGGATTCTCTGAACGTGCATTATGAAAATCCAATGCTAAATCAGCATCTATTCCAATACCGAAATAATTATTCATGATAATCATTATAGAATTTTCTTCATTTGTATTTAATGCATTAGTTTGTAATTCTAAAGCTAATTTTGCTTCATCTTTGAAATCTTCTTCAGGTCGAACAATTAATGTCCATCTAATATTAATGGATAGCAAGAAAAGAAAAAAAAAATTTCATACTAATTGAAACATTGACGATTTATTTTCTATAAGTGAAAAATTTGGGCACTGTGGTAGAATGTAATTCCATATTAGATTTGTTTATTTGATATATAGCGCACAGTGATACAGTATTATTTACTTGATTACGTTTCGAGCATAATCATATCAATGTAATCACATTTCTTTCGATATCTGGTTTTATAGTCCTGTCACCTGATCTCTCTTTGTTTTTTGTTTTTTGATTGGTAGTAAAGTTTTCCATATCTCTGGTATAGGTGTTGCGTCATTCCTATTACATGTGTTGGGTATGGATTCGATGAACAAAGATTCAGTAATTAATCACTCTCTCCACCTAGCTATATTAAAGTACAGTGGTTTTGTCCCACCCTATTATGTGGTTGTGTGTTAACGAATGTAATGCAATGGCTGAGTGTTTTTCTAGCTTATTGATCTTATTGGGGTCTGCCGTTCTGTGTTTAGCTAAATCCCTACGTTCTGTTAATCTAACTGACCCCGACCGGCTAGTTTGACCTATGTATTTGACCTCACAGTCATTACATGGAATTTGGTAGATTTTATTTTGCCTAATTGGTTCTATCGGATCTTTTAGGCGACAAAGCTTAAGAGAAATAATACTTCAAAATAAAAATGAACAATCTCGTATTTTGAGGGAGTTGTGGAGATTTGGAATTATTTCAAGTTGTTATTCATCGTACACTGACATCAGTTGGACAAACAAAGGAAACCTGGGAGCACTGGACAGCTGTTTCGTCCTAGTATGGGGCTCCTCAGCAGTGCGCACCCACCACCCCACCAGCAGGGATCGAACCCGCGACCTTCAGGTTCCGCGACCAGCGCGTTACCATTGAGCCACTGGGTCAGAATCCAATGCTCCATATTTCCAACTTCTGTTAGCTCACGATATAGCGCAGACCGCCACCCAATGAGGAGTCCCATACTAGGACGAAACAGCTGTCCAGTGCTCCCAGGTTTCCTTTATTCCTCCAACTGATGTCAGTCTACGATGAATAACAACTTGAAATAAACTCATGTTTATTAGTATGTCCAAAAATTGGGCACTATGATAGAATATAACTCCATAAGAGATTTGTTTATTTGATATAGCCAGCATATATTGTTTTCTACTTGATGACGTTTCGAATATAAATTATTGTTGATAATCATATCAATGTAGTCAGATATCTTTTGACATCTGATTTATATAGTCCTATCACCTCATATTCTTTGCTTTTAATGGCAGTAGAACTTTCCATCTCTGGTATAGGTCTTGTTTCATTGTTCCTAATGCATGTGTTGGGTGTTGATTCGAAGAACAAACATTCAGGTTTAGTTAAATGTCTAAACGATAAAGCTAGAAAATTGATTAGAGCAATGACTCAAACAAGGGACTGAAGCATATAAAAGAAGCGTTACTAATTAATAATCATCCTCTACCGTTTGTTAAGAAATTCGCACGAACACATAACAAACGAAATAATAACAGTAATATGAATACGAATAATAGTGACAACACACGTGGAAAGCAGTTCAAAACCTCTATTCTATTACCATGAGTATAGAACCAACATCAGAAACTTTATGTATGTTTCTCAACAAGGCTGGAATAAGATTGACATTTAAACCCACAAACTCTCTCAGAGATAAGCTTTGTCAGCTGGCTTAAAGATCCGACAGATCGAATTCAATAAAATAACCTATTCTTCCAAATTCCATGCAATGACTATGAGTGGGGTCAAGTACATAGGTGAAACTAGCCGATCAAGGTCAGTTAGATTAGCCGAACATAGACATTTAGTCAAATATAGAATGACAGACTGCAATAAGATCAACGATCTAGAAAAACACTCTGCTATTGCAATGCATGCATTAACACATATGACCCCACACAACAGAGTGGGTGAGATTAAACCACTGTACTTATGTCTGATAGAATTAGCTTGAGAGAGAGGGAGATTGACGACTGAATCTTTGTTCATCCAGTCTAAACTCATCATATGTAATAGGAATGATGACACAACACCTCCATACCAGAGAAATGTGAAATCTTACTAGCAATAAAAACAAATCATATGAAATGATAGGACTATCAATCAGAATCAGATGTCGAAAGTGGAGTGTGATTACATTGATATGATTCTAAGCAATGATATTTTATGCTCGAAACGTCATCAAGTAAATAATACCGTATCACTATGTGCTGGTTATATCAAGTAAACAAATGTCCTATAGAATCTCATTTGTTCTTGCTTTCAATGCTTAAAAACAAGCTACCAACAATGATAGAGGATGGTAAAAGTTATAAGGACTACTCTACGTTTAAGTGACAGAAATAATGTCCAATACTAATAATTTAGACAGACTACCGTAATGTTAGTTGAATACGCACGTCTACAATAAATACAGTCCATATAAAAATAGAAGTCGAACAAACAGCAGTGATATAGAGCTGCGCAGTTCTTATTTACTGATACTTTTAGTCTCCCGTTGTTATACTGGGTCGAATTGTTTGACTTTAGTTGGTAAATGCGCTCCTACGCAAACGCCTTGATACTGCTTGCATATTCAGTGTTATAGCCTACTTAGTGGCTAGCAGTAGGATCTACGACTTGCGTTTCTTCCTACTTGAGATTAGTCAGCTGGAAGTACCTACTCTCCAGTGAGTCATGCTTTCCCCACTGAGATTCGAACCCTGTGCTCACCGCTTCAAACGTCATAGAGTTATCCATTGCGCCATCGAAGCACAAGACCCGCCTCCTGTGAAAGAGGTATCAGTTATTTTTATTTACTGATACCTGTTATTTCGTGTCGCATGATGAGGCAACATCAAGGCATCCGCATATGAACCCATATGCTAACAGATGTCGATGAATTCGATCCAGAATAACAATGGGAAAATACATGTATCAATAAATAATAGTAGTAGTATGAAATAATGATAGCAAAGTTATACATGTCTTGACTTATTTTCACAGCCTATAACGACGTATCTAATATAGTATCCATAAATTGGATTCTGAATCATCCCTTTATTTCAGGTACTTGTCAAAGTGGTGTTAGATAGTTATTCAACTAAGGGATTTAAGAAATTTTACCAATCATGTTAACCAATTCTGTTTTTGTAAGGTAACTTTTAACTCTGTTATCAATGGAATGACTGGTGACCTTAGCGATATCACCAAATTTTGAATCATCGTAGGTGAGATTTAAACTTCAAGATGTTAAGAAGAACAGAATTCAATTAACTTACCGGTCTAATTTTACTTCTTCCGCAGCCACTACATCCTTGAGGATAGTTAAAGGATCATCATCTGATGAATAACCTGATCCCCATCGAAGAACACGAGATAGGTCATTACCAGTACCAAGAGGAAGTGGAGCGATTGGTGGAGCATTACAAGCAGCATCTTGTCCAACAATATCTAGGCAAGACAATGTCCATCCTACTGTACCATCCCCACCACATACAAGTACTTTGTATGAGACTAGATGACGAAAATAATACAAACCAGGAAGAGGTCCACCATAATCCAGGTTAAATACCTACAAGGAGAAAAGTAGACAGTAAGAATAAATTAAATAAAAATGAAAGTCTAGGTCACATATCCCAGGATTGTGCAGTAGTTTGGTAGCTAATAATAATAATAATAATAATAGCACTGATAATAAAAACCGCCTTACTCCAAACAATATGCTTGATATAGTATAGAGTTCTCAGAATGTAATATTTTCAAACAAAATGATTATTTCAAGTTGTTATTCATCGCAGACTGAAATTAGTTGGATGAACAAAGGAAACCAGGGATCACTGGACAGCTGTTTCGTCCTAGTTTGGGACTCTTCAGCAGTGCGTACCCACCACCCCACCCCGTCAAGGATCGAAACCGCGACCTTCAGGTCCCGTGGCTACCACGTTACCATTGAGCCACTGGGTCGGAATCCAATGGTCTATATTTCCATCTATCAGCTCAAGATATAGCGCAACCGCCACCCAATGTCATCGTTGAGTAACTGTCCCCACGACCATCAGGCTTTGAGACCACCGGTGCTCGTTGGTGACTAGCTTCGGGAGGTAGTCCCGAAGTTCCAGTGAGAAGTCGTGACCCATGGGGGCAAAGCCTGATGGTCGTGAGGATAGTTACTCAACGATGACATCGGGTGGCGGTTGCGCTATATCTTGAGCTAACAGAAGTTATAAATATGGACCATTGGATTCCGACCCAGTGGTTCATTGGTAACGTGGTAGCCACGGGACCTGAAGGTCGCGGGTTCGATCCCTGATGGGGTGGGGTGATGGGTACGCACTGCTGAAGAGTCCCATACTAGGACGAAACAGCTGTCCAGTGATCCTAGGTTTCCTTTGTTTCTCCAACTGATGTCAGTGTACGATGAATAATAACTTGAAATATTTCCAAATCCCCACGACTCCCTCAAAATGATTATTGTACCTGAATAATGTTAATCATTTTAGCGGGCTCCTTAAATTTTTGGGCTACCGAAATAATTTCATCGAATATACTTCAAATTGCCCCTTTTTTTTTACTTGTTTTAACCATTCAAATACTAACAAATCGTAAAATATACTCTTGCGCACTCTTAAAATATCTTCAACTTACCATTTGACTATCTGAGATAGCCGTAGTTTGGTAGACTAGTATTTATACCGAGTAATGATTGAAGGTGAGATGAAAATCTGGATTACGGCCGGATTCGAACCGGTGGTCACTGGTTCAATCATTACCCAGGATAAACTTCAACTTATCGTTAGACGCGGGTAAATATTACAGAAGACAGTAGTTGTCTCCTAAAAGCACGACAGTGCACCATATAGAAGAACCTTATAGGAACACGTAACTGGAACGGAAAATTTTCATATTGGATGAATCAATATCCAACACCCAAACTCATGTGCACTTTTCTATCCGACTCATGCACAACAACATAAAAAAATAGATGATGACCTAAAAACTAATGATTGTTGTGCATTACAGCCTATCATAATATTAGTAATAACACTATTTAACTGTCTTACTTATTTAATTTGAAAATATTGTACAAGAAGCGAATTCTTTGAAATATCACATTGAGAATTTTAAAATGTACGGAAAGTTATTGTCTGGAACCAAGCGATTATTATTACTACTATTATTTATAACAGTAATAATAAAGGCAATAATTTTAAAGTCAGATGATAGTAGATTAGCACATGATCTGGAATGGAGAATTGACAGAAAAGCAAGCGCAATTTTGATGATGATGATGATGATGGTGGTGGTGGTTCACTCAGCCAGAACAAAAATCTTCAATTCGAGCTAAGTATCCAAGGGATAGAAATATGACGTATTTTTCCAACAGAAAAGTCTACTTCCATTTAACGTGAGGTTTTTTTTCCCCATTGTTTTGTTGTCAACTTGAGAAACAGCTAGTTGAAACACATTTAAAAAATGTACAAGAGTATATGGTACGTTCAAATGACATATTTAAATGATTAAAACACATTGAGAGGAAAGAATTCGATGTATATGTCCAATGGAAAATTTTGATAGCCCAAGGTTCAAGCAGGCGGTAATTTCCATGATAAAGAAAACAGAATTGAAACTTATCAGATATGTCTCAATTAGCATCACTTCTAAACTAAAGCTAAAAAGTATATGGAAAATTTAAAAATAGCGATGGGAAACTCTTGTATAGACGAATCAACAACATCAACTTATCGCAGCATTTCATGCTTATATCTTACGATTTCAGTAATTTACCATAAGCTGGAAGCACTTTTCATAATGGAAAGAAGTGGAAGATGAAGATAAGAAAATTCAGTCAAAAGAAATATAAAGTACGAAAAGAGAGAAACGAAGAGTGAGAAAATGGTGAGATCAGTATAGCATCGTTAAGATAAGGATAATGTGTGTATACATACATATGTGCCACTCACATCGGTTCCCAGACATATCACCTACAGTCAGTCTACAATCACTGGTTTCTCTTGTCCCGCCGACCCCAACCGGCTAATCTGCATCACCCCCCACATGGCTCAAACCAGCAGTCAAACACTTCATACATTCGTGTCATGTTTCAGTCTGGCTGTCCCGACCCTTTCTCCAGTCTAAACCTACTTCGGCCAACATTATATGACCAGGCGATTGGCGAATAGGCATACGTAATACGTGTCCCAACCATCTCAGTCGATGAAGGTTCACAACGGACTTACGTCTCCTGCCTCAAACAACTCTACACTTGACTTCTGCGTCACTCACGTGGTAGTGACACCACGGAATACGGCCTATACTACAGAGGCTAGCATGGTTAAACACCTGAAGACTTCTCATGTCTTCCACCTTTAATGGCCATGTTTCACAGCCATACAGTAGAACAGAGTCGACTGCTGTGCAGTACACGCCACCCTTGATAGACAATAGGATATCACGGCGGCGCCATAGGTGGCGTGAGCTGGCAAAAGCCAGCAGAGCCTTTTGTTTCCCTGCAGAGATTTCATCTACCACTGAGTCACCAGGGCAGGGATGATCCTACGTAAGTGAAGTGGTCAACACACTCAACCACTACACCCTCTATTGTTAGCCGCGGTGGGGCACCGTTGAAGACCAATCCTGGAGCAACAATTTGCATCTAGGTGTTGAGAAACGCATCCCAAACATCCTCAAATTCCCATTCAAAGTGTTCAGAAGACTCTGCATCTTGTCAGTGTCTTCACTTAACAGGACTATGTCATCTGGATATTCTAGGTCTGATGAAAATTCTCCTGTGATTAGGTCAACGTCTGTGTAACCAGATGACGAGAGGGAGACCTCTATGAGAATATCTATGATAAAATTGGATAAGAATGGAGATAGTGGGCACGCTTGACGGACACCACTCGATGAGCATAGCTCTCTGGACAGCTCACCATAAGCCCTAACACGCCCACAAGTGTTCGAGTAGAGAGCCTTGAATAAGGTGATGTACTTACTCGGCATGCCTTTCAGTGAGAGGCATTGCTATAAGACTTCTAGATCGACGGAGTAATAATACTAATAACAATAATAATAGAGGTATTGAAATATTAGTTATAATCATTTGTGGGATGAATGAAAGGAAGGGTCTTGTTGTAATATATAAGCTATACAGATGTCTAAGGCAAATAAAGAAGCTATACTAATTCCTTCTGAACACACAGACTTGGTTTGTTTAGGTGGATACCTATGGCTTTTGCTGCATGTAAAAGAGGAAGTTGTAGAGCATGGGTGAAGTTAGAAGGAATGTGATAAATAACGTTTAAGGCATCGTGAATCTTAACTCGGTGATTAGTGCCAATCAGATGCGAGAGTATTGAGCTTCGTACCGATCTGGTTTGCCCTTTACTTAGCCATGAAGAATGATGCTCGGCGATTCGACAACGGACTTGCCTAGCTGTACATCCAGTGTAACTAGCTCCACAGGAGCAGCTGAACTGATAAATGGAAATCGAAGAGGAGAAGTCAAGTAGTCTGTCTTTGATTCACGTGGTATGAGCCTCGATAGGATTTGAACCAACGATCAATAGGGTTTCCGACCCAGTGCTCCACTAAGTGAGTTACGAGATACGACTGCTGATTAGATTTTAATTTCACTTCCATCATCAAGGTGATTGCCGAACCCTATCGGAAGATGAATCGTTTTTAATCAACTACAGCCCTTATAATATTCGTGTTTTTTCCCAAGGCTATGTGTAATTACACTTTTATTCCTTTCACATTTGTCCATGAGAATTTTAGAATGTCTCATCACCTCTGAGGGATCATTGATTTGTATATTCAGTTGAAATACACACTTCAATACATATGCTAATCTTATTTCGATAATTTATTACTTCAATTGGCGGGTTTGCAGCGATTATTATTATTATTATTATTATTACTATTATTATCTGTCATTTAGGTTCCTAACAGAACATAGGGCTTCAGTAGAACACCGCCATTCCACTCTCTTCTCTGCAGTCATTTCACCCTGGCTACACCAATACCCAAAAGCTTTCATTTCTTCCTTACACCATCTCCTCTATGTCACCCTCGCCTCGGACGTCCAACTCATCCTTTTCCATTGAGGCTCCACTCGACGGCCTGACCTGGCGCGTGATGTCCCCAAACTATCTTCTCAGTGTATGTCCAATCCAATCCATCTCCAGCTTCCTCTGCATATTGTTGTTGATTGATTCGTTCCAGAGTTCTGGCCATCTATCTGATCTTCAGTAACGAGTGAGCGTAGACGGCAGCTGTTGATGAATATCTGTAGTTTATTGGGAATGCTTTTCCTAACGCGTCGTCAAGTCTCTCAACCATCACATAAAAGCAGATTCGGCTGACATTAGTGTTGAAAATTCGGGTCCTCTTTATACAGTGCAGTAGATCTCCACACTGATTTCAGACTAATGAAGGCCTGTCTTGCTGTCTTTCCAATCCTGGCTGGTATGACGTTTTATCTGTGCCGCCGACACCTGTAGTTGAAACGATGTTGCCAAGGTAGCTAGATGAAAGAGACAACTTGGTTTAGATTTCTCCCGTTCATGGTGATTGGTGCTTGTTGTTGTTGCTGATTGGGTACCTTCAAAACCTCTGTCTTCTCTACGTTCATCTAAAACAAGTCCCATCTTCCTTAGCAGACACGCATCGCCTCTTCTGCCAACTTGTTACTTTTCGCATGTAGACCTTCAAGTTTGTGCGATAAGACATTAGATATCAATCATCATCGGCAGCGAAATCCAAATCTCCTAGTGTCTTTTCATCGGTCCAGCCAGAGTGTGCCCCTCTTCTCACCCTCACAGTTGTCTGTTGCATGATCCAGTCCAGTCGACCGCAATCAGGAAGATCATCGGTGGTAGTAGGCACAACCTCATGTTACTATTGTCTTCGCTTCAAAGAAATCATTGAACTTTTCATTGTGAATCACTTGGCTGGCATGCAGCATCCTCATATAGCACATAGTTGCAGTTGAACGAGGTCGATAAAGGTTTGTAGGACTAAGACCGTTGTGTTGAGGCATCGTTCAAATTACCTCTCCGTCGACGCTGTCGAAGGCCTTTTCAAAGTCGATGAAGTTGAGGCAAAGAGTTGGCTGCCATTCTATGCTCTGTTCTATGATGATGCATAGCGTATCACTGGAATTTGATCCACACATGATTTGTTTTTCCTGAAGCCAGACAGCCAGTCTGTTTCGGTCGTAATTTTGAATCCAGAGCATGTTTAGTCTTTTTCTCCAGGATGATGAGGCTTAATATTTTGCTTGGGGTGAACAGAGACAGCAGCATGATTCCGCGCCGGTTCTTGCAAAAACTTAGGTCTCCTTTCTTTGGGATTTTGACAAGGTAGTCTTTCTTCCAATCAGCAGGTACCTTTCCTTCTTTCCAAACCTTCTGTAATGGTGGTATGAGCATATCCGCTGATGTCTGTGGGTCTGTAGCGATAGATGTGATTTAATATCTACTGGACAAATGAGTACATGGTTGCTGAGTGCATTGCGATTTTCATTCGATTTTAGTGGATAATTGGTCTCAAGGTAGTTCTCTCGATGGACTGGAATCAGTTGAAGAACCTGGAACCACTGAACCCCTGTTTCGTACTACTATGGAACTACTTTTTTTGTTGTGTGCATTCATACACCATAAAGCCCAGGACCATCAGATTTGATAGTGAGCAGTTTACTATTCGGCCAACCAGTTGAAATCTGGTGGTTTACAAACTCCCACAATACAGAGTGCCACTAGCATCCAATCCTACAGTAGAGTTTGTCATCATACCCAACTTGGAAGATCCTATAGGTTACCGCTTCTCATCAGAACTATTCAACGTATAAGCATACCTTATCCTTAATCTCTTGGCCATCCAAAAGAACCCATAAAAGTGGCAAATGTATGTATCGAAATTTAGGCATAAATTATAATTGAATTTGTGGGGGGGGGGGGGGGGTGGATATTTAGAGACCTTTTTCCAAGTTGGCACTGGACAACGGTTTTGTCCTAGTGCTCCCAGGTTTCCAATGTTCCTCCAACTGATGACAGTCATGGTGAATACCAACTTGAATAAATTATAATTAATACGGGTTGTAGTTAAAAGGTCCACTAGGATATTTGCAAACAAAAATGTCTCTTCATAAGATTAAAAACAATATAGTACTCACTTGAAATGGATTGAGTAATCGACGAAAAGCGACAATTAAATCCATTCCTTGACAGCCTCCAGATTTCAAATTGACAAATACCAATAGTGGTTGAATACCTTCGGGTAGATTTTGGGGATGAATTGTTGGAAGTAATAAAGCAATCAATGGTTTATCCATAAATACAGAATCCTATCAAAGTAAAGAAAACAAACTCATTAACAAATACATGAATACTCATATACACTTAATTAATTGAAGTAATTATATAGGTAATATGAATCTAGAGAAATAAATAAGTATAGTAATGATGGGCAGTGGCCAGCAGCAGAATCCAGGATGCACATTTCGTCCTATCCGGGACTCGTCAGCTGGATGGACCTGCCTCCCAGTGAATGATGTGGTCCCACCGGGACTCGGACTCGAGACAGACCGTTTCGAACGCCAGAGCGTCATCCACTACACCACCAAGACATGATAGACACTTCTTGTGCGACGGGTATAGGTTTAGTGCTATTGCTTGTATTACACCGTCCTTGATTGGACAGAATTGATCAGTCTCTGTTGGCATATGGGCTCCTATGCGGATGCCTCTATATTGCCTGTCTTCTAACTATGTATAGTAATGATGGACAGTGGCTAGCAGTGGAATCCAGGATGCGCATCTCGGTCCAATCAACGACGGTGAAATACAAACAATAACACTAAATAAATAAGTAATTAAAAATATCTGGTGATTGACCTCTGAAATAGGATTTTAATTCAGTGAACTGTAACATCTACGTCATATAAGAGTGTGCTTTTACCACTACTCCAACTACACATATCTATATACTCCTTTTTGCTTATTAGAAACATTTAGGTGAATAGCAAAACAAGTGAACAAAACATGAAATGATCAAGTTTATACAAGTCATTTATTTGGATTCTACATGATAATCGTTAGTAATGGAATCCAGGAGGTGCGTTTCATCTAATTTAGGATCCATCAGCTAGATATGCTTGCACTCCATGGAGTGATGTTGTTCCCACTAAGATTCGAACCTCGTGTAAATCGCTGTGAACGTAAAAGCGTCAACCACTGGGCCACAAGATCCATCTCTGGTGTGACGCGTAGTAGTTATTATTATTATTATTATTATTATTATTATTATTTATTGACACTTGTAGTTCCACTTTGTTATACTGGGTTGAAACGATCGACCTCTGTTCGCTTATAGGCTGCTGTGTGGAGGTCTCGATATTGCCTAAATATTCATTATTATAATTTACTTGGTGGTGGCTAACAGTGAGATTCACGACACGTGTTTCGTCCTATTTGAGATAGAGATTCCTATATATTTCAGCACTTACCTTATAAGTTCATCACAATAGTTTTCTGTCTACTTAAGTGTACTTATTTTCAATCCATCTTGATTGTTTATTACTTTGCTTTTTACAACGTCACTCATTTCTGAAGTCTAGACACCGCAGACGTTTGCAGTAAAAATAAATTATCCTTTTTAACAGCTTCATTCTCATCACAGCTGTAGATTTGTAAGGATAAAAATACTGAGTTAACATGCTTATTGAAGTCGATGAGGAGAAAATTTCACACGCCAACTTCTTCGGATTGAAATTTCCCACTACAACAGTGAGTAGATCTATGCTTAAAAGACAAGTTGATATACTCGACTACATCAATATGCAATGAAAAGTACAATTTGGTGGTTTGTGAAGATTTATTTGTTGATTTCAAGTTGGTATTCAACACAGGCTGACATCAGTTGGAGAACTATCGAAAACGTGAGAGTAGCGGACAGCTGTTTCTTTATAGCATGGACCGCCTCAGTAGTTCACATTCATGATATTCATGTTTCGAGGAGGGCATAATACCACTGAACCATTGTGTCGGAACCAAATGATCTATCAGTCCACGTCCAACTTAGTTTACCCCACCGGTGACTACTTCTCATTAGAATTTCGCAAAATCACATCTCGTTGCAAGTCTCTAGTTCCTGATAGAGTGTCATAGGTCCTTACTGCTGAGTAGTCGCGTACTAGGATGAAACAGAAGTACCGTGCTCCCAATCTTTTAATGGTACTCTAACTGATGTCAGTTCATGATGAATATTACCTTAAAGAGATTATGACCAAGATTAGATTGGAGATTGGAGGTACCACCTTGGAACGCATTTTGATTGTTTTAAGAAGATAAGACTGTCTACGGTTGAATCAAACTGCTCTAAACAGTTCGATCGAAGAGAGAGAATGACACATTTATGCACTACTGAAGCATTAACTACTATCCACACCAATCGTTAGTTGCCTTTAACAAAAGGAATATATACAGTCAGTTTAACAAAAGGTTCAAATGTCACTTTGCATTTGTATTTTGCTCGAAAAACTGTATCGACTAGTTTTGTTTCATCGCTTGACCTAAATCTGTTTAGTCAAATCTATTCCCTATACTTTACATTAGCTGTTCATCTTACGCTGAGACCTCCCTTTGGAACTCTCGATGCTTTGAATTATATGTTAGTGAGTATTCCGTTGTTGAAATGAAATCGTCGGAAAGATAATTCCATCTAATTCGTAAGCATCGTTTTCTTTTTCTATGTATTCAGAATAACTGATGTAAATCTTCTTTATGAAATAATGAAAGTAGTAATATTTCATTTGTGATACCTTTGGAAACCTATCTTGAAGATTATGTACATGTGTATGTCACAACTCTCCTGTGACTTATCAATTTAAATTCATATACGCCTACCAGTGTAAAGGCGTTGCTGATAAGAAAGGATATAAGTAGTATATGTTGAGAGGGCAGCAGAAATCATAGGGAATTACCAGCAATGGGTAAGGATTCTGCTCAGAGAAACGCTAAATGTATCATATTTAACGACTGCTGTCCCACTTGTTGACAATAAACATTCCTTCCTGCATACCTGTCTTTTGCTCCTTTCAATTGGTGTCGCTGCTTCTCGACAAGATGTAGACTACGTGACCTGCAGTGTTTGAGGAAGGAGACATCAAGGTCTTCCACGGGGACTTCAAGTTGGTCGTGGAGCTGGTAGGTGTCCAGGATCCAGAGAAACGAAGGTTGCAGTACTTGGCACGTTGCTGAGGGGTAGACTGAAAGCAGCATATGACGGCGTGGAGCGCGGGAATGGAAAAGAGATTTGGAAGAGGCTTGAACGACTGGTGACGCAGCAGTTGCGGAGCACTAAACATGAAATAGACGAAGATCCGTTGATATTGTCTGTGAAGTTGACTAAACTACTTAGATAGGCACTTCCTACTTTGGATGATGACTCGCAGGAGCAACTGCTAGCTGCACAGTTCACCGAAAGTGCTCTGAATGCCATGGTTCAGCAGCTACGACTAGTCAACGCAACCCAACCTATAGATATTAGTGAGATGCCTAAGGTTACCAGATAGCTAATGGGTACAGCAGTAGTCACCAAAAGTAAATAACTGGAAAAAACAAATCGACATACTTCAGGAGAAGGTGGCTGCACGTCGAATGAATATCAACAGACAGAGTAAATGCTTTGCATGCGGAAAACCTGGACACTGACGAAGAAACTGTCCAAAAGGGGTGAAAAAGAAAACGTTTTGAACGATATGATACTAGTTCTGTTTTTCCGACCAGACTAGATGTGGTAAGAGCCATAGACAGAGGTGCTGTGTATGCCAGGAAGCGAATAAATGATCGGGAGATCGTGTGTCTAATAGATATGAGGGCGGCAGTCTCGCTGATAGATAAGAGCCAGTTTCAGAACAAAAGACCATGTGCGCTGACGGTCCCCACGGTTGGGAGACATGCATTAGAAACCACAGGCTGGTCAGATTGTGTTGTCAAGATCAGAAGTCGAAAAATTAGATTGCCATTCATTGTGACCACGCGTCTACAACGGCCAATCCTAGGTGCTGATTTTTTTGAGAGAAGTGGGCGCAGTTATTAACACGAGAACAGGAATGGTGACGACAAAGTACGGGTCGTTTACCATGCAGACAGACAACGAGGTAGCATAGATTAGGGTGTCAAAAGCACTACACCCAGAGGCGCTAAACATCATTAAGTTGGTTAAGAAATACGACAGATTGTTCACGGGAGACGGAGACTCCTACGGATACTGAAATCCCAGTGACAAGTCGAGTAATGACAACATTCATAACATGGTGAATACCATGTCACGTGGAAGAAGTTCGGAGCCAAGTTCAGGAAATGCTAATGAATGAAACCAGAAGACGAAGATGAAGGATGGAATTTTTATTATTAACATGTGGTACAGTAGTCGTTAAGTATGATACACTTTCCACTAGGACAATCATTTGCATAATGTACTTCATTTCCTCTTCTGCTTCTCTCTTGATTTGTTCTTCATACGCCTGCGTTATCTCTTGCGTTTCTCTGAGCAGAATCCTTACCCACTGCTGGTAATTCCTAATGATTTCTGTCCCCCTCTCAATGTATACTACCTAAATCCATTCTTATAAGAAACGCCCAATACACCAATAAAATTAACAGAAGATGATGAATAAGGAATAGGTTATCAAATATATAAAAAAAGCTCACAAAGCAAAGCATCATACTTTGATATCGAAATGATAACAAGAATAACTTACACTCAACAATTCATAAGCTTGTTCAGCTTTTTCACTTGAATGATAATTTAAGACAAGACAACCACTTTCATAATAGATAACATCAATAGAATCCCATCGATACTTTTCACCTAACTTCTCTAATAATAAACGTTCATATAAACGTTGTGAAAGATTTTCTTTAAGATTACCAACAAATAATGATACACTAGATTGAATTGGAGAATCTTCAAAAAATCGTAATTCAAATCGTGTAAATTGTGATATTCTAGCTGATTCTTCGCGTAATTGTTCTAAAAGTGCCATAGGACGATCATCTTTATTCAATAAGTGTTCACTAACTGTACGATCAATTCGTACACTGCTTAGATAACAATCATCTGGGCTCATATGCTGATAGAAAAATAATCATTAAAATAAATTCAACAATAAAAAAAAAACTAGTCAACAGATAAATTATCAGCAAAATTATTTATTTATTTCTAGTTGGTATTCATCATGGACTGGAATCAGTTGAAAGGAGCATTGGAAACCTGGGAGCACTGGACAGCTATCTCGTCTTAGTACATGACGCCTCAGCATGCGCACCTATAACTGTAACAGGGATCGAACCCAGCACCTACAGTCTTAGTGGCCAGCACGTTACCACCAAGCCACTAGATAGAATCCAATCGTCTCAAATCCTTGAATCCATCCCAAAGCTTCAGTTTAGATGATATTTCGAGCATTATATTTATAAAATGTGGAGATATTTTATGCCATCCTCTTACAATATCTTCAATGCATCGTTTTGTAAAAACAAAATACCCACTGCTTGAAAGGAGATTGAAGTTGTGCCTTTGTCTAAGTCATTTTCTGAATCAAATGCTAAGTTCCAGACCATCGCTATAAACCCCCCCTTTGGAAGACAATCGAGAAATTACTTCTCCCTGTGGTTGAGCCTTCATTAATGGTTTTAAGAGATTCAAAACAATTTGTTTACAAACATAGGAGGAGTACTTTAGGTGCTGTCACTGTCTTGCATTGTAATATTTTTTCTAGTCTAGGCAAAGGTGTTAAGTATGTTCTTTGTGCCTTCTTGGATTACTCATCAGCCTTTGACTCTATTCCTAGACCACTCTTGTTAAATAAGCATGCCATAGTTCATACTGAGCTGTGGGTTACAAGTGGCTGTATTCTTAATTTTATGAAAGGAAACAGTTTACTGTCTACTTGATCGCCTACTGGAGTTGGTATGCGTCAAGGTGCAGTACTTTCTCCGTTTCTGTTCTCTTTCTTTCTATATGATTCAACTCATTCTGTTGAAACTAATTTTATTAAGGAGGCTGATGATCTGACGGTGTCAGTTTCAGTCAACTCTCACTTAGATTGCTCGGAATTAAATGGATTATTGTCTGTAATTGACCAATAATCTCGCTCAAATGGTCTGGAGTTAAACTGTTGATTTTAGCCTCAGGCGTAAAGAAGACTTGTATGAGCTGCTTAAATCTCATGACCCCTGTTCCATTCATGGTATTTCTGCAGAAACTAAATCGACTGTTAACTATTTTGGATTGAGTTTTACTTCCGACCTCTGCTGGTAGCCTCATATCTCGTTGACTAGGAAAAAAATATTTCGTTTAACTTATTACATAAAGAAAATGAGGCTCTCTGGTATAACTCAACTTCTGCTTTACAATTTATTGATTCCTGCATTTTACTTATTCTCCTCTGTTATTCCCCGTTGATCGTTCCTAGTCTTTTAAAAACCGAATATGTTATATTGTGTAGAGTTTTGAAAGCCGTCAATAGGGTGGGTGGTGTGCCTCTGGTTCAACTGATTAACACTGTAGTCGACAGACATTTAAATTCTACCAACCAACTAACTACAGGGATTTTAACTGACACTTAGCATCTACTTCATTCACACCTCTGTGTGTGTATCTCCTCAGGGAGGACAGGAAGAAACTACATAAGACTGCACACTCGTACAGCCAAGTACAAGAATTCGATTGTGCCTTAACTAGTACGCATCTTATACGAGGAAAACAGTGTTAGAACAGAATTCATATATCAACTTTGTAACAATGAAACAATCTGTATTTCCAATATTTTAACGAACAAAGTTAAATATTCCTCGTTATTAATATTCTTTACATTACTTAAATTCTTATGATTACACTATTCGAAATATTGTTAAGGAGTATACATATCTTTGTTACAATATTATACGCTGAAAATTCCATATTGTACCAAAAAAATGTTTCGAATAAATTGGTTGTGTTTAAAAATCATTATTATGGTACCTGAAAGACGAAAAGATTTGTATGATTGCAGAGCCCACGTGACATCTGCTCGAGGTCTGTCACACACAACCTTCTGAGGCCGGATAGAGAAAGCCGATGCCACCGGCATCGCAAGACCGTAGAGCAGGGAGAAGTGTGATACTTTTAGGACCAACTTTTTCTAACTCTCCGTTCCCATTGGGAAGATAACATCAGCGTAACATCATCCAACAGAAACACCTTACTCATGTCACACCTTACCTTATCCAGCCAGCAGTATGTCTTCGCCCTCAGACCCCCATCATAGTGTAGCCATTTACACTACAACGGAAACTGCTTTTCGTCTTACCATTATCCAGCAGACCTTTACGGAATAGTATGGCTTCGTGCGAATAAGTACTTGTCAGGACATAATATATACAAGCCCAACCACCACATCAATGTAGCAGCTATCCCCTACAGAGTTTTCTCAAAGAAATATGATTACTGTATTTAGCTAATCAAATAATATAGTACTTATCAAACTGAAGGCCGATACAGTAGTTACGAACCAATTTCTGTTCACACATCTCTGTTTCCATAATTCATGATGCCGAATTTCAACCAACGAAAACGGATAGCTTAGGAAAACCTATGATATATATATATATATATATATATATATATATATATATATATATATATATATATATACCGTATAAGTTCCAGAGTTGAGTAAGTCTCTCGATTACAGTGTGACGTAATATCACCTGGATAAAAAAAAACCGAGTGACTTTAAAAGTGACACAAGTAAATAACCAACTAGGTCTCTTTATTTCAACTGCTTCAGTAGTTATCAGGATGGCCCTTTATGGCTAGTCGAAAAAGCCATAGTATTGACCATAAAGTTTTATCCAACTATGCATCGATCAAATCTGTTCGTAGAAGTGATAAAACAATTTTACATCAGTTACACATATTACAGCTTGTTGTACTACAATAAGAATGTACAGCAAATTGTATAACTCAAGTCAGCAATAAACTCTTGGCACAATATTGATACTAGAGGATGTTTGAAAATAAATGAAAATCTGGGTGGGAGCAGGATTCAAACCATCGACCTCCAGGTGTTGTTTCTTCATACTAACATTGATTTTCTTACGTCGATTTTTGATTCTGTTTCCGTAGTTTTAATCCCCATTAACGATTTTGAAATACGAATCTATCCTTCCCTCTTAATGTGATATAGTCCACTAAGTGTTTGTTTTTACTACACTCACGGATGCATTCTAATCACCAACCAAATTTAAAGTGGTGTTCATTATGCACTGACATCAATTGGAGAAACATTGGAAACCTGGGGGCACTGGAGAGTTGTTTCGTCTTAGTATAAGAATCCTCAGCAGTGCTCACCTGTGACCCTGCATTGATAAGGATCGAACCCAGAACCATCAGGTCCCGTGGCCAGCACGCTACCTTTGAGTCACTGGGTCGGAATCCAATGGCACAAGCCTGGTGGCCATGGGAGTAAATGCTCAACAATGACATTGAGTGATGGTGGTGCCATGTCATGGAATTGACAGAAGTTAGAAATAAGGACTCAGTGATTCCATGGTAACGTGCTGGTCACAAAACTGAAGGTGCTGGGATCGATTTCTGGCGGTGTGAGGTCACGGGTGCGCACTGCTGAGGAGTCTCATACTAGAACGAAACAGTTGTCCAGTGACCTCAGGTTTCCAATGTTTTTTTTCCCAACTGATGTCAGTCTATGATGAATATCAACTTGAGAAACTACTAAATCACCACAAACCCCCCAAATCAAATCTAAACTGCTCAACCGCAACGAAATCAACCGATGGACCGAAAAACCCACTGTTGATTGCTCAATTATTGCGATCTTTAATTAGCATGAAAATTTATTATAGACAAGCACAGAAGCTTGGCTAATGCATAATAAGATAAGAGAGAGAAAAGTAACTAGCATGAAGAATTGATTTTTGAATGCATCATTACATAATGACGATAAATAACAAATAACAGGAAAATCAAAATAACCATTCAGATAGCAGTAAACTTCATGAAGTAAAGACTATGACAAACTGGTATATTCCAGCTAAAAACATTGGACTATTCAACTTTAAACACAAGCGTAGACGAAATGTTTGACATACGCCGGGAACAATCAATAACTTCATATTATACTTGTTTATTTGATTTATAACAGTGATACAGTATTATTTACTTGATGACGTTTCGAGCATAAAGTATCATTGCTTAGAATCATATCAATGTAATCACACTCCACTTTCGACATCTGATTCTGATTGATAGTCCTATCATTTCATATGATTTGTTTTTATTGCTAGTAAGATTTCCCATTTCTCTGGTATGGAGGTGTTGCGTCATCATTCCTATTACATGTGATGAGTTTAGACTAGATGAACAAAGATTCAGTCATCGATATCCCTCTCTCTCAAGCTAATTCTATCAGACATAAGTACAGTGGTTTAATCCACCCACTCTGTTGTGTGGGGTCATATGTGTTAATGCATGCATTGCAATAGCAGAGTGTTTTTCTAGATCGTTGATCTTATTGCAGTCTGTCATTCTATATTTGACTAAATGTCTATGTTCGGCTAATCTAACTGACCTTGATCGGCTAGTTTCACCTATGTACTTGACCCCACTCATAGTCATTGCATGGAATTTGGAAGAATAGGTTATTTTACTGAATTCGATCTGTCGGATCTTTAAGCCAGCTGACAAAGCTTATCTCTGAGAGAGTTTGTGGGTTTAAATGTCAATCTTATTCCAGCCTTGTTGAGAAACATACATAAAGTTTCTGATGTTGGTTCTATACTCATGGTAATAGAATAGAGGTTTTGAACTGCTTTCCACGTGTGTTGTCACTATTATTCGTATTCATATTACTGTTATTATTTCGTTTGTTATGTGTTCGTGCGAATTTCTTAACAAACGGTAGAGGATGATTATTAATTAGTAATGCTTTTTTTATGTGTGTCAATTTCTGCTTAAGTCCTTCTACTTATTAGTTTTCCAGCTCTACTATTTAGACATTTAAAATCGGAACATATCGACAGCTTCCTCCTACACATATACATACTCAGTAGTAGACGCAATCCAGAAACAGGGTAGAAAATGAAGAAGGAGAACTAGTGATGTCGAATTGCAGAGCAAAAGGAAGAAAAGACGTTAGTTTACTTACTATGGTCTACAGGAAACCGATATATCCTAACAGGGACATAGACTTCAGATAGTCTCATGCAATAGCAGTCAAGGCACAATAGAGAGATACTGACTGCTGAATCTTTCTTCATCCAATCTACACCCAACACATGTAATATGAATGATGATGTAACACCCATATCAGAGATATGGAAAAGTTTGCTACCACTGGAAACAGAATACGAGGTGATAAGACTATAAAATTCAGATGTCGAAGGTAATTTGATTACATTGATATGTTTATGAGTGATAATTTATGCTTAAAATTCCATCAAGTAAATAACACAGTATCACTGTGCGCTATCTATCAAATAAACAAATCTCATATGGAATTACATTCTTCCACAGTGCCCAAGTTTTACACTTAGATATTTGAAAATAAAACTGATTTCTGGTTTTGTTTTAAAATCCATACTTACAATAGGCTAACGATGAACGTGTCAAAGTATTCACATTTTAACTTACCCCACAACCAAAATTATTTAAAGCCATAGCAACAACTTTTGATGCAGTAGTTTCGGGGGTGATAGTTACTTCTTCGTAAGGTGGCACATGAGGAGCAAGCAATAGGCTAGAAGACAAAATTAAAATGAATAAAGTATACAGAAATATTTTTTAGAACGATCAGAGTTATACCATTGTTATTTAGATGTTGAAAATTTTATTAAATAGTCTAAGCATCTTTATTTTTAATCTGAGAGTTAAGCAACAAAACTCATCACACCGAATTTCTCTAAATCGTACAATAAACCAACTGGTAACTTAACGCCAGCGTAACAATCGGCTAAAGAAATTATACATATTGTGCGAAGGTTGTGATATTTACTAGCTGACTAGTCAAACCTTCGTAGGTAGTCGAAGTCCATCATCTAATGGTTGGAAGATGAAAGTGTAATCCAGTGAACAATGAATTCGAGGTGAAATTATAGCTGCTGCCGCTATATATTTCGAACACAGCAGTTTGGCAGTCCTACTAATTATGTGCAATAGTAAACGTAGTTCACAGACTTCTACATAAATCTGACGGTTATCATTCTTAATGAATTTCATGGCAGTAAAATATGTTTATACTCGTAAAAATCATTTGATACAAAACTGAGTGATAACTGTTAACTAATGAAAGAGTTAAATTTGAAAACGTTCCACATACCGAAGATCACCAGCATATACTTTAATAGTTAGTGTTGATTCTTCAGGTTTTTTAGATCTTATCAAAATAGAAGGCTGTTTTAAATCGAATCTCAACTGACTTCGAAGGTTGATATGATAATTGAGTTTGTTTTCAGTTCCATCTGGAATAAGAACGATATGAAGTAAGATTAGGAAAAACTTAAGGTAAACAGAGAGTGAACTTTATATACAATCCAAAGTAGGGTAAATAAATTCTTCGAGATAAATGAGAAAGTCTGTTATTCTCTAAGTTATTCAAAAATCGAAATCTATCCATCAACTCTGTGCACATCTGCGCAGTAGGGGCAATGAGTCACACCTAACGGGTTAGGACTAAGAGTATACAACCTGGGCTGCGTAAACCTTGGTAGACGAAGCGATGCTCTGAGCCATGACCCACTTGGTTGAAAGTCAACTCCCTAAATCAATGAATCCCAACTCTAATATCCAGACTATTCATAATGTATCAATAGAATGGTTTGCAATTCTTAGAAACGACATGGTTACATTTGTACACTTTTCACCACTATATACAATAAACAGCAGCTTAATTTGGCTCAAGCTCAAACCTAAGTCATGCGGACCTTTAAGATTCTACGGTATACATTCCATTCCACTAACAATACACCAACATTCAACCTCCTAAATATCTGGCTTTATTACAAAAGCACTCAGAATACACAATAAGGGACTCAATTGATTTTAAATCCGAAATTTCACTTAAAATTGAGGAAGATGAAATTATGGTAAGATGCGTACATACATTATTCATCCTGCTCTTAAACGCTATACTGCACTTAACATTTCCCATTCCTCCTTCCTCTCTTTACTACTTTCTCTACTGGCCTTGATCGATTTCTCTTTTCTTCTTCATCTATCTCATTGCTTTGTTACTTGATGTGCTGATATGGGGTGTGGCAACTTGGACCGTCACACAGTTATGCCTTGGTCTTAATGATGATGACGTGTATTGAATGGATAAAGGGTTTATGATGTGTTTCATCAATCTACTCATGCCACAATGCTTAAAGTGAGCTTCAATCGGTGGTTCATAGTTAAATGCCTCAAATTTAGAGTTGCAATTCAGTGATCTTGAGCATTGCTAGTCAGAATATTTAACCAGCTGTGAAAATAACTTCAAAAATCAGCAGTTTTTTGAAATTAAAAAACAAAAAACGTTCTAGCTTTCAATCCTTACATCTCACTGTTCTGCACTCCAATTTGGTGTGGTAACCTACAGTATTAATTTTTTTTAATGATCATGATGTGAAGTGAAGAAACTGAACAGATGAGATATGCAGTAAAACTCGTAATTATCTGTTGTTATACTGGTTTGAACTGATTGACCCCTACTGGCATATGGGTTCGTATGAGAATGATTTTATATTGCCTGAATATTTATTTTTATAATTGTTAACAGAGATTGATCAATTTAATCCAACAGAACAAAGAGGAATTACAAATGTCAACAAATAATAATAACTAATATCCGTTTTATAGAAGGTGGCACTCATGTGAATAACGCTTTGGTATCTGAAGCGATAAGCACAAGTCTTAGCTGGAACAATATCACTCACTGGAGTGCAGGTACATCCAGCTGACGAGTCCCAAATAGGATGAAACGTGAGTCTTGAATTACCCTGCTAGCCACAATCAAGTCAATTATACATAAGTCTTAGTTCTTCTATTCACGTGAGGTACATCAATGCTTAACTCATTAGGACTGAGACTTTTTACACCATCCAACCAACATAATTTACTCTTATATTACAGTAACAAGTTAACCTTATCCATGATAAGATAACAGTTATCAATTTTTTAGACGGTAGAAAATCCACTTTACGGGTGATTTTAGTAACAATCGATGTTTCAAATTTATGCGTATCTCAAAAACAAAGTAGGAGAAATTTGCATCACAACAAAAAGAAGTCAATCTTGATATTGATACAAGGATGATGATTGAAAGTTAAGTGAAATTTGGACTACAATTGAATTCAAACCAACAACCATCGGGTTTTTAGCTCGATATTTTACCAAGTGAGCTACGAGGTCTGATTGCTGACTAGGCAACCAGTGTGTCCGTACACATCAAGAATTCACATGTTAGTCAAGCAAAACCCAGCTTGTGATTGAAGTGAAATAAAAATCTGGTCAGCAGTTGGATGTCGTTGTTCAGTTGATAGAGCATCGGGCTGGAAATCCTAGTGGTTGCTGGTTCGTATCCGGTCGGGGTCCAAATTTTTATTTTACTTTCAATCATCACGCATTATCAATACTAGTCTGCTAAACTATCGCTATCTCAGATAGTCAAATGATAACTTTCTACTTTATTGTTTGTTACTTTAAGTCCTGAGATGAGTTATGGCAACAGTTGTGCAATAATGCCCGGTCCTATTTTGATGATGATGTCACAAAGTATTTGGTAATACCCCCCCGGCCCATAAACTGTTCTACTGGGTGAAAGACTGAACAACAATGTGGCAGGAAAATGCATCAACTAACGAACTCAAATGCCCACAACAAATTAACCAAATACAACGAAATCATAATGCAATAACAATATTGGAACCAATCATCGGAGCAGATATCATGACCAATTCAACAACAGTCATCAACATACATCAAATGCGAGAAAAGGAGGAAGAATTTGAACGATAAACTATTCAAACTGTCGCAACTAACAGAGAGTTAAAATATGAATAGGTAGTGAATCTTCTGGAACGTCTACTATCTACAATGGATTAACATTTCTTTAGAGACGACCAAACTACAACACTGGAAATCCAACCAAACTAGGTTTCTGTTTTGGAAGCCACAGGACTAAATGTTGAGCAACACCAGAAACCATGACGATCATCAACTGTATCTCTAGCAGAAATCAACGGAAACACAAAAGAAAGAACTCCAATGAAATCATTGATGACCGACGAGACAACTATAATATTGCCATCGGATGAAAGAAAGAAAACCATCGTATGAGAAAAGATTATATCAAAAAGACTGACATCAATTGGAGAACCACTGAAAACTTGGGAGCACTGGACATCTGTTTTTTTCCTAGTACGGAACTCCAGTAGTAAACAACCACTCCCCTCCCGGCCAGTATGCAAACTCTGGACACTGAGGTCATGCGGCGGGGACGAGGGTGCGTACTACTGAGGAGTCCCATACTAATAAGGGTTAGTTGTGCTTCTAGGTGTTCAATGGTTCTTCAACTGATGTGAGTCTGTGGTCAATACTACCTCAAATATGAAACAATCTACGCAAATGAACTTTCATCTAATTCTCATACTTTAGTGTTAGTAATATAAATTTCAATTTACCATTATTTGGACAAGGCTACTGATGGTGATCAGTGGAACGTGAACGTATCCATTCGGAAATACTAAGTTCAAAACCATGAATGTAACCAAAATAGCTGATAAGTGAATGTCAATAACTAATAGATCCAATTTCCAATTTTCCATATATACATGAGGTTCTATTTCTCATCACTTAGGCGCATTTATGGGAACACCAAATCAAGTCGACAGTATAAGAAATGAAGATGTCACTTGAACGAAACGCATTTAGACACCATGTGCATATTCATGCAGTAGAGAATGTGCCATACCTATTGTGTGAGGCCTAATGTGATACTACCTGACTTCTCAAAACTCGGTAGGTTGAGAAAAGTTCGAACACGTGACCTAACTGTAGAAAGTCATCTCTCTAAACCAATAAGCCACAACTCCACAATATTAAAACTATTATGTAATGATGAAAATAAAATCTTAAATCAGATGTTACATAATTTTGATAAAAGGTAAATACCAATTGACCAGATAAAGTAAAATTTCATATAGAGATAGTATTCATCATGGACTGACTGACACCTGTTGAGGAACCATTGAAAACTTGGGGTCAACCAGTCGAAGGGAACTGGATGCTAACTGAAGACTTTGGGTGATAGTCACACTATATTGTGAATTGACAGAAGTTGGAAATTGTGAACCATTGAACTGTAACCGAGTGGCTAAACTGCTTAATGAGTTCGCCAAGTTCAATCCCTAGCTGGGTAGTGGGTGCGTACTGCTGAGGAGTTTCATGGTAGGACGAAATAGTTGTTCAGTGCTCCCAGGTCTTCATCGGTTCCCCAAATGATTTCAGTCCGTGATAAATACTACCTGTAAATTAAAATCTTAATTCATCTCAAAAATAAAAGTAAATAGTTCATTGCTTCTAAACAAAATCAAAATTAAACTGTAATGCAACATACCATGTTCATTAACTTCATATACATTGTAATAATCAGGTGTTCCAGCCAAATGAAATGTCTTCAAAAATCTTTTAACTGCTGAATAAGTGGACACTGATTTTGAAAAATTAAAACTTCGACATGAACGTCTCTTTAACGCTCCAATACCATCGAATACACATACATATTCTATTAAAGGGAAGGATAAAACATTAGGACAACACTCTATTATAAATGATCTATTGAATTAACTACTTTAGAAAGAAAACTATGAATAGCCACAAATAATTAGACAATCTCATAGCTAATGATTACTACAATTCATATACAGGTGATATCGAGGCACAGGAGCCTATGGTGGAGACAGAGACCGATCAATTCGTCCAATCAACGACGATATAATAAAAACAATAACACTCAAACTATACGCGTCGCACAAGAAGTGGCTATCGTGGCTCGGTTGTCTAGTGGATAACCTCTGACGTTTGAAGCGAACGGCGCGAGTCCGAATCCCGGTGGGAACAACATCATTCATTGGGAGCTAGGTATATTTGGCTGACGAGTCCCAAATAGGACGAAATGTGCATCCTGGATTCTACTGCTAGCTACTATCCATCATTACTATGTAATTAAAAGCATAGGCAATATCGAGGCATATGCACAGGAACCCATATAACAACACAGACTGATCAATTCGGTCCAATCAATGACGGTATAATACAAACAATAATACTTATCTCATAGCTGATTGATATTCCAGTTGGATATATAATGTTACTAACTGAAACTTGATCATACAATTATATCACCGGGAGCCAACAAGAAAACTTACATAGAACCGATTAGCCCTTACAGTAGGCTAGTTTTCTGATTCAACTTTCAAACAAACTATAATCTTCAGACAGACAATGATGGAAAAGTAATCATTATTCAGTTGACTTATCTTCACATCAAAAAAAACAAACAACTACACTTTTAAACATAGATTAAAATCTCTATGAAGATCCAAAGTCTTTAAGAATTCAACAACTTATTATAATGCATTAAAGGACAGAATTTGTCCTACCTTGTTAAGTTTGAAGATAACTTATAGAAAGCTTTGAGTTTAGGCTTCATGTTTAATGATACTTACCATAGTAAGGCATACTCAACAATTAACGATAACTAAAAACTCCACCAAAGATTCAAATCTTCATTTCCCTAGCAGTTTAGTGTTAAAGAGTTTATCACTAAGTTGATTTCATGTAACGACTACCTTTTATGTGGAAGTAAGATTAACAGACTACTGACTATTGGTCTTCCTGTCGACTAATCAACTATCAGTAAATAAATAACTATTTAAAGTTTTTTAAAGTTCGTTTAAGACTGAATTAAATGAAAAGGTGGATTAACTGAACCACTTCTCCTGATGAAGCAAATTCTGATCACGCTTCAGAATGTGATCTCGTAAATAAACACTACATTCGATTTATTTCTGTCAGTTTTCTTCATATCACAAGCACGAATAAGAATAGACAGAAAAGTATTATGGGTCTAAGTCTCATGTAAATACTTGTCTGTTCATACTTTATATCAGACTGACATACTTTGCATCACCAAGAATAGAGATAAAAAGAAAGAAAACAAATGAATTCAACTAATAATATGAAAAGTTGGTATTCATCACAGATAGATATCAGCTGGAGGAACGTTGGAAATCTGGGAGCACTGGACAGCTGTTTCGTCCTAGTATGAGACTCATCAACAGTCCACATCCATGACCCCACACCGCCAACGGTCGAACCCAGCACCTCCAGGTTCCATGGCCACCAACGTTACCATTGAGCTACTGGGTCGGAATCCAGTGGTCCATATTAACAACTTCTGTCAGTTCACGATATACCGTGACCACCAACCAATGTCATTGTTGAGTATTTCTGCTCACATTCACCAGGTTTGTCCCACTGGTCATGACTTCTCATTGGAACTTCGGGAATCACCACCTCTCGAAGCTAGTCACCAATGAGAGTTAGATTCATTCACCTATGGGTTTGAGGAAATTTATTAATTGACTTCAGGTTGGGATTCATCATGGAATGATATAATGTGGGGGACATTGGAAACCTGAGAGCACTGGCCAGTTGTTTCGTCCTGGTGTGGGACTCCTCAGTGGTGTGCACCCATGGCCGCAGGACCCGAATGCTATACTTCGTGGGGTCACGGGTGTGCACTGTTGAGAAGTCCCACACCAGGACGAAACAGCTGCCCAGTGCTCCCAGGTTTCCAGTGTTTCTCCAACTAATGTTAATCCATGAGGAGTGCCAACTCGAAATCAATAAATCCCCACAAACCTCAAAATTGAAAATGAAAAGTTGTTAGGAGAAAACTCGAAGAAATAGGCAAAGTAAGGGAAGTAAAAAATTGTACCACAGGCAGAATTTCAAGACGTCCACAATTTACAGGAAGAGAAGAAGTGGACGTACCTGAACTTCCAAGAGACAAAGTTTAATAGCATTCAGTTCTCTACCCTAGATATCAACTGTTATATGAACCCCAATTAGGAAGCCTAAACTCCTCGAAATGATTCAAACCAATAGTCAGATACTTCATAGTTCGCCATTATACTTTGGTTTAGTTACTCTTAGAATTTTTCCAACTTAACCTCATTCTTATAATGATACTCGTAATTCCCCGTTACTACACAGGGCCGAATTGTTAGACACCTGTTGGCAGATGGGCTCCTATTTGGATGCTTTGATACTGCTGGATATTCATGATGTCATATTGATCTTTGTGACTAGCAGAGGAATTCAGGACGCACCTTTCGTTCAATTTAGGACCCATTGACTGGAGGTACCTGTACCCCACCAGGGCTCGAGCCCAGTACCTTTCGCTTCAAACTCCGGAGCGTTATCCACTAAGCCACTGGGGCACGACAGTCACCTCTTGTGAAATGGGTCGAGCAATTTGGCCCTGTGTAGCAACGGGAAATTACAAGTATCAGTACAAAAGTCGACAACCGTTGCATAACAAGTAGCCATCGTACCTCAGTGGCTTAGTAGACTACACTCTGGCATTTGAAGCGAAGAGCACTGGGTTCGAGCCCTGGTGGGAACAACATGACTCACTGGGATGCAGGCACATCCACCTGATGAGTCTTAAACGGAACGAAATGCGTGTTCTGGATTCCTCTGCTAGTCACAAAGATCAATCTAACCTTATTCTATCTAACGTAACACATTGTGGTAGATGGTGGCTCAGTATGCCGAGTATACTTTTAGCTACCTACGTAGATGGAAATCCATAACTTCATAGATTGATTTCTTTTTTTTCAGGTAGTACTCAATGGGTAATATCAAACTTGTTCCCTAACCAGTATGTATATAGGAGCTACATTTCTAGGATAAACTTCATCAAGTTTTTCTGACCTTCATATCATATAAACACGAATGTACAGCTTGAGAATAAATTTGGTGAAAAGAGTCCTGTTTGCTGAATATCTTATTCTGGATACACACCAAGAAAGTTGATAATAGTTGAAACAAGCACTTACCGTCACTACTTGCATGATCTATAGTTTCTCTTGGTGATCGTGTATCTTGCCAACTATCCTCTTTGCTTTCACCACTGCTCGACCAATCAACTGAAACAGTTCGACCTGAAAAATAAAAACATATGCAATGAGTTAAATAAAAATGAATTAAACCAGTGATGATAAAGGCTTCGAAAGGCAATAAAATGTGACAAGATGAAGAAGAAGATATGTAAGCGAAGTAGACTGTTTTCAACTGGATCTACTTAGGTATTGCTCTAATATACACCTAACAAAAAGTCAAATAGAACAAAACTCTTGAACCTTTACGACTTGATACATTTAAATGTAAAGCAGAAAAACAACTAGTAAACAGTTTTAAAGGAATAAGACTGTTGACTTAATTTCAACGATACACTTAAACCCTTAAAATATAAAACATCAGGGTGACATGATCAACTTAAAGTTTACCACCCAAAACTTCCTCTTCAATCAATTATTAAAACATTTCGAGTTCTCTGAACCACGAAACTGTAATGGTTAGTCAGGATTCCAGAACCCCAATATAAACAAGTCGCAAAGAATAGTGTAAACAACAAATTTGAGTCAATTTCTAAGTAAAAAGACTGATTGAACAAAGAAATATATTCTTTTTAATTAGGTCTTCGTCTTGGGTTCTACATTAATATGTAGGTTTACAATTCAATCAAAATAGCAAACAGATGGTGGGGGGGGAGGGGTTGGTGAACAATAATCATAGATTTTAAGTAAGTCATGAAGATGATAAGTTTTAGAAATTAAAATGCAAATAATCAATAGAGTTATTAAAATTGATGATATGAAGCAGGTAAATGGAATAGTTTTTGACAAGTGTCCAGTCCTATACAATAAATAATTACGTAATAATAAGAAGACAAATGAATATTGATAGAAGCAAGAGGGGAAGAGGTGTGCAACCTAATACTAGAAGTTACATCATGTTGATGACCACAGTAATGAAAGTGGTCGAATAAGCTTCATTTGAATAAAAATGTTGGGTTTGCAATCGCCCCTGCCATATGAAGTAGGCGAAGGCGTAATCCAGGTGGTAAATTAATTGGAATGGTCTCTGGAGGGGTCATGTATGCTCGCTTCTGAAGAGTCCCACACCAGGACGAAACAACTGGCCAGTGCTCTCAGGTTTCCAATGTTCCCCACATTATATCATTCCATGATGAATCCCAACCTGAAGTCAATTAATAAATTTCCTCAAACCCATAGGTTGAATGAATCTAACTCTCATTGGTGACTAGCTTCGAGAGGTGGTGATTCCCGAAGTTCCAATGAGAAGTCATGACCAGTGGGACAAACCTGGTGAATGTGAGCAAAATACTCAACAATGACATTGGTTGGTGGTCACGGTATATCGTGAACTGACAGAAGTTGTTAATATGGACCACTGGATTCCGACCCAGTAGCTCAATGGTAACGTTGGTGGCCATGGAACCTGGAGGTGCTGGGTTCGACCGTTGGCGGTGTGGGGTCATGGATGTGGACTGTTGATGAGTCTCATACTAGGACGAAACAGCTGTCCAGTGCTCCCAGATTTCCAACGTTCCTCCAGCTGATATTGGTCTATGAGTAATACCAACTTGAATGATTGGAATGTGATGAATAACTCTGAGTACTTTTCTAGTATCCACTTGATGTTCCGTGTGAACTAAGCGTGTAAGTAAGTATAGAGCTCTTTATTGTTTTAATTTATTCCTAGCTCAACTGTGCCGCTGATTATTTGCATTTTAATTTCTAAAACTTATCATCTTCATGACTTACTTAAAATCTATGATTATTGTTCACCAACCCCTCCCCCCCACCATCTGATTGCTATTTTGATTGAATTGTAAACCTATGTATTAATGTAGAACCCAAGACGAAGACCTAATTAAAAAGGAAATATTTCTTTGTTTAATCTGTCTTTTTTCTAAATGTCTAAATGAGAATATTCATTTCCAAGGTTTAAAAAAGGTTGGAAATGAGTGGTAAGCATATGATTTCCGTATATACTTGATAATTATTCACTAATGTGTAATCAGCTGACACACTGGAATTTATTTGTCAGATATCGGAAATATAGACACAGATATCGAACTTGTAGAATATAGCCTAAACAACAATTACTTCTGTGATGATGCACGAATGTGCACTTTCCTCTCAACAATACATATACTCTTGATAAATTGATTTAATCGCTATGTATGCCTTTTGAGTCCAATATTAGCAAATGTCTTTCTTGCTAAACCAAAAAATAAACTGTTGGATGATGTTATTAATAATCTGCAAATGTACAGACAAACAAATAGATAATATCAACATAGTACCAAGCATCACTGTGCAACAACTCAAGTTCCCACACCTTATATAAGCATAACAAGTAACAAAGTAGTAAGATGAAGGATGAAGAAGAAAGTAAAATCAGTCAAAAGTAGTAGAAAGTAGTGAAATATAGATATAGCGGTTAAGATGAGGATTATGTATGTATCTACGTAACTGATATCGGTTCTGAATCATATTGCCTAAAGTCTCGAACCATTGGTTTCTCTTGTCCTGCGGATCTTAACCGGCTAGTCTGCATCACCCTACATGGCTCAAACAAACAGTTAAGGACTTCATGCATTGATGTCATGTTTTGGCCCAGCCGCCTCGAGCTTTTTTCCAGCCAACATTGTGCGATGAGGCAGACGATAGCTAGGCATGCATAACACATATTCCAGTCATCTGAGTCACTGAAGTTTTACAACCTCATCGATTGACCATCCTTTTCTACCTGAAACTGTATACCTGACTTCTGCGTTACTAACGTGATGACAAGTTACCTTAATGACATATTCATAATCCTTGATCAATGTCAACAGAAAGACATAGATAACAGAACTCAATAAAGTAATTTCATTCCTATTTATTTATGAAGAGGAACACAAAGAAAAAATATCCTTCACTTTCTAGATGTTCTATCGATATAGATGATAGGATACTGAGCAGAAAGATGTACATGTGATCTTTGTAGATCACGCGAACTGGTTAAGATAAATATTTCCTTATTTTTATACATATTTAGCATAAAAGAAACTTAGTTAAATATTTTGAAAATAAAATCAGAAAGATTTGTTCCAATGATTTGATAAAAAAAAAGTAGCCACAACCCCGGTATGGATGGGTTGCCCCAATAGTTTTAAAAAAGGATATATGAAAAAATTGCCCAGTAAATCTAAACAAGTGATTGTTTTAAATAAATCATTGTTTATGAAGCGGCAATTCAATGAAGATGATCATTGTTGCTTAGACAAACTGCCCAAGTTTTGCCACTTTTCTGTGCTCACAAGCATATCGTTAGACAGCTTAACACACGTGTTACTGATTGATCCCTTATCTCCATAATTACAAAAAGGGAGAAGTGGTATCAATACCAAGTTAAATTTTGCTGCATCCGGTGTTCATGGAATAGACAAGTAAGTCCAAAGTGTTCAAATTGATTTATCGCATTCCAAAAAACTTTCCAAGAGGATTCATGTTTATAAATTACAGACAATTAAGGCTATATGAATTACGGAAAATAACTTCAGTCTTTGTATTTCAAAAAAACCCCGTACAGTCCTTATCTCTACCACAGTCAGCCAAAACTTAATAAATGAGTTTAATTGTTACTTTTTCTACTGTTCTTATCATCACCAGCATAAATATCAACATTACTAATTATCCTGATATTTACTGATTGCATACTTCAATATCCTGCTACTATAGACACAAAAATCACGACGATTGATTTGATGTTTTATGTATACCCAAAGTAGTGTGTATTAGAGTAAATTTCAAGTTGGTATCCATCCTAGACTGATATCAGTTGAAAGAACATCGGGGACTTGGGAGCACTGGACAGCTGTTTTCTCCTAGTATTGGACTCCTCAGCAGTGCACACCAACAACCCCGCCCTCCAGGGATCGAACCCGTGTCCTTCCGGCTCCGTGGCCACCACGTTACCACTGAGCCACTGATTCGGAATCCAATGGTTCATATTTTCAACTTTTGTCAGTTTACGACATAGCGCAACTGTCACCCAATGTTATCGTTGAGTACTTGTCCTCACGTTCATCAGGTTTGTCCCACTGGTCGCTTCTCACTGGAACTTCGGGAACCACCTCTCAAAACTAGTCACCAACGCGCACCAGTTCAATTGAATTTTGAGCGGTTTGTGGGGATTTATTGATTTCAGTTTGCTATTCCTAATGAACTGATATCATTCGGAGGAACATTGGAGACCTGGGAGCACTGTACACCTGTTTCGTCCTGGTGTGAGACTTTTCAGCAGTGCGCACCCACGACCCCACCAGGGATCGAGTAAAGCCTAGGGATACTTAACTGAAAACAGTACTTTTAAAGTAGCAGTGAACAGCAGTCTCATCCTAGTACGGCACTCCTTAGTATTACACATCTACGACCCACCAGGGATCAAACTCAGGACTTTCAATCTTCGCAGCGAACCCACCAACCATTCATCCACACTGGGTCAGAGTTCAATGATCCACATAGATGTTGACTGCTGTCTGAAAAACCCTGACAAATATCCACGAGTAGAATTTTAGTTTGAAGGTTTCTTTGGATTCACTGATTCATTATAAATTAAAATCACCCGGAGAACCATTGGAATCTTGGGAGTACCAAACAACCGTTTCGTCCGAGTTTGAGACTCCATAAACAGTAGTTAGACTGAGAACCAAATTTAGAAGGAAGTATCTGTTGTATACCCCTAATTTTGTATAGCTTTTGCCTTCCATTTCGCCCATGACCTTAGAATAACCTACATAGCTGTTTCCATAATGTTACTAGTTTTTTTCTCCCTCCACTCAAGGCTCAACTATCATGGCTTGTTAACTACTTTCACCTATATGTGAATTTAGTGTTGTCAAGGTCATTTAGAAATGTATATATTCAGCATCACTGTCAACTTTATTGACTGTTGTTGAGACAGTAACAAGCTTTTTGTCAACAGTCTGCCTTCTCTTCTTGTCGTTGCGCGTCTGTGGTATTGTTGTTGTTGTGGTGGTGGTTGACGTTCTGATTTGCGTCAGCGTCGATTCGTTTGCACGTTAGGTTCGTATCGTTCGTAGTCTGCTACGCTTGTATATCGCTTGTAGACTTTTAGGTCGTACTACCGGTCACAGCAGTATCATGACAATAAAAGGTACAATACACTTTAAATGTGACCATTTTTTTTCTTAACAAGGATGACACAAAACAGGAAACTTACAACAAATTCATGTATTACAGTGTGTGGTTCATTAGTTTAGACACGCAACTGTTAATTATAAGCTATAGGCGTAAACAATTTCGTACACCTTGAGTTTAAAAGACGAAAAGTAATGTACACTAATCCTCTTTATCTCTCTCTCTGTCACACACACACACACACACACACACACACAATCTATATATATATATATATATATATATATATATATATATATATATATATGGCTCAAAATCTAATCCATGGTATATTATAGGGCTAGCTACCGAGTTGTAATTGATCCTTCGGTATTATCCAAGCCACACCTATTCTACAAGCCCAACTATTTGAACTAAAATAAATGAAGTAAGGATTTAAAACTCTTGAATATATGACTGAAAGTTTAGGAGTTAACACAAATAAGCAACAACTCTATTTCTAGAGGACAAATTACACAAAATAAACAGAAAACTCCATATCTGAAACTGTATTTGGCTTGTAAATAATTCAATTTGACCGCTATCTAGCGTTCTATTTGGTGGTAAGTAATGGAATCCCAAGTGCGTTTTGTCTTACTTGCGACTCGTCAGCTGGATATACTTCCACTCCAGTGAGTGATATTATTCCCACTGAGACTAGATCCTATTATCCATCACTTAAAATGCTAAAGAGTTATCCAGTAAGCTATTGGAGCACGAGAGCCATCACTTGCCTAACAGGTATCAATAAAAAATAAACCAATATCATCTTGAAAAACAAAACAGTTATATCAACGATTACAACACTATTAGGATAAGTGGAAGAAATAGTGAAATTTTTCAAAAGGTGACAGTTATTCAAACTTGATGTGATATCAATTTAACTAACGTGAAAATAACTACTCACCTTGTGGACGTTTGGTTACACCGAGAACATGTTCAATAGGAATGTTTATTCGTGGAAGACTAACACAGAATGACGGTAACATGATATCGCGTAATGGACCAAAATCACATTCATCCATTCCCATTTTATCTATACATCCTGCATGACCCTAGAAGATAAAAGATTTGTGCAAATTTGATTTAAGAAAGTCGTTCATGCATAACCAGAAGACTATGTCATGTAAAAACACTTCTAGTATATGGAGACTTTTTAATAATCTTGCTGGAAAGAGAAAACTTAGAAATGAAACCTGCGACATGTGTACATTGAACGAATCATTCACACGTAAACCCGCGAATGTTATCTTATCTAGTTCTACACGTATAACAGAATGCAATTTTTGGAAATTCAACAAAACAGAGGTGTTCAAATGCCTGAAATCATTAAAATCTTCGCAGTGCACCGGACAAGATGGTACGCTAAGTATTCTTTTCACCAAATGCCATCCACTCACAAATACTTAACGTTTCAACTCAGAACACTTTTATATACTAGGCTGAATCATGGTTACTGTGTCCGGGTGCATAATACTAGCGCTAGTTGCCAAAGACAAAGTAAATGCTGCGATTACGTCAACAAGCTGAATTACTAAAGTTATTACACTGTTTTCACGTCACTATATATCACTCTTATCATGCGGTAGTTACCACATCCATATCAAAGTTTAAAATGTGAATCATAGAAGGACTGAATACTGAGCGCTCAACAACTAGTGCACAGTATGTAATTTTTGTCACGACAACAAACCGATACACACCCAAGGACTGCATACCTTACATCAATAGATAACGATGTTATAACATTACGTTCATTCATAAGACATAGTTATTAAGAAATTCTCAAGTTTAAAGGAAATTAAATGAGACTGCAGAAGATATTGAAAAGTACTCAAAGTGATGAATATAATATGAATAATGACTATCACATGAATATAGATAGTAAGAAAAGTGAAAATATATAAAACAAAAGGAGTACAACTTACAGTTCGACCACACCATTGACAACGATAACCAGTAAGACATTCAGAAGACCAACATGTTTTACGACATATAAAACATTTTGAGTTAGTTGGTAAATTCCCCTCCCTCCAATGATGTGTTTGACGTGGGGAACACTAAAAATTTTCCATAAAGATAGAATGAAACTAATTATCAAAGAAATATCTCATTAAAATCATACATATTTTCAATAACTAAAAGAAGAAATGTAGAACTATTTGTCAAGATATAAAACACCATAACAATAGGGTATGTATTAACTTTGAAAATTAGTGCTTCTAAAACTAAAGAATACAGAATATTGTTGTGTGTAAAAGAAATTCTGTAACACTTCATGCAATTAAATAGACATACAAATCAACTTGGTTACTGTTACAGTAGGAAAGATGTCCTTCCTTACTAGTTGTACTGATTTACGCGTCGATCACATATCAGAGCACAATTTACGTCAAAATACTCAACGAAAAGGTATTCATAGTGTAGTGGGCGCTGCTGATCAGAATGGATATAAGTAGTGTATGTTGAGAGGGCAACGGAAATCATAGGCAATTACCAGCAATCAGTAAAGATTCTGCTCAGAGAAATGCAAGCGACAATGTGGGCATATTAAGAGTAGATCAAGATAGAAGTGGAAGAGGAAATGAAGTACATTATGCAAATGACTGTCCTAGTGGAAGGTGTATAGTATTTGATGATTACTGTATAATACGTCAATAATAAACATTCCTTCCTTCGTCTGTCTTGTCGTTTCCTTCAATTGGTGTCGCTGCTTCTGGACGTGATGAAGGCTACGTGGCCTGCAGTGTTCGAGGATGGAGACATCAACGCCTTCCACGGGGACTTTAAGTCGGTAGTGGAGCTGGTGAGTGTCCGGGATCCAAGAGCGAAGGTCGTGGTGCTTGGCACGTTGCCAGGGGTTAAAGCGAAAGCGGCATATAATGGCGTGGAAAGTGGAGATGGAAAGAGATTTGGGAGAGAATGTTTCAACGACTGGAGGTGGAGTTTGATAGCCCGGCGGAGCACGAGACTTGGAATAGACGAAGATCCACTAGCATTGGTAGTGAAGATGGCAAAACTACTTCGACGAGCACTTCCCATGTTGGATGAGGGGTCGCAGGAACAGTTGCTGGCTGCACAGTTCACCGAAAGTGTCCCGAATGACATCGCTCGGCAGCCCCTCCACTACAATAGTACCGATTTATTCACCCTTCATTATTAGTCAAAACAAACAACTGTGTAAAGAAAGTTGTTTTGCTTTAAAATCGAATGATATACCAATCTAAGAATTACCAAGATAAGCTTCACCATCATCTATGTCCAACAGTTAACAAACACTACTGACAGATGATACTGAGTGAAGTATCGGTATATACAGTCCTCACATGTCCCCAAAAGAAGTGCTCAAAAAAAGAAACCAGAGAAGTCTGACAGTCACATAACGTTTCATTCAAAAGAAGTTTGTTCGACCACTTTGATTACCGTGGCCGTCAACATGATGTAACTTCTAAGTTTACTTTGTACACCTCTTCCTCTTCTTGTTTCTATCAATATTCACTTAGTTTCTTAATATTATGTAATCTTTTATTGTGAATAACTGAACATTCATTATTGTTACTCCATTTACCAATGAAAAGTTTGTTTCATATTTCCAATATTAGTAATTCTATTGATTATTTACATCATTATTTCCAAAACATCATCATATGATAGGTAATTTTGATTAAATTATAAAACTAATGCATATTGGTGTAGAAGCCAAGATGAAGACGTAATTGAAAACGGATATATTTCTTCGCTCAACCAATAAAACATCTACACAATCATGCAAAAACAATATGTATACGACACCCTTTACGTATACATGCAAAATACATTCTCTCATGAACAAGTATAACAAACAAGCAACATTAATTTAATTTACAAGAGTAGATCTAATCAATGTAGACAGTAAATGTATACGCAGCACTTGTCGAAATCGAAATCTATTCAACAACATTGTGTACATATTGGTCCAATAGGCGATGAACTACATTTATTGTGTAGAAAGGCTAATCATACTACTACCTGGCTACCCAAACCTCAAGAATTGGGGCAGGGGTTAAAAGCTTATAGCCTATAGGTTAAGACTCGACCTCTTAAACCAATTAGCCACAGCTTCACATACATGTTATGCAAGCTAACTTCTCATTTCAGTGAAGTTTAAAGAATTTAATATGATATAAGAATACCATCAAGTAACCTACTTTAATTTTATCCAACTGATTTTCACCTCGTGTACTGACCAACTAAGACAGAAAAAAGAATTTCTTGTAACTTCTAATTGTCATAACACTGAAAAATACACTGTATCAATGTAACTAACCAATATCACAATCAACATGCTGATATTGGAAAGGATTCATAACTCATTACAACGACATCGAATACTTAAGAGATAGAATATACAACACTAAACAAAATGAAGAGATGCATGCTACTAAGTGCTTCCAATAGCCTAATTAAACAAACGCACCACAGGTTTGCCTGGAGAACATGTTGCACCTTGTTTGCAATCATTGATAGAATAGTCTTGACAATCCACATGACAATAATATTCACAAACTGAATCACATAATTTAAAATAAATGAAAAATTATCGAAATTATTCCTGTAATCACTAGGCTGTGTATATATCACCAAACACACCTAAAAGCTTATTCATCAACAATTTGAATAACATTTTTCAAACCTGATACAAAGTTCACGAGAGATAATGTTTTCAACAGGATTTAATCAGATTATATAAAAGTATATTAATGATGGGTAATGGTTAGCAGTGGAATCCAGAAGGCGCATTTCGTCCTATTTGGGACTCGTCAGCTAGATATACCTGCCTCCCATTGAGTGAAGTCGTTCCCATAGGGACTCAAACTCGGGACCGATCGTTTCAAACGCCAGAGCATTATTCACTAGACCACCGAACCACGATAGCTACTTCTTGTGCGACGGGTATAGTTTTAATGTTGTTGCTTATACTAGCAACAACATAAAAGTATGTTAGTGTGAAACAATCCATTCACCTGGATTCAGCACTCAGCCACCGTGTACACATTCGTGCAGTGAGCAATAAGCCACACTTGGTTATGTGAGAGCTATTGACATTAATATCCGGCTACCCAAACCTCAGTAGGTGAATTGGTGCTCAAATCTGTGACTGATCGATTGGGAGTCGACTGGTTAAACCAATAAGTCACAACTCCTGGATATAAGTTCAACCAGGATAATTAGTCAATGAGAACGAATTCATTCGACTAGCAGTTCTAAAACTAACATGAATACACAAAAGACGAAAATAAAGTGACGAATTGCTTCACAGTTGGACGGACAATCAGCAGAAATACAAAAGCTTCACGACCACCTAGTCACTAATAAATCACAATAATTCAAAAAATAAGAAACTGGAAGAAGTTTAGCTCGAGTTTCGATTGAAGATGATCAGGGGATGAAAGTGTATACTGACCTTCTAGATACATTGCTCACATTAAAAGTGTATGAATTCTGAAAATTATGAAGTGGTGGTTATTACAGCAGTTTTAGGTCATTATCCTACGATATAATGACGCTTTTCGAAACTCGACTGCAACTATCACAACAAGCGTTCAATAAACAAAAGTTTCTCCTTGAAGTCAGTAAATACATGAAAATGCCAGTATTCCTCATGGACTGATATCAGTTGGAGGAACATTGGAAATCTGTGAGGACTGGACAGCTGTCGCGTCCTAGTATGGGACTCTTCAGCAGTGCGTACCCACGACCCGGTCAGAGGTCGAATCCGCTACCTTCAGGTTCTGTGGCCACCATGTTGCTATCGAGCCGCTGGGTCGGAATCCAATGGTCTATATTTCCAACCCCCGGAATTCACATGAAAAAGTTTTAGGTTTGTTTGTTTGTCGCAAGCAGTTACCTTAAACTTTAAAATAAACGCTAGTTAGTTGTCTTTCGAAATAAACATGAAGCGGTTACAAGTTTGTGAACACAGGTGTCGCCGTAGCATTGCTCGCGTTTGGTGGAATCACCACGTGAGTAGGGTTTAGGTTAGGCGAAGGGTATCGGATAAGAAAGCCAAGTTAGTCAATGAAGTTGCAAAAATTCAGCGACTAGGATGGCTCGAACACGTGTTGCACTTCCCCAGACATCGCCTAACTCGACGTGCCATGCTACGGGAAGTTGGATTAGGTTGGAAGAAGGTTCAGAGTTGCTATACCAAGACCTGGCATCAGTGCATGAAGTGTCTGACTGTTGGTCTAAGCCGTGTAGAGAGGTGTAGACTGCGTAGTTGATGTCCCTGAAATCATAGGAATCCGTGATTATTGACCCTTGATAAAATGCTCGGAAATCGGTCACAATGTCACAGATGTATTCACTTTTTCACATCTACTAGAGCTTGAGTATTTTCAAAGCTTTCGCCCACTTACATCATCTGTGGTGCCACCACGACATCCGATTGCCTATTAAGGGTCAAGTGTAGTGCGTTGCAGTTCGCTCTGTTCAACTGAATGGCCGTCAGGCATGGCCATTAAAGTTGGAGGACATTAGGTTTCTGGTGTTTGACCACCGTCGCCTTCGTGGCATAGGGAGTGTGCCGTGGTGTCATTAGGTCAGTAACCCAGAAGTCAGGTGTACATTTTTAGAGAAGAGAGGGAAGTTAGTTTAAAAGGTCATGAACATTCATCAACTCAGATGGCTGGGACATGGTACTACCCATGCCTAGTCACAGTCTGCCTCGTCGCCCAATAATGGCTGAGGTATGTTCAGGCTGGAAAAAGGCTGGGGGCGGAGAGACTAAGACACAGCATTCCTGCATGAAGTCCTTAACTGTTGGTTTCAGTTATGTAGGGAGATGCAGAGTAGCCGGTTAGGATCCACAGGACAGTCGAAACTAGTAGTTGGAGACTCTAGATGATACTGCTCAGAAGCGATATAAGTGGAGCAGATGTACCCATAGTTTATGTTTATCGTAAACCCTATACTGAACCCAGTATTTCCTCTTCTTTAATGCTTCCTAGTACTTTTGACCGACTTTTCTTTCTTTCTTCATTTTTCATCTTAGAGCTTTGTTACTCGATACGCTGATTAATGTGAGATATGGCAACTTGGACCGTTGCGCAGTAATGATGACCATACGTTGATACTAATTGATTCAGCATTCTCACTAACCTTCATTTTCAAATTCATACTCCTCCCATACATTTTGGTCTGCTTTGATATCAATCTTTTTCGATCCACTTTTTTTTTCATGCTACTGTGAAGTGGGATAACTTGAACCTATATACTTTTATGCAAGTTCCTACGTTGATTTTGTCTATCTCTGTATTTGATCACTGTCGACATTGAAGTGAAATAATATAAATCATCCAAAATACGTAAGAAACCAGACTTCCATTAATTAATTCAAGAATTATCGTTAAAAATGTATTAGTTGGTAGATAATTAAATTGACAAATAGAAAATGTCTTACCTTCACATCGCACAGACAAACTGTCTTCCAACCGTTTACGACAAACGTTGCAAAACTTTCGTTTGAAATGACCCAAATCGGACCAACAATGAGATACTGGAGACTGTAAAATTAACCAAAAATACACTCAGAATTCATAATGAACCGTTAAATTAGAATACTGATAGGCTAAGAGGCTAAAATACATGTGTTTTGCCATCGACATAAAACAGTTCGTTTTTTTCCTTCATAGAATAGTATACCTGGATAAAAAACCTGAATGTAAAAAAGTGAAAAAGATGCTAAGACTAAAGGATTTTACTCATCATTTAGTTCATTCAACTATCAGCATTTTCCAGTTGCTTACGCATCACATGAACAGGAGAGGCTTTTTTTGTTCAGCTTAGTAGAAGGAATCAAACCAAATCAAGCAAAAACTTTAAGAACCACTGAAAAGAAAACACACTGAACTGAGATTAATAACTCGGAGTGTGGAATATAAAGTCATTGAAACTATCTCTGTTTGAACTGAAAGAACTTAATCGAATCTGAATAAAAGTGATAAAGAACAACCCTCCGACAGAATGACTACTGCAGAAATTAAAAAGAAACACTATGTTATATAAATGGTTTGGTGGTGGCTAACCGTAGAATCTACGACGCGCGTTTCGTTCTGTGTGAAAATCACACGGTGAGTGTACCTGCATTTCAGTGGACGATGGTGTTCCCACTGAGGTGCGAATACAATAGATTGGAAGAAACACAATTACCAAACAAACCAAACTTCTGTCAGCAAACTAGCCTCGGAGAAAGTGATAGATTTATCATCTTGTTACTGCTTAATCTAACAGAAACTCACTCTAGGTATAAAAAACGCAACTCAATAACTATGTGCATGTTTATGCACTAGGTAATGAGCCACATCTATTTTGTAAGCTGATGGCACCATCTGATTGTCTTAACTTAGGTAGATGGGAGGGACCTTGAACCTACAACCCCTTGGTTGAAGAACAACGGTCTAGACCAATCAGCCATACCACGAAAAGCTTAACCCACTTCACTTCTTTATGAGTTTAAAATGGAGAAAACATTTAGACGAACGTCGAAAGGTACCCAAGCAAACTCGAAGAGCGATGAAGCTACTCAAATATAGAGTGTTTTATACATATTTACTCATCTCATTCATGAAACTACACAAGGAGCTTGATTACAGTTCAAAAAAACAAGTTAGGAAAATTGCTAACCGTCACGCTGTAATCCAAATAATGGGGAAATATAACAAGTGTTTCAAATAAAACCTTATATACAAAAATGTATCAGGCATGCAACCACTTCCTTGTTCTGAAAACATATTATCCATTTGAATAAGAGATGAGTTACACTACTAGTTATATCTTCCACAGCAGTAATTGAGTAACGCCAACAGTATACATATTTTACCGTACGATATGCAACGTCAAGTGTTTTAGTCTTGTAAATGTGTAAGCAATCCATGACAGTGACTCGAAATACTGTTCCTTCAATAAGGAAGGTGTACATGATACAACTTTCTTAAGTGAATATAGTAGCGAGCCAATACACAACACATACTATCAGCTACAATATAAAGATGAGGGAGAGGGGGTATTAACGTGAACTGATGCACAGTATTACAAAACAGCGTAACTGTGAGACAGTCAACGCAACATAAAGACTACCAGCAATTAATTCTTTGCATCTATGAATTTATAAAATGTAATCAAATCGACACGCAGTTTACCACCCGTTAGCTAAGTAACTTTCGTAGAATTAAAAAACATGTAAGCCCAAAAAAATAAGCAAATACAAATAAGTATCTCATTCATTCATCATGCAACAAAAAAGAGCATGTAATACTTCTCAAATTGTAATTAATCGAAGCAACAATACCTTTACATGAAGAGGTGCCACAGATGTGCATAGAGAGCTCACTATGGTTTGGCAGCGTTCATGAGCAAGGAGGTTGCAAACTAAAGTGCAGAAAACAATCGATATATATATATATATATACATGTATAATATTAACAAAAAACTTTCAGCACCATAGTAGTGAGAATTAGTGACTGAATCCTGAAATAACAATTTAAGATACCTACTTAAACACCAATCAATTAGATATCTATCTAAAAGAGTGGAATCATGGTTTCATTATGATTCTGGCACTCAACTTTTAACGATTGCACCACAGGTTTCAAACCCCAAAACCATCTCTCTAAGACATAAGTAATCGATTTATAGTACCAGTAATGTAACTCAACACAATACATGTATCTCTACTAGTCGATTACTAGTTTTATCAGTAAATTACATTACTAGTCTACAAAACACATTTGATGATTGAGTGCTTGTGGTGTTACCTAGTTACGCGGGTTGAAGTATGCGAATTATGTTTTCAACACAGGAACTATTTATGTTAATGATGGTTCGTGGCTAGCAGTGGGATCCAGGATGCGCATTTTGTCCTATTTGGGACTCGTCAGCTGGATGTGCCTGCTTCGCAGTGAGTGATGTTGTTCCCACCGGGATTCGGACTCGGGAGCGATCGCTTCAAACGCCAGCGCGTTATCCACTACATCCAGTTGACGAGTCCCGAATAGGACGAAATGCGCATCCTAGATTCCACTGCTAGCCATGATCCACCATTAACATAATTCGATTGCTGGCAATATCGAGGCATCCGCACAGGAGCCCATATGCTAATAGAGACCGATCAATTCAGTCCAATCAACGACGGTATCATATAAAAACCCCTTGAAATCCGAATAGATAAGCCAGTAACCCAGTAGATTACTTAGTTCTCACAATCGATGTAATATATCCACTACTTCAAGAATCTTTTTGTTGTTATCCCTTTGTTATTTTTAGCTGACACATCAAAAGCCATTCACAAGACAGTATATGTATTCACTTAGTGGAATAATCTCCAATTAATATGATTTTCTGAAGATACTAAATTACATTTCGCAGAATTATAATAGAAACGATCGTACTGTTGCATTCGGATATCAGACAAGGTAAAATATCACAAACTTAAGACGAACCAGGTTGTTTTTCAACTGAAATCATGTCTTTTCGTAAAATATTCAGTCAGCTATATTCAGTAAAACATGTTCAGCGAACAAAAAAATCTATGTATAACTGGATGAGTTTACTACCAATAACAGGTTTTTGAACACAAGTTTAGAAAAAAAATGCTTCTAATAACTCCACTACCTATGAGTTTGAAGTGTCTCATGTGTGCCTGCCTGGAGACCCCTTGACGTCTCTGTCTAACCTTACTGCATGTCCTTTTTAAATTAACTTATAAGACAGGGACTTCACTAGTCGACTAAATACATGCTACTGGCCATCTGTGTTGTTGGCCTATAAGGTTCAGTTAAATTAAGTAGCTGCTTAAAGAAACGACGCCTCTATTCACCAGCTCTGCCTAAGCACCGATAAGTGGGAGTTCAGATGCAATTAAGGACGAGTTTCACTAGCAAATAAGCGAACTTCGTAACCAAGTGAACTAGACATATCGCAGTGCTAGCTAGGAACTTGAATAAGCACACCAATTAATTGGGTCAAGACCAGCTGTCATTTGGGTGTGATGAAAAAGTCTTTTGAAGCTTTGGAAGGTCATAACGTATTCCTAGTCACTTACAGCATGTAAACGACATCGTTTTACTGTGATAATATACAGGTCAATCAAACTACACTCAGTTGACAATTAACATCCGCAAAAAAGGCAAATACCTCGAGACATTAAAGTATTAAGTGATTCAAAAAGACTGCCAAAAGTTTGTATCTGCACTCACATTCGTTAGTGAATCGTTAGAAATGTTCGAAAGCTCATATATCTTTATAATTGTACGACTTCTAGTAGAGGTGTAACGAACAAAAACCTTTAACCACACAACGAAAACTGGCAAACCAAGTGACAATTTGGACCACTTTTAGCTTTTTCATAGCGTTAGCGTGGCTGCAGAAGGTTCAGTCTACAACGCTTCAGTGGAGGCAGTTCAGCTTTACACCTTTGAAACCTGGTTCATTCAAATTGATGATATCCGACAACTTTGTGTTTGACTACTGATTTTTCTGTAGGTTCGCTCACATACAGCAACAAGATTTTAATTTCGAGATGAGGCCAAGTATTCAATCGTCACGAAGAACATCATTCAGTAGTTTTATATACACATATATTTCCCAAAAATGTACCATTATTTTGTTGTCGTTAAGTTCACTCAACTATAATTACATTTATTCAACTGGATTACTGGTAAAAGGAATCAATTTATTTAAAATCACTTTATTGACTACGTTATGGTCACCATGGAGAATGCTATAAATGTCATGTACTCTCAATCTATCACTACTTTTCACTTTAGAGGATGGCAAATTCGTTGATCCACACCTCTATTTTAATTTCAACAGTAAGTGCTTAAGAAAGAACCTTTGGCGTGTTTTGTGACCATATTGAAAGAGTATTGCTTAAGATTATAACACTTCAACAGCTCGAACATATTACGCATACTGTCCTAGAGACTACCATACTGTTCAGCAATTACTCAAGTTCGGGAACGGTTCGGAAAAAGCGAAGATTTAGTTCCACAACATGGCGCCATGAGACAGTTTTGTTAGATATTTCTTGGTGAACCACAACTCCTTGGATAGGAAGGGTCCGACAGATCACACAACTCAAAAGTGACAGACGTTAAAATCGACACCAGTGGAAATGACGCTACAGTTCTTTTGTGTCTTCGATTATTGGAAAGTAGAACGAAAGTGATAAACTCTTTTTACAATGAATCTTATGAAAATACTTCCCTCATCACTTTTTTGCCCTTTCTCTCTATCGTTTCTTTTAGTTTAAGAAACTACTTGCTATTTTGTGCGACGTATTTCCCGGTTCCCATCATGTATCAAGTTTGCTTTGTGTGGGAAAATAACAGGTGAGTTACACAGCCCAAAAATATTTCGATAAAAATGAGAGCAATTGTAAGAGGCGTAAAAGACAAATCGTCAAATAGACCAAACAACTGTAGTGATAAAACAGAAGAGTATAAAATAGTGAAACAGAATAATGCAATTCAACCCAGTAAAGGTTTATATACTAGGTCATGAGTCAAATTTATGGAGTGGCGGCCCATGATCCTACCCGGTAACGCAGGTTGAAGTAGAAACCTGCTCAAGGTTGTAATGATTCCATTCGTTACACTTTACAAATGCAAAGCATAAATAAAACTGACAGTTTAATCCAAGTAAGGACAGAGGTGCAAAACAATGTCTGAAAAATATTAACGTACGCTGACCAGGACGAAACAAACATATTACTAGCTAGAACGAAATAAAACAATGGGCAAACGTACAGTTACGTACTTAGTTGTGAGGATTACAAAGCCAATAGATACTGACCAGGCGTCTTCACCATGGATTGAGCTGTTAGCGATTTTTGTTTGTAGTTTCAAAACAGATAGGATAAAATTAACAAAGTACCTGACATTACTGCGTAACGGTACGCCCCCAAATGCCTTGGTATGAGTTCACAACTTCTGCTAGAGAATTCCTATTTACTGCCTTCAAGTGGCGGCGGTTTCCACAGATATGAAGGGGTGCGCGTGAATATCCGGCGCTTACCACCGGATTGGTGAATACTGAGGATCCCTTTACGAGAGTTGGAAAACTCTGATTCCAAACCAATAGTCCTCACGGGCTTCAGGTTCCAAATGAAGCGAATGTCGCATGAACCTATTTTGTTCACCGGCAACTATGGGAAAGCAGCTCCTAAAGTTGCTCCACTACCTACTGGAATAGATTTTAAGTCATAGGCTCGAGGAGTGGCGCCCTAAGACAACGACCTGTCTCCCTCCACGCGCCCGGGCAGTATCCCAGTCATCACATGAAATATGAATTTACAGTATAAAATGAAGATTTTGAAGCAATCAACCAACTTTCCTACGAATACTCAAGCTCTCTACACTACGAACGTTTTAACCGATTACTCAATTCATTGTTACTATATTATTTTGTTGTTTTTACACATGAACTGTATTCTTTTGTCAGTACCATTTTAGCTTTTGTCTTTATCTTCACTTCTTGGTTGTATTGTGTTCTCTGAGCTGGGTTGTTAAACAACCTTCCCAATCAAGTGCGCTCAACAGATATCGTAGTGCTAGCTGGAAACTTGAATGCGCAGGTTGGCCGTCTAGGCTCAGAGGAGAGTCGTCAAGGTGGTCAATGGGGACTGGGTCGCAGGTCGGATAATAGGGATCGTCTTCTGCAGCTTTGCGCAGATCATAACCCATTTCTAGCTAGCACCAACTTCCGACAGCCATCACTGTTGTGCTACTTAGCGTCTTCCTTCTGCCACTTAAGCCTGGACTCAAATAGATCATATTGCAATCAGCTACCGATGACGTGGGTAAATACGGGACTGCCGCTCCATATGAAGTACTTGTCTGGACTCTGACCATGTTTTAGTGTGCTACACTCGTCTTGTGTTTTGGTAGTCATCAAAACCGTTGTCCTAAGCAGATCGATGCAAGCAAATTAGTTTCACTTAACAATGCAGACAAATGCCAATTCCAGCTAGATTTCAGGCTGGCTACCGACCCTCCAGAAAGTGTAGAGACCATTGCCTGCACTTAAAGACGCCAAGAAAATGGCAAGTAAAACCGCTCGCGGCTTGAAAGAACGTCCCGCTAATTAACATGGAGTCTCTCCGAGCTCCCTGCAACGTCTTGACGCCCACCGGACGATTCCGACGGATAACGAGTACAATGGTTCGCGTGTCTTACGCGAAAGACGACACAGAGCTTACGCAGGGACCGTGAGGCTTGATGGTCAGAACGCGCGAGTAAGATGGAAGCATTAGCTGCATCTAGAAATAGTCAGGAGTTGTTCAAGCTCATCCGAATCACTGACAGTAAGAAGCCTGGTGTCAGTTAGACGATCTGTGAGGTAAATGGTACCCCAATAAACAATCTTTAAA